TAGGTCACACAGCTGTGGACATGGTTCGAATCAATGGTAAGCAAAAAATACATTTCAAGATTTGTTTATTTGTCATGTGCATGTTAAACAAGGTCAGCAATGCAATGAAATGCCCTGGATGAGAGGAGCACTCGACTCAAAGGATTACAGATAAAACACACAATAAGTACTGAAGGAATACAATAAAATAAGGATGCAAAAAAAAAAATATATTAAAGATGAATAAAAGTAGAAGAGAAATATTTACAAAGTGCACAAGCGATGCAGTAGGTGCTGAGTGTGAATGTATGAAATGGAGGATAAGTCAGTGGGATAAATGAGGTATGAAAACTGCCATACTGCACATAATAAATAATGGTGTACAAATTGCTGTATTGCTGGTATTGCACAGATGATATTGCAAAGTTAAGTAGGTTATTGCACAGAGTATTTACTGATGGTACTGTCAGGAGTATAGTAAGCGAACTGCATGTGGGTAGTAACTGTTCTTCAGACTCCTGTACCTTCTGCCGGACGGTCGTGGACAGAAGAGTCTTTGTGCTGGGTGGGTTTTGTCCTTGATAATGCTGCGGGCTTTACGCAGGCATCGGCTGAGGTAAATGTCCTGTATGGTGGGGATCCGGGTCCCTGTGATGAACTCAGCCGTATGCACTACCCTCTGCAGTGCTTTCTGGTTCTGACTGGAGCAGTTCCTATACCATGCTGTGATGCAGCCCATCAGCAGGCTTTCAATGGTGCACCTGTAGAAGTTTGTGAGGATTTTAGAAGAACTTTGTGAGGATTTTAGACATCAGGCTTTAACACATCGGACTGCGCCACACCAATGAGAGCTCCGCTACGACTCGGCCGGTCTTTCCTTTTTACTTTGTTTGTCAAAACAAATACTAGATAATAAAATTCTAGATGATATTGGGGATTTTTTTTGTTTTTTCATGAAATAACACAAAATAATTTGGCTGCATCCAACCTTTAAATTGTTGTTACAGCAGTAATCTGTGGGAATGTAGGCTCATAATGTTTTCCTATACAACCATATGATTGCCTATTGCTCCTTCCAGAGAGGCAATATGCACCAGTTGACCTCTTTTCTGTGAAAAATGTGGCGACTGAATTGCTGAATTGAAGTCTCCAGCCCCAGTGGTGCTGTATTTGTCCAGCTTTCTGACTGCCTGACTCACCCCCCTCCCCAAATATAGCTCTTATTCATATTGTGATATTCATCGATCAAAGCGTGGCCCCAGACTCATTTAAAGATTTCCAGGCCGAGCCCCGAATCTCCACTGACCCCAGAACTGCTCGGGTCCGCGCTGGAAAATGTGGCTCATTTCAGCCCGACAGCTGCTGGATATGAACTCAGACTTTTCCTCTCTCTCCCAAAATGCTCAGTGGGAGCCATCACAGTTACAGCGCCGATGAGGAGACAGCAGATAGGGTCAGTCACAGGGGTATGCAAACTCACACTGCTCATATTTCATCCGTAGACATTCTGCAGAGCTTTCATGTTCCAACTTTCTCTTAAATTTGTCTTTTTAATGTTTTATGAAGTACTTTTATTTAATATCTTTTTTTTTTTTTGTCTCATGTAAAGCTCGGTTAGCTGCTTTTGTGTTGAAATGTGCTGAATAAATCAACTCCCCTTCCCTCGCCTTTTGAAGCCGTCCCATAAATCTCGGTGACATAAATTCATGGTGAGCTTGTTAAGACTCAAGGGTTCTGAGAGGGAAATTTTCAAAACTCATTATCTCATATTTTGGGCCAAAAACAAAGTGTTGTTGCAGTATTTTCACATCCCTGGCTCCATGCAGAGAGCTTTGAAAAGGCACACAAATACGAATGAATGATTCAGTGAGAAATACGATAGTACAAACAGCCACGAGTAACTGATGTTCATTGTGAATATAAGCTTAAAAGGAACAGTTTGTAGCAATGGGGCTAGTTAGTGATTTAAAGCGGTTTGAGTCATTATCATGATACCCCCTTACTCACCCTTTTAAGCAATGGTTGACCTTGAAGACTCCTGTAAACACAACAATTATGATCCGAGAATGTGCAATTTTTGTGCATGCAACCATAGATATGAAAACATAGATACGACATGCCTCTTCAGCAAGGCTAAGCTAGCGGGGGCATCTTTCCCATTAACGGAGAAGCATGTACATTGAAAATAAACCATAAATTGCTCATTTCTCAACTGATTTTCGTGCGGTTTACTTCATTTCCAACACCAAAACGAATGATTTAAATGGAACATGTGATTTAAAAAAACTGTTTAATCAAATGTTCTGTATTAATAGCACAAAATTTGAAAATAAAGTAAACTGCTTGGAAAATCAGTTGAGAAATTAGCGAGTTATGAATTATTTTCACCTTTAATGGGAAAGTTGCCCTCACCAAGATGGCTGCTACGTAGATATGTCGTTTAGCGGGCTGCTACAGCTCACTGGAGTATCTAGTCTTTTCTATATATCTGTGCATGCAGCAACCACTCTCTGATGCATTCTGGGTGTCCAATCACTTAATACAAATGCAAACATCACTAGTTTGACAGCTCAAAGCTCCTGTAGAAACATGAATCTGTGGATGGGGCCCTGCTCCTTTGGATTATAAAAGTACTACTTCAGACAAACTTTTAATTTATTCCATCTTTGCAAAGTCTATTCTCCCAAATTCTGCAAATTTTTCCACACTGCGCCTTGACAGCTCCGGCTAGAAACTGTTATTGTTGCAAAATCTCAGTAATGTGAATAAAGAAGTAGAGGTTCACGGCAAAAAATGGAATTTCAAGAAGGGAAAACAGCCTTGTATGAAGGAAATAAGTCATTTTTTTTTGTACAAAAAGAATATTAATCTTGTCAAGCATGTTCAGCATTAGAAGAATTATCTAACTTTAAGAAAAAATGGCTAACTTTTTCTTGATAAGATATTCCAGCCCTTTTTGAGATAGAATGAACCAGAAATAAAGTAGAAAAATCTTTTACAATAAAATCCAGCAAAGCAACAAGATCATTCCTTTCATTTTAAAAGTAAGACACATGTGCAACTTTTCCATTTAAGAATGCCATGAAACAAGAACAGTTGATTTTAGTTTTATTAAGATTTCCATTGCAGGTCATCTGAACCTGACAGAATCTGCTGCCTCAGACATAATCCGACATATAAAGATGTCAGTAGGCTAGTCTAATTACACAATGACCAGATGAATACTGCAAAACAACAAAGAACAACAAAGAACATGCTTGCTTTCCACATGCTTGCTTGTGGAATAAAAAATATATAGTTAATGAGAATGTTTTGGTATCTTAATTTAAGACAACATCACTTATATTTGCTATGCTGTTTTAAGAAATTATGTCTTATTTGAACCACTGTCATGCTCATTCAGAATCCTAGATTAAGATGTATTTTCTTGAAGTTTATTTATTCAAGAGACTAAAATTCTAGTTTTAAGTAACTTTATCTTCATTTTTCATTGCTTGCTGTAGAAAAAAATAGATTAATATAAGATTTTCTGTCTAGTTTTAAGTTTCATTTGAGTCTCAGGGCCAAGAAATTTGTTCTTATTGAGAATTCTTGTCAAGCTAGAAAAAGATTATGCCCTGTACAGTGTCCTTGGGTGTCCAGAAAGGCGCTTTTAAATAAAATTTATTATTATTATTATTATTTGATTGAATATAAGAATGTTTTGCCTATTTCTAGTAGTGCTGTTTTTGCAGTGTACCGCTTACTGTCCTGTTTTATGCCACCGTGTGCTGCTCTGACTCCTAAATCTGCAGCTCTCTAATGCATTAGCTATTATTCTGCAGCATGAGCTACAATCATGGTTTCTAGAGTGAAGGAAGAAACTAAACAGGGTGGTGTGCACGCTGCACGTGGAGTCTATCATTCAAATTAATGATAAAGTGTCACTGATTCTTACCAGGGCAGCTGAAACTGTTTGCACCTGGATTTTTTGGAAGTGAATTCAGCATCAGAATTGGTATTATTGGCCACTGCAAGCATTATCCATTTGTATTTGGGGTGCTGTTTATTAGCATTTAGGGTGCTGTGTTCTTGTACCTCTCAGACACCGTTTCCCCCACAGTAGCAGCTTCTCCCCCCCCCACCAGCTCATTAGCAACTGTCTGCTGCTTTTAAAGGGGATGAGAGGCGCTGCTGTGATTGCTCATTAGTTATCTTGGGGAGTTTGTGCCATGCTATATATCGCTCAGTCTAACACTCAACCTTGCTGAAATCACCTTACAAGGATGGGCTGATTATTTTGTATAAAACACATCCTCAGATTTCCTCAACACCTACGACATTTCTTCTCAGGGCGCCCAACTTTATTCAACAACTTTGAGAGCAGGCGTCATGCTGTGACTACATTTCACTTTGATTATGTCAAATAAGGCAAAGAAAACTCTGAGTGCACATTGTTTACAGTTTGGAGACTTTCAAAACTCAAAGTTGCATGTGGATAAGAGGCCCGAACAAGTGTGTTTGCGAAAGAAGAACGGAAACCAACACCAACAAAATAAGAGTGACCTCGACATCAACTTTTATTAATTACTGCAGAATGATGCATATTGTAGTATGACCATGATTGCATGACTTTGATAGATAGGGGCATTGTATAGAACATAGAACATAGACACCACAGGACCGCCTATTTTAATGTATAGTTGGGTGAAGGGATGGAGCTGGTCCGATCCAGCATTGGTATTGGGTTCTGATACCAACGTAATTCATGGACTGGAAATTTCCAATCCACAAGTCATGTCTTTGCTAAGTTATGTATTTGCTTTAACTTTGTCTGCTGAAATGTCGGTCAGTCTGCTAGCTGGCTGCAAACTGCAGAATGGATTTCCTGAAGGGAGGCTTGTCTCAATGAGACACAGAGATGAGACATGACTCGGTTCAGGAAATCATACGTACATATACTAGTCTGTAGAGAGGAGTTTATTACAGTCTCAAATAAAATAAACAATAATGATAATAATGATGGTAAAGATAACAGAGCTCTGGTATCGGAATAGTGTCATTATCAGCAGATATCCAAATTCAGGAATTGAGATCGAATTATTTGTGAAAAAATGGATTGGTACATCCCAAATTGGGTGGCAAACTCAAGCTATATCATCATGACACTATGACACTGTGACGTTTACATGGTGCAAAAATTTTACCAGTAAGAAAAACAGGATTTAGTCTGACATTGCTGGGCTGAGAGACGCCAACTTTGGCCATCTTAGTAATAGTCTCAAAGATAATTCAATAAAATCAACACAGAACAGTGTGTGTTTACCTCATAGTGTACCACAGATTGATTTTAATCCATTATTTTGTCATGATGAGAGACTTCAGAATTTCCAGAGGCCATTTCCATGCTGCAAGGACTCACAGAATACCCTGCTGCGAGTATGCAAAACACAATGAATGGAAGTTTTAGATGCAACAAAACAATTTCAGTCATGTTTGAGTCTTTTTTTTTTTTTTTTTACCCTTCACAATGTGAGTTTATTTTTTATTCCGTCCCACTTGGCATAAACAGAGGATAGAAATGCAGGACTCTTGACAACAGTAAAAAGCAGAAGCAGGTCCAAACCTGAAGAAAATGGTCGTACGAGGAATACTAACTCTGGAATGAAACTCATGCTGGACAGAGGCAAACAGGTGCAGAAGAAAGGGGACACAGAGGCGAGTGGAGACAATCATCTGCAGGAGCAACACAGCAAGGAGGGGCGGGTAATCCCAGAACACAGGCGGACAGGAAGTGGAGGATCTGAAACAAGACACAGAGGTGAGTATTAAAGTAAAACAGAAAACACAGGACATGAAACATTAGGATAACAAAAGGTAACAACGCACAAGACTTTAGTCTTTAAAAAGTCATCAAATTTGAGTTTCTCCTTTTTAGTCTCAACATTTTCTTTTTTCAATTCAATCAGTAAGTTAATAGATGGTGTCAAAGTTCAACTGATAGTTTCATTTTGTAAAGTATTGTTTAACGCTCTTCACCGACCATGCAATGTGGCTGTACTGACCTCTAGAGGGTAAGAAAAGTGCATTAAAGACAGAAAAAAAGAGGAATGAAATCAAGACATAAAAGTCTTCCACTGGACACTTTTGCTTTATCTGTTTTCTTGGACGTCAAATAAAAGCCGAAAAACCACAAACGCCGTGTTTGTGTTCATAAAGAAAAGGGCTGAACTGCTCTGTAACGACAGCTGCTGGATAATTATTCACATTCAGCTTTGATGATCTGGAGTCGATCAAAACTGTGAAATATCTCACTGAATATGTTCTCGAACAAATGCAGAGCTTTGACACAGAGGTATTATTGTTCGTTATAGTTTTAAATAAAAGGCAAATTTCAAACATTAAACCAGCAGTCACTGCCGTTTCTGATATAATCCACCTTTCACCAGGTACAAAGGCTCCTGTATGAGGACATGGTTGTCAGTGGAAGTTGTGCAGCTATTTCACAGAGTGTTCCTGTGAGTTGTATTACAGGTCAGGAACAAATGACCCCTTCATTCTTATGGGTGTAGTACTTATTTCTCAGACGATTACGAGGTTGAAAGGTGAGAGCGCGGGCCACATTATAGATTTTCACTGAATTCTGGACAGCGGTTTTCTGTCACGGAGGAGCTGGACTCTGCTTTGGGAGACCTTGACAAGCTGTTAAGGAATAATTAAAAGAAGCCTTAAAGAGGGAGGTGGAGGATCCTGACTGATTTAGCTCATCTGGAGTCTAAAGACGAAGCTTGTTTGCTCTGAACCCCAAATCTGTCAGTGTCTGTTGTCCGCCTTCATAACTTGAAGATGTAATTTGTTTGATTCCAGCTCCATAAATAAATCAAAGCTGCCATAAATGTTTCCCAAACTCACATCTGAAATGCATCTTCTTCCTCAAAGCAGCGCAGCTATAATTACTAGATGTCTGAGTCGGTGAGAGCTGCAGCCGCCTCATCCTATCAACTACAAACACAAGTGGTGCAAAATTAAACGGGTGCAATGTTCAGGGTTGCAAATCAAACAAATCAGTGTTCATGCCGCACAAAAACATGATCGAGAGCAGGCCTTGGACACCTGTACTTCTGTTTTTGCTGAGTGTGACAACGCTGGTAATTTTTTTAATGAAGGCCTAATTTGCCTCACATTGTTAGGACAGAAAAGAGTCTGGCAGATTGAAAGTGGCCCTCTGCAAAAAACCAGCCAGAAAAAGACTGACGAAATACAAAAACAGGTCACTCAGAAGGTCTGATCGTTTAATTGAGAGAACAAAAACTGTGTTAATTTTCGTTCGTATGAGTCACCATCATCCACAGTGCGAGCTTGGTTTTTTAAAGCTCTTTTTAACCGGCTGTTTTTTAAAGTTTTGCATAAATACAGTGTCACTTCATTACTGGCCTTCGAACATTTTTGAAAGCGTATAAAACCTGCAGAATAGAGCGACATGATTGCTGAATGATTGTGTTTGTCCATGGGAATAATCTGCAGTCCAGTTGTGAAAAAACATCTCAAACAAGTGTCTTTTTTTGCAGTTGCAAATCCTGACAATGCAAATGCGCATTCAAACTGTTCATTTGTTTACAACTGGCATCCTCAAGGGGATATTTCTTTGCTTTTCAAGAGCCACTTGAAAAGATATCGCTCCATCTCCGCCCCCTTAGTTTACAACCGGAATGCAAAGAAACGTCGCCATGTTGGAGAGACTGCAAACTGTCAATCAGAGGAGGGAATGACGAGTCCGTCATATATGCATTTATATGGAATTTACAGACACTCCAGCTGCTGTAAACACTTATTGTGTTTGTTTTTCAGTCCTTTTTAAGCAGGACTTAATCATAGTGTCGTGAATAAACGTTTGGTTTGTTGGAACAAAAGCACGGATGCTTAAAGCAAGATTGGTTTAAAATAAAACGCTGAGATTGTTTGATGGTTTAGGAGTTCAACGACTTCAACTACTCGATTCTGATTAGTTAAACCAAAATTCAATCTGTGGAAAGGAATCATTGACTTTCATTCTTCTCTCCAGGAGCACTAAACCATCTTAGTTAAACCAGCAGCGCCCAGGAAGGATCAGCTGGTCGTTTCTCACCAGCTAAAGAAAGCCAGGAATCCGGACCTGATGGATGAGCCGCTTCTCAAAGGATGGCGTGCAACCTGCCCCCCAGTCTAAGTCGGCTGCTGTGGTTTTCCCGCAAATCAATGAGCTATTCCTCTTCGCAGGTCAGCTTAGACCCCAAAGGTCTGAAGACAGCCGTGAGGGAGATAGCCATGACAGCCAAGACCTGCTAAAGATGGCTCCGGCTAATGAGGGCCTGCAGCTGGGTCTTTGCAGCCCCTCGTAGCTCAAGCATGTGGATCACCATTCCTCAGAAAACACAAATGAGAATCAGCTCTAGTTCACTTTAAAAGTTAGGGTTGGTAATCTGATTTAGATACACTTTTTGTTATTCTGGTAAAAATGATCTTTATGTTCTGATGCAGATGGCAGCGTTCGTGCATGTGAGCGGGGGCGTTGTTTTTGAGGAGCTCCAAGGGGAAGGGGAATCAGCTGGATGAAGTCCTGCACTCTAAAAATGCCAACATCAGGGTTGAAAAGGGACTGACTACTTATTGGGGTATTTTGACCCAGAATGTTGGGTTATTCAAATTAACCCAAACTTTGGGTTGACTCAGTAACTCTTTTCAAGGGTCAAGTTAACCCAATCTTTGAGCTAATTTGACTCATGATGTTGGGTGAAATTGATTTATGCATTTAGGGAGCTTTTTTGGGAGCTTTGCTTTGCTTTGCAGACCTTGTTACCTTGTTAACCCCGGTGACATCTGAGCTGGTTTGCCTTTCAGTGGTAACACACTCATGTTTATGACGTTGGCCATAGCGCTAAGGGTCTTGCCTAAGGACCCACACTGGTAGATGTAGCTCGCTCCTTACAGATGTGTCTCATACGGAATTCAAACCCCAACCCCCCGTTCCAAACGTCCCAACGATTGACGTAGACTTGCAGGCATGTCCAAACTATTCCACAAAGGGCCGGTGTGTGGCTGCAGGTTTTTCTTCCAACCAAGCAGCAGCACACCAGACTTGATTCATTTCATCAGCTGATCTCAGTCTTCAGACAGCTGATTGGTCAGACCGTGTGCTCTTGATTGGTTGGAAGAAAAACCTGCAGCCACACCGGCCCTTTGTGGAATAGTTTGGACATGCCTGACCCAACGTTCTGACCCAATTATTGGGTTACTCTCAGAAAAATAACCCATAATTATAATCCCTTGAAAAAAAAAACAAACAATCGAATCCATATGACCCAAAAAATGGGTATAGATCCTTTAATCCATGTGAACTGAACTATGAGTCGGTGCCCTCTAGAGTGATCTTGAACAACACTGGTTTTAACCCCGTCATGGTAGGACGATACATGGATAGTGGGTGGATATTTGAAACAGAATCCCTCACAGAAAGTCACAGTGTGACTATTCACCTCAGACAAATGTTATGCCAGCTCAGCGTCTAATAACACATGGTCAATAAAACAGCCAAACACTGCAGGAAATAATCAAAACTACATCAGTGGATTTATAATTGCTTCGGAGAGGCGAGTAAGAACCTTCAGGGCCCATAGGCGGCACTCCTACTGCGGTTGTGTATCCCTCCAATGACCTTGGGATGCAATTCAATCTGCAATTCAATCTCTCCCTCTCCTTTTTGAGCTTCAATTAGACTTAAGGCACAAAGGCACAAAGTAAATGTGACTGGCTGGAAAAGAAAAAAAGAAGAATCCAATCTAAAATGGGTCCCAGTGCTTCGTGCACATCTGGCATGTTCCTTCTCTTTCTTCTCTGCCTTTTCCCTCCTTTTTTTTTTTTGCTTACAGTGGACCCAAAAGCGTATCAGTCATGACTCATGCTGTACTCCAAATATTTTTCAAAGTTGTAAGCGAAATGCAAATTTGCATCCCGCACTCTCGCGCTTGTAGGAGTCATTCCGGGGCGGCGTTTGTGCTATAAGCAAAGATTATTTCTCTGAGCTCCATGCCAGCTAACTTAATGAGGAGCTTGCACCGCAGTGAAGACCTCAGCATATGCCGGAGTGTCACTTCTGTTTAGGGAGGCGATATTTTCCCAAAGGGCGGGGACGTTTCAGTGCATGCTTTTCAAGAACAATTAAGGAAAGCTTACATGAAAACAACATTTCTTTGCAGAAAGCATTTCCATATTGGGTGATAAACGCGGGTGTATTGATCATCCAGGGATAGGAAGCAGAAAAGAAAATGGCCCTATTAAGAGGGAGGAAATTTGAAATTGGATTTCCACTAAGAAAATTCAATGGACTATCAAGTGACGGTCATTACCGCGTCCAGATTGTAATGCAGTCTCATATAATAGTCCTGCAGTGAATCCTACTGTCCAGATTAGGCTGGTAATGAAAGGTGTGTCCATTTATTTCATTTTGATGAGTGAATCTAAAAATGTTCAACATTTCTTCAGATGCACTTCAGAGGAAAACCTGCTGGTATTGTTCTCTTCTTGGTTTAAGTATGGAGCGTCAGGAGTCAAAAATCAATACGCCATGATGCAACCCATCGTAATAGCAATAACCCTCCAATACCACCTTTGTTTTTACTGTGCACTCCAGACAGTGTTGAAGAATTCGTGATTGTTCTCTGTGCACTAGTTTCTGACTCTTTATAACATATTTTTACGACTTCAATTATTGTTTTATCAATTTCAAACACATTTTTGCCGCATCCACTCAACAATGGGAGATGATAAGTTAGTGAAACTCACTGTCAGAGTGGCCTTGATCGCTCTTACTTGACTACAATATGTGAGAACAGCAGAGGGGAGACATGATTTTCTTGTTAAATATCGATGGAGTTAGTAGATAAGTAGATTTTTGTAGTTATTACTGCACTTTACGTCCGCCATCAGTGTCTTCATTGTGGTCTGTTTGGTTGTTTCTCACAGTGGCAACCAGATTCAGCTGAAAACCTTTTAATACTGTTTCAGGAGACTTGGATTTTCCAGCCATGTGTTATTATTGAAATTTAACGAACACACGGTTAATATTTCAGGAGTACCTGGCTGCAGACACAGAGGACCTGGATTTCATTTGAAAGGTGACCTCACCCAGCTACTTTGTTCTTAATTGTGTGTTTTTTACTCAAACTTCAACAGTAAAAAGTCAACACACTTTCAGAGTTCAATATTTAAGATTGTAGTGAGGAATCACAGTTCTGCACATGCTCAGTTGGTAGTTTTGGAATCTCAGCAGCTGCCAAGTAATCTTGTGTGGCGTCTATGAACTCGCAAGCATGACTTTTGTTTTTGGTGCTACTTTTACAAACTTTACTAGTTAGAACTCAGATTTTATTTTAACTATAAATTGCAAAAATTAGAATTTGTGTAAGTGTTACAACCCTGGCTCAGGGGAAGCAACACAAGGGAACCAAAAGGCAAATAAAAGTGTACTTACAATAAAATCATGTTAAGGTCCAAACAAAGAAAGAGCTGTGGCTAAAGGAAGGAGCTGATCCGGACTGTGAGGGAGGGAGAAACTTGGCTCTGCCTTTCGTAGAGGTTTCTCAGGTGCCAGAGATCAGAGGCTGATGACATATGGAGGGCCAGCCATGCCACATTTCAGACCAAAGTTTGGGGAGATCAGGCAGTCCCTCACAGAAAACAAACACAAATTAGTTTCAACATAACATAACATAAGGACATGACAAAGAACAACTTTTGCAGGTGACGTCTGCGATACAACTTCCAACAGTGTTTACACCTGTTAAAGTTCAACTGTGCAAACAGAGGTCGGATGTTTCTGCAGACAGTTACTTCTCAAATATTAGGGTTTTCAAAAAAGTCATATTCATATTTGATAACATTATTCGATGCACACAACAACCTGAAGTTTATGTTTACTTTAGCCATTCATATCACATAATTTGAGTTAAATCCTAGTTAGTAACTATATCTGAGATAGAAAAAGCACATGTTATTTGGACTAGATAATTGTGACTTTGTCCTTGTTAGCACTGATGCCAATGCGATGCTGGTTATGTAAAAATACAATGCTTTTAAGTTTCTGCTTACTCCTGCCATACTGGTGATGCGCCATGTTGCTTTAGCTCAACTAGACTAAGTTTGTTCCTCTGACAAAGTCTTGTATCCTCTACTCAGTGATGTCTACGTTGAAACTTTTCCAAAATGCCACTTGATTTTCGTTTAGAGTGTACAGTTAGTGCGCCAGCTCTAATTTGCAGGTTTTGGTGTTATCACTCAAGCTACCTGGAGCTTCGCATGCTGATCGGTTCGCTGTAACCCGCGCATTAGAGTCAGGAGTGCCATTTGCTCGTTGAAATGATAATACCCGTTATTCACTCACAACTCGCCCACATCTCAGATTAACAAACTGGTTCACTTTGTTTCACAGGCTCTCCTTCTAACTGATAAATAAAACAACTTTCATCAAGTACAATGGAGACTCTCAGATTCACCAGAAAATAAGTTAAGTTGGTTGTTTGGCGGATCAGAAAGCTGCTGGGTTGGGTTGTTGGTAGTTGAGAAAATTAACTCACAAATAAAAACCAAAACAGGAAAAATGTTTGCACCATTTCCTCTTCAAATTCCAACAACGTAAGTTCAGATTTTGTGGACATAAGGACAAAAAGAAATCACCAACCCTGGGCTGTATTCCTCTTGCAGAAGCTTTCATTCACAGCTGGTCTCTGGGGCACCGCTGAGAGGACAGGACTGTTCAAATGCGTTGTACTGCGCATCTGAGCCCAGTCAGGAGTCCTCTTCACGTCCCCCCCTTACATGATGAAGATTAAGATGAGCGGGAAATGAACCTCATCTCTCAGTGTGATAAATGTCCAGCAAGTGTAATTAAAGACTTTTAGTTAATTCCCCTGTCTCTTCTCCTCTGTAACCGTTTTTAATCATTTCCTCCAGTCGGCTCTCTGTAATTGAATATTCTCATTATACATGCAACACCAGCTGTACTTTTTACCCAGTTACCAACTTAAATGACTAATTTTCATTGGGGTTAATACTCTACAAATGGTTTACTCGCTTATACGACTTCAAATCCTCATGGACCTTATATAATCTTGGGAGAAAATGGACGTACTTTAAGTGTTTGAAAGTTGTGCATACTGTTGCTTTGATTAAAATTCGTGTTAGCCGTTCTCCGTCTATCTTGAGCTCTGTGAAGGCAGCTCCATGTCCACTCCTGTTAATGCAACAGATTTGCACTTTTCAGGAGTTCCAGTTTGTGCCTTTCTGTTTTCAAACATTGAGCTACTCAACTCTACAATGATAAGGTTCAAAATGACATACCAACCCGAGAAAAACCCTCTGTCCAAGGTTTCCAAAATGTATGCTGACGGGTTTGCTGTCACTTACCACTCATTTGGAAACCGTTACAGTTTTGTTTTAATAGTTTATAAATGATAAAACTGTAGCATGTTAAGAAATGTGCAAAAGTGCAAAAATGACCAACCATTGTCAATGTCAATATTCCAAGATAACTGATTATATTGTTATCCAGGGATCCCCAGTTAATGCAACAGCTTAAGACTTATCACAACATCACTTGTGAACTTAATAAGAGATGGATGTGCGTAGACAGATATCCAGATAGTATCAACTCACAACGCACTTGTGTCACTTATTTATTTCTCCAAGACTAAAATTTGTGTACCATCTGTAGACCATCATTTAGGAGGCTGTCATTAGTTTGACAAGCCACCAGATGTCACTTTGTTTGCCAAGAAGTTTCAAATCCTTTTTGGCACAATTGGAAGTAATAGAAGTAGCTGTAAGTAGTGATAAAGCATTTTGTTGTCGTGTTGAAATATTGGACACTGTAAAGACTGGTTGCTACCTGCAGCAGCTAATGCATACTATATGAACACATAGAGCTATAACATAGAGAAGCGTTTACTTTTTAAATATCAGTGAAATGGAAATTATATTCAGTCCCCAACACGTGGTACTCATATTCCAATTATATGGTTTGCAGCAAACAAAAGGACTTCACTTGTGTGATACGACCAACCTCTGAGAGGAAAAAAATACGACCTTTTACCGCTGACTCTACCAACTGTCTCAGAAATATCCCCTCAGCTGTGAGCTGTAATTAGAGGGTCTAATACTTGTCAAGTAGTGATTGTCCCAGTTGGAGAAAAGGTAGTCTGTGCTGACTGGTCATATTGTTCCCCATCAAAGGAACAATCTTCCTAATGAGAGGGCTGCAGGGCGGCAAAGTTTCAATCATGAAATATTAAATTTTTATCACACGGCAGGAGTCGAGGCCAAGCTTGTTCAGTTAACGTCCAGCTTTTAACCGGCCTTCGAAAACCGCGCAAAACCGTACAGAACGGATAAAAGCTTCCCAGTCACATACATTCAGTGTAAAGGGACTTTTTCCTACGGCAGTTGTTGACAGTAAATAGATCTGTATTGTGGCTCTTAAGTGGTTGCAAAGAGGATGTTGTCCCATCTTCCCTAAAGCATGTTTGTTTTGAAGAAACAGAAGAATAAAAAGCAATAACAGACTTTGAAAAGGCCGTAGAATAAGAGGCAATAACAGGCTCTGATAAAAGCTGAAGGCGTACAAAATGTTTCAGACAACATTGACTGAAAATATACTGTGAGGGGGGAAAAAAACAAACTTGTCAATACTGGTTTAAAGTAAATCTGAGTCTTTTTATCAGGCTGCAAGAAACCTAGAGTGGACATGGAGCTGCCTTCACAGAGTTCAAGATAGACGGAGAACGGCTAACACGAATTTTAATCAAAGCAACAACACAAACAACTTTCAGACATTTAGATTACGTCCATTTTCACTCAAGATTATATAAGGTCCATGAAGGCCCATGAAAAAGTGGAAAATGTCCAAACAGTGTCAATATGGTGTGCAGTTATTCCAAGAAATTATAATTACTCATTATCATCCAGGGATCTCCTGTTAATGCAACAGATTGAAAAGGCCGTAGAATAAGAGGCAATAACAGGCTCTGATAAAAGCTGAAGGCGTACAAAATGTTTCAGACAACATTGACTGAAAATATACTGTGAGGGGGGAAAAAAACAAACTTGTCAATACTGGTTTAAAGTAAATCTGAGTCTTTTTATCAGGCTGCAAGAAACCTAGAGTGGACATGGAGCTGCCTTCACAGAGCTCAAGATAGACAGTATGCACTTTTTCATATTTGAAAACTTTTAACAGTTTTATCTTTGAAATATCTACTAAAATAAACACTAAAATTCATATTATAAGCACTTTTAAGCCCCTTTCTCAGGGTCAAAGTTTAAGGTGTAGCCGTGCATAATTCCTTTAAGTAATAAAACCAGAGACAAGATCACTTAGTGCAGTTTCTTTGCATTTGGTTGATTCCCAAATCTATTCAACAGAAAGACTTCCTTTATTTCTTTTGTACTGAATTAAACTCTTCTGGAATCCAAAATAACAGAGTTTGAAAAGCCTCGAGATTGGTTGGTTTTATGATTTGACAGCTCTAGAAACAACAAAGAACTAAAACAAAAATAAAAAAAATTACAATTCACAAAAAGAAAAACTGCAGATTCATTTCTGAAATCTTAAGATTTTTTGTCAGTGATAATTCAGGTACATAGCAAGTATCTTTTTGTTAAGAGGCTTATATTCTGGTGCTATAAGACACATGGTTTTCCAAATCATTTTCACCTCCTAAATTTGTCTTTCATCCTCCTTCTGTAATAAAAACACAAAAACAAGGTTGAAGCATCCACGGTGTCATTTTTCATGGGACTAAACCTCTTTGAGAGCCGCTGTAATGACAAACACATTTGCATCAAATCTTACCGGTGAACATGTTTATCACTGGGCACGAGGCCTCGTATATCTTGGCCTCTAAGCGTTTCCTCCGGAATGACTAATGCCCCAGTTTATTTCACCTGTCAAAGCACCAGCATTACCATTATGTTGGATTAGCCTCACTCAACTTTCTGTTGTTGTCTGACGAAAAGTAAATCTTCTGTAAGCTGCGCATGCAGGTCTCCAAGACAGTTGGCTAATTAAAGTGAAATGGGGCAGATAATAGCTTTTAAAAACATTTCAGCCATTTAATGAGCTTATTATTTACTATGAAAAGAACGTGTCACCGCCGCCGCTGCTGCCTTCGCTTCCTCGTCCCCGCCACCGCCAGTAAGAGCTGCCACCCACTCCAATTCTATCCTGCTGCGCTGAGACTTAGCAGCCGTAAATTTCAATGACTAAAGAAATATTATCACAACTAATGAAACAATGCTGAGCCCACTCCAACACTTAGTGGGCCCCTCCGGCCAAATTGTCGTGGTAATTAAAAGACAAACTGTAACTGGAAAGGAGGGATCATTTACACAATGCAAATTAAATGTTAAAAAAAAGTAAGTTATTAGAGTTTTATGATGGTGTCAGGCGTTTCACGTGTCATCAATGTTTTTTTTTTTCTCCATTAGGAGTCTGAAATGATGTTCCAGTGTCAGAGTTAAAAATGGGGTCACTCATGCATTGGCTTATTGGTTCTTAAGGCTCTGTGTAGTGCTGAGGCACTTCTCATTTACATTCATCGGCTGAGAGGATGTCAATGATGTTGATTTAATGAATAATGTGCGTGCACTGCATCACTAACACAACAAATTAACCCCTTAAGCTTTTGGAGCTTGTTTTGTTTCACTGCTAAGTTTTGTTTTTATTTGTGTTGGATTGTGCTTCCCAAAAAAATAAATTCTACTTCATGCTAAAGTTAAACATGATCGAGTATTTTTCACATGGTCAATAAAAAAACAGAGTAATTATCTTGAATTAAAAAAATAAAAAAATAAAAACTTTCTGGAGTTTTTAAATTAACAACAACAAAAAAGGACATTGCAAATTGGCCAAACATGTAACATTTAATTATCAAAATGGTGCCTTTTCATGTTTGTTGATTGGAGAGGCATTCAGAGGGAACATTTCTGTACCATTTTTATATTGAACAGGCATCTCCAGGGCTGTTTTTTTGGGGGTAAAAATTGCTCTTTCATACTGGGAGAGTCTTTAGAGGGTGTGTTTTTGCATTTTATGAACTGGCAAGACTTCATTTCATTGATTCATTTTTAAGGAGGTCACTATTCCCCTGTTTTTAAAGTACTTCTAGGGCATCTAAAGGGCACTTCTTGTGTTTTACATGGTAGCAGGACAACCAGAGGGCACTTTTTGTAGTGTAAATCATTGGTAGGCCATTCAGAGGGCATGTTTTCCCCAAATTTTGTATCTTGAAGGATGTGTGGGGCACTTTTTTGTTTTATTTAACCTTTTGGGGCAGTTCTCTTTATCTTATAAACTGAAAGTACATCTAGAGGGCACTTTTTGTGTTTTATATGCTAGAGGGACAACCAGAGGACACATTTTAAAGTGTAGATTACTGGTAGGCTATCCAGAGGGCATGTTTTCCCTGTGTTGTGTATCTTTAAGGGCATCTGGGGGCTACATTTTTGTTTTATTTAACCTTTCGGGTCAATTTTTTTTATCCTATGAACTTAAAGGACACCTAGAGGGCACTTTTTATTGTGTCATATGCTGAAATTTCACCAAGGGGTCACTTTTTTTAATGTGTGGTATAATGACATTTCATCCAAAGGGCATGTGTTCCAGGTTTCATTTACCAGAAGGACATCTAGAGGACACGCTTTATGTTTTACAAACTGGCAAGGCATCCAAATGGCTCTTTTTTATTAAGTCATATCCAGAGGGTACATTTTCTAGGCTTCATATACTGAACTGGCATCCAAAGAGCACTTTGATATTGATAGAGCATCTAAAGGTCACTTTTTACATCCGATGTCCTGAAGGGCATCTGGAGGGCACTTTTTTAGAACAACCATAGAGCACTCTGACATGTTTAATCCATCAGGTGAGCAGCTACTATCATGATTTTTCATGCATGTCCCACATAAAGGGGAACCAGGGAGAGCATTTTATCACGTTTTATTTACCAAGAAGCACCTAAAAGGGCTCCTTTGCAGCAGTTTTTCAGTCATGAGGGCACCACTACTTCTTCCTGATCTCTGAATCAGGTGATGACACAAGCTACAACAGGAAGGGACAATAAAACATAATTTGCTGAAGTTTTAATGGCCCCAAACGCTCATGTGTTTTCTTGATGACTTACCATAACTGAGGGAGAGTTGTGTTTTTCCTCTCTAATGAGAAGGTCCAGGTCATCTAGAATGCAGCAAAAATAAAACTTGGAGAATTGGGGCTACTTGGAGTTTCTTTCTTTTTTTTTTCCGTTTGCGGTGATTTATGAACTGAGTAGTGCCAATTAGCACAGGACAAACCGGCAACATTATAGACGGCGAGAGCAGAGGTTGCAACAGTGAACTTGACCGTTGATGGCTCCATCGATCACGAAAGGATTTCAGCCTCAGAATGAATTATGCCGTCACAGTGTTTGCCACCAGAGCGCAGGAGAACTGGGTCAACTGGATGACTGAGCGTGTGTGTGTGTGTGTGTGGCACCGGGGCCGCCTTTCTGAGACAGCTTTTGAAGCTTTTGATAGGTCGAAGCAGATCACTGTCATTGTTGTGTACCATCTCGCATTTGATCTCTGACTTCAGCGTGACAAGAGAGCGGGAGAATCAAAGATAATGCGCAATCAATCCATTCCCGTGTGACAGCTGTATTTGAGCAGAAACAAAGGGACATACACAGGATTTATATAAGCCGCTTCATCCCAGAAAAGACACCAAAAAAAGGGGAAATATTTCGTTTTAGGAGCGCCAGGCAACATGAGCTGACCTTGTCATTTTGAGAGCAAGCCAGAAAACAAGTCTGGAGGTGTCAGCCAGCGACAACCCTGTCAAAATTCTCACTTTCTTTTTTTTAGGACCGGTCACCTTCCAGCTCCAAAAACAACCACTCCCTTCTATTTGTATTTATTATCTGCTACTTATTTCACATTTTCTCCTGCCTCCAATGACACGCAGAGAAAAATAATGTCTGCTTTGGAGCAATTAATGCTGGCATGTTGTGCCCCTGCTTTGCTATGCATATTGTGTATGAACACCTAAAGGTCAGTGCAGGCTTTTGCAGGCCGGGTCCTCCATTACTCATTCTAAGTGTGGAGTTTGACACTTGTGTCCCTCGTCGCCCCCCCAGAGACTCATTTTTCTCTCCAAAGAGTTGCATGGATGCAAACCTGCAATCCAAGTGTTTCCATTATAGGCAGTCAGCAGTGTTGGCTTGGGTGTGTATATTGATGCAATTTGTCATGAAGAGTTGCGTCTTGTGAGGGCAGCTGGCAGGTGGTGTTGATCAAGTTGGCGGCTAAGATCACAGCGTGTTTGTTTCTCCGTGCGGCTCAGGCAGGTGGCCGCCGACAATTACATTCAGCCTCAGGATGAAGACTAAAAGGAAGGTACTGTCTGTTATTGGAGGAGGATTATATAAAATAGTGTATGATTATTGAATGGTAAACTAACAACGATATATAAACCAGAACAGTGTTAGTCAGAGTCAAACTATCAGCCAGCTTCCTGTTTCCACAATAAAGACATTTTTATTTAACTAAAGGTGAAGTTTCCAAAATTTAGTAACAAATAAATCAGTAAATGAAGACAACAAACAAAAATTTAAAAAAAAGGAAAAAAATGACTATGGTGGAAAGACAAAACAGAAAGAAAGAAGAAGAAATATTTTAAGATACAAAAGATAAAAACTGAATAAGAAAAAGCAGAGGTATGGCTGAAAAAGAGGGAAAGAAAGAAAGAAAGAAAGAAAAGTGTTTAATGTAAGGTACAAAAAGGTAAGAAAAAAGAAAAAAAAACAAGAAACAAATCTGAAATGTGTTTGAAGAAAGAAAAGAAAGACAGAAAGAAAAATTACCAAATATATGAATGTTATAATTAAAGACAAAAAAGGAGAAAAATTAAACAAAACAAAACAAAACAAACAAAAAAAAAAACAAGGTGGCCAAGGAAAAAAGAAATGAAAAAAAAAAAGCGAAGAGAGATAAGAAACAGAAGAAGAAAATTGAAGAAAAGGAAAAAAAGAAACATAAAAAACAAAAAGGTACATGAAGAAAAAAGGAAAGAAAGGAGAGGAATGAAAAAGAAAAAGACCAAATCAAATGAAAAACAGAGAAAAGAAAGCAAAATTCCGAATAAAAATCAGGTATAAAAGAATGAGAAATAATTAGCAAGAAAGATGAAAAAAGAAAGATGGAGATAAAAAAAACAACTTTGATTTGCTTGAAAAAATACAGAAAAAAAAACATGAAATGAAAGTATGACCAGAGACCATATCTTGTGTTTTTTATGGGACTGTGTGTTCTCGAATTCTCTCCCATTATTTTTCAGAAGATTAAACTGAAATCTATGTGCAGCCTGACCTTCACTGTGTGAACAATAACAATCCTTACATCACAAAACGAAGGACCCTTCATCTTATCCTTCCTGCCGAGGCAAACATACAGTTTGTAAAGAATAAAAAAATAACAGAAAATAAATGTCCTTATTCTTCTGGAGTTAAAAACAAATCTGAACTTTCTCTCTTTCTCAAGGATTAACATACTTCTCTATAAGGTTCGAAACTAAATGTTTGTTTGCATTTACATTATTCATAATCCTTATTTAAAGATTTTTCGATATCATACATATAGAGCTGGAAACTCAATGTTTATTTACCACAAACCACTTGTGCAAGTAAACAAGTCTGAGAAGTAATTCATGAACCAAAGAAGAAGAAAAAAATGCTGATTTATTCATTTAATCTGTGACATCTTCCCAATAACTCCCTCCATCCAGCCTCCCTCTGTTTTTAAACCATTTCATTAAATTCTATCAAAATGCATTTCTCTGAGAACACCCCGACTGAATTGGAAATCAAACATTAGGATGCAAACTTGCATTAAAAATTAAAAAGGGAACATGTTGTGTTGCACTGACTTCCCCGCTGTTTGGAAAGAAAAAAAAAAAAAAAAAGTGAGGATGCTGTAAGCGCAACTTGTTCTTCTCGGTGTTGGGTGTTGGAATCATGGCATGGTAATTCCTCTTCATTTGCACTGCATAAATTACATTTTCAGTGTGACAGCAGAGCTCGCCCCGCACAGCAGCCCATAGCCAGCCGTACAATTAATTTAATATCTTGGAACGCACTTCATTTGTTTGGCTGTGAGGGAATTGAAATCCTAATGAAACGGCTCCTCTTGAAAAGAAGTCTCTGAATTGTGTTATGCGTATTTTCCTGCTCAGGGAGTTTTTTTTCCAGTCGTAATGTGCTTACCTGGAGCATCAGGTGATAATATGAGCTGACAAAGTACAGTCCTAATAACGCGACCGGGGAGATGTCTCTTTATCACAATTACTTGACAATGATGATAAACAAGAGACATCCATCCACCGAGCTGTACTCATCGTGATTAATGCTGCCAGGACGAACAACAACTATGCAAATGAGCAATTGTTAAGGGATTACATGGATCCATCATCCTATACGCCAGGAATCCTTACAGTATCAACACAATGGAAAACAAATCCACCAAGAAGCAGCAAAGGACAAGAGGTAGAGATTTGCTTGTTTGTGGCACAGAACAAGTGGGATCAGAGATGTCGTACAGATAGCAGAGCTTCAGAAGTCTGAGCCAGGAGGTGACGGCGAAAGGACAGACTACCTCCCCTGTAACAATCGGTCTGGTGGTGTTGGTGGTTCTTGTTCTGCAAAAATCTCCCCTGTAAGTTTCAAATTCACAGAGTTGTCCAAACTAATCATCCTAAGCTTTATAGGAGTCCCGCTGTGCTACAAATCCATGCAAATGTCAAATTAAGCAAGAAAGTTGGCAGCACCTTTATTCCAAAATGTCTGAGCCTGCATAATGGAACAATACCTAAGGCTGTTTTAGTTTCGGTATAATTGCCTTGGCGTGGATGCTGAAAGGAACGTGCCTGCTTGACGTTGCACGAAGCATGCAGCTCAACTTCCATGTCCTGTAATCTTGACCGAAAATAACACATTTCGGATGCAATAAGATCTTTTTGGTTGTGTGGTTCCCTGCATGACATAGAAAAAGCCTGAGGTGGGGAGAGTACACACACACCTGCAAATCATGTGTGTGTCTTCTGTAAAGCACTTTGGATTAACTGCATTGAGTGCTATTAAAGTAAATGAATGCAAATAAATAGTGTGCAGGCGTAAAAGCCAAGCAGAGCAGCCATTGGTGACAATTCCTCTGACTCTTAAAAAGGTCAGAACATAAAATTAGTTTTGGGCTGGAGACAGGTTGCAAAGAAGATACGTAGAGGGTAAACAGCTGATATGCACTGTCGTTATGATCAGCTCACATCAGGACTAACTGGTAACTTCGACCGCATCCAGAACGGCTACAAAAAGGCCATATCCACCGATCGTAGCTGATCGTAACCATTCAAGTTAATTTGTCAATTTCCACCGGCTTCTTTCCGTTCCACTGTGGATCGCCGGACTCCACAGCTGATCGCAAGAGTTCCATTTTTTCCGGGCGCCTGAGCATACCAGATAAAGTTAGCACAGATTAACCCGTGCTGGAAAGGAAGTAGGGTGTCATTGGCATTTCATCCCAATGACACCATGGATGAGGAGATGCTGATTTTATGAGTCTAGAAGTAGATTTCCTCCTCTCACGTGAATCCACGGGTTCTTGTGAGTTCTCGCGATTACCGCTTTCCATATCCGCCATGAAATTCATCTCACAAACAGACAGATAGGGATTGGCGTACGGCAAAAATTTCCACCGTCCTGGATCGGAGCCGTTCCACATGCAGTAGAAATCCTGGGTAAATGTCTTTCAATCGCTTTTGATTTTGACATGGCGTTCGGAAATAATAGAACTTTGGCGATCGGCTAAGAAGCCCGCTGAACCGCAGGGGGTCGAAAAGAAGCCGTTGGACTTTGACACATTAACTTGAATGGAAATGATCAGTGCCAATCAGCACCAATGGCCTTTTTGTCGCCGTTCTGCATGCAGTGGAATTTGGGGGTAAGGATTTCCAGCTGGCAGGAGATGTTTATAAAGTAAGGAGCAGAGTTAAAAGCTCTCAGTGACTTTCCTCCGTTCATTCACAGATATCAGGGAGGCATGATCAGATCCAAACCAATACAGCTGAGTTTGAAATTAAGAGGTGGATATCATCTTCATCAGGGCAGATGGTGCATATTGAAAAGAAAAGGGGACCAATCACCGACCTCTGGGGTACCCCTGTTAATTATCCATGTAGTTTGGACTCATTTTCCCCACCTGAGATACTCAAGAATACATTTAATTACTGCATACCACTCATATTTGTGGTTTATATGTGTTCATCAAAGGTTATTGGAGTTGTTTTAATTACACGTCACAGTTAGAGTTAACTAGGCTTTACTTCAAACACTTCTGTATTGTATTACTTGGCTCAGGGTATATCATATCACAAGTCCTTTTCTAAAACATGGCAACTAAGTGGCTCATACTTGGACTACTATCATACTTGGGCTGCTATCAAAAGAGCTTTCATATTTCAAAGAAAGTCATGTCTCTGTAGTTGTGTTTGGTTTTCAGTGTTTGGCTCACCGTCTCTCACTTTGTGCTACTCCAAATCCCTTCTTTCGAGTCGACTTCCAAATACAGTGAGATATTTGTCTGTCAGCTGGATGGGGAATAGAGAGACAAAGAAACGACCACGTTTGTGTTTAACAAGCATCTGCACTCTCACTGTACCTCGCTGTTAAAGCATTTTCAAAAAATGAAACATTTCCGCCGACAAACATCTCCGCGAGCCTCTGACCCGAGCATCATCTAACACTCGCAATCACACTTCAAGAGAAATCTCCCAGAGCAGTAAATAAGTGTTTAAAGCACTTGACATGTAAGCTGTTTGTCACCTTCGGTTTAAATATCGCTACATTAACCTTTTTCATTGAGATTAACAGTCAAACAATCGCTTGTGGGCCTTCTGGGAGTCCTAGTGTAAACACTCCACTGCTGTGCGGGAGTCGCCGGAGCCATTAGCCTCCCAGTCAGATCTATCTTCGGCCTTCAGGGGACCAGCAGACACTCGCTGTCAGAGACTGGAGCAAAATTGATCCGATGTAATTGCATCCTGTGTGAAGTTAATGACTTTTTAAGGCGAAGTGGCCATCGGTGATTCGCATTCTGACAGAGATATGTAAATGACCTTGACATGCCAGTCTGCTAATTGGTGGCGGAGACAGCTGTCTTTACGGATGAGCTCGTCTTCCTTTAATGTCTGTGAAATGAGGGTACAGGCCCGCGCTGTTCAGGTGAATACAATCGTGCTGTCGCTGCGAACAATGTCATTATGTAACGTCAGCACTGTGCTGGAAGGTGAAGCCCTGCGCTCCGTGATTAGATATCACCCGGTTGTCACGTTTGTGCGCTTTGATGAAAGTTCTTCACCGTCTATTTTTTTTCTGTTGTCTTCACTTGTTTGTAGTTTTGAAAAGGAGTGCTGGATGTCCTACATTTACAGGTGATGAGTCATGCAGTACAGCACCAAGAATGATTTGTGATTTGTGTACTTTGCACACAGGAAATGTTGCAGTTTGCGTCATATACTCAACCCTTAAAACTCCCAGCTGTATTTTGCCAGTTTTGGTCCGTCTGTTTTTTATTTTTTTGTAAAAATCTATGTAGCAACTCTTTCCTTTCAAGCACAGCAAATATATACATATCTTTTTTTCAGGACACCCTAAGCTGTCAGTTTATAGGTGCAAAAATTAAGTAAAATGAATGTGACAGTAGATGCAGAACCATCAAAGTCAACCAAAAGACAAAAATGGAAATTGATACCAACAGTATTTTAGCCAAAAACACATAAATCTACAGTAACCAAGCCTTTTCTCACCTGCACATCATTCTCTCAAGTCTTAGCTATCAGGAGAAGAAATATTGGTATTGAAACAAACACACAACAGAAACTATTATATATATTATACATTATATATATTTACACTAATTCTTCCAGGCGTTTTTTGCTATTTACAGTTGTTTCTGCCACTCCTTGAAGCAGTTCCTGTCTTGGATGAGACAGAGGGCCACATCATACTGCTCATGATCTCTTCTTTGCTTGTTTCTGAACATCGAGGACCCTTATTTCTTATTTTGCAGACAAGCAGGGAACTTTCTTGTCTCTTGTTGATCTTCGGTTGCATCTTATTGGACACTACTGTCAAGGGAACAACAGATGAACAATATGAGAACATGTAATTGGTCAAACGTTTGACAGAACAAGGCGTCATCAAAACAGCTAGTCAAACCAGGAAGACATTAGCAGCATTTAGTGATAGCAATCTTTTTTTTATCACAACAATATGATAAATAATCCTGTTTTCACCGGTATATCACTGTGGATTTACCATCAACCGTCTCTGATCAAACACCTATTTTTGTGGCTGGATTGTAAACCTTGTTACAGGTGTAGAAATGCCTGGAAACCCTCGATAGATCGCCAAAAGGGTAAACTTTTAACACTATTCATCCCATAGAGATATACGGTATAGTTCCTGAGAAAATGTAAACAATATTAATGGTGACACGTGGGATCGCCTGTGATCCAGCAGAGTTCTAAGAGTTAATAAGAACTCATAGCAGTTTTCTTCACAGGTAAAGCTGTCATTAATTACTCTGTCATCAAGGTTGTTGGGTCCCTTACAGCCATCTTTGTGATAGATTATGAAAAAAATATCTTTGTAGTTGCAACTAATGTTTACTTGCACGCCTCTGTGAAACTCTATGACCTTATTTAGCTGGAGTTCAAATCTACATGGATATAAATACTTGTCTCTCACTGCAGCCTCTTCTACTCCATTAACAGAGCCCTTCCTTTTGCAAGGATCCACCTGCTGCTGAGCAAAGTCACATAACGTTCTTACAGGAACCAGCAGGGGTGTGTCCAGAATGTTTTGACTGAGATGGCCAGACCAAGGCATCAACTTCAGCAGGAGTGAGTGGCATGAAGTATGTGAGCCCACGCACCACATAACATCTATGTTTAACCGATGTTATAACACATAATGTCAGCTTCCCACTGAGCAAATTTCAGTCTAAAAGGGGTTTAATAGACGTCTAATGGTCCTTACGTCTACCACTGGTCTGAAAGTTTTATAGCTGTCTCATAGACTAAACTACTCTGTACATTGATTAATGACTGTAAAAAATGATTTAACCCAACATTTGGCCATTATTTACACAACTTACAGTTTTGATTTAATATTTAATAATAATGAATTAAATTCTATCATCTAGATTCAGGATTAAATATAGATTTATTATTTAGGAGAGAATTTCTGTCTAAACTAAGACAGTCTAATAGACTTCTAAGGTTCAGTAGAATTAGTCCAGTCTTTGACAAATACATAAATAGGATGGTGTTATTTTTTTCTGCACATTTGCCATTTTTTTATCTTGAATTTGAGAAGTGTACCATAAATAAACCAAAATTAAGATAAACCCCCTTTTTTTTGCACATAAAAAACAACTTAAATAAAAAACAGGGTGAAAGACGTATTGAAACTGAACTGAAAAAGTGAAATAAAACATCAAAATGAAATAAAACCTCCAAATTAAGAAACGTTGTAGCCTCTAAACGTGTTATTCTGCACAGTGGTGTTTGAGCTAATTTTCAGAACTTGGCTGGTATATCAAACAATTTTGTATCATTGTCTTTTTATTGAAAATTTAATATAAATTCGTACATTTTTGACATTGTTAGAGCACATTTAATTCACTATTGTCTGTTTTTTGCCAAGAAAATAAACATTAACACACATAAACCATCATAATCTATGTTAATGAGACTCAAACCGAGTCAAAACTTGGTGATGAAAGATACAATAAGCTCAAAATAATCTATTCCAGTCATAATACAGAATTTAAATATGCTTATAAATATTATATTCTACTTCTACAAAGTCAGTGAATGTACTTACACTGAGACACCAGCGTATGTGAACTGTATATTTATATTGGATATCCTCTCTAACAGAATTACACTTGACATTATTTCATTATTTCTGCTTCTGTTGAATATTTCGAGTACTTGCTTGCAACACAAAGACCTTTGCAAATAGGGAACCTTAAAATAAAGGTCAGTGTGTGACATCGTTCATGATGAGGCCGGAGATAAACATTTAAGTTGTGTTCCAGATTAGCTAGAGGTCGTCTTCGGAGGTGTCTGAGAAAATGTCATCAGTCATTAGGACACAGCCCATGAAACACAATGCTCCATTCCAGCTGGAGTGTTTCCTTCAGGGAATCACGGGGATCGTTCAAGTTGACTGGATGCTGCAGACAACGGCAAATTGTTTGCTCTGAGAAATGATTCAGCACGGCTTTGTTCTGTCAGAGAAATGTCACGCAAACTCTGTATCCCTGCTTTTGGAAGGTGAAATTGAACACTTCCTCAGACATGTGACTGAAGGCTTTGAATTTACACATCCACAGTTAGTAGGGCAAAGTCATGGACTGTTTGCTAACAAAAAATTATGCAGCTTCATGGAGAGCCAGATGCACGCCTCCGAGTCTTTTTTTTTTTTTTTTACTGATCGTCTTTGAAGAAAATTCAGCCTCATGTTCAAAACTTTGAAATAATCTCATTTTCATACTCACCCTTGCCGTGGCCCCCCTGCTTGGCACAAATATGTTTATTTGAAAAGCCCTCTGGACACTTAAAAGCTACGAAACTATATCTGCAAATTCTTTGAGCAGGATTTCTAAAAAAAAAAAAAAAAGATTCTGTCTGAACTGTAACATCCACCGAGAGCTGAGATCGCTCAAATTTCATCAGTCTCAAGCTTCTTCATTACGCCAATATCGTTTAAATTTAATCTGACCTTTAAACACACAAGAGCGCCTCCTCAGCAGCAGGATGATTTTTAATTTTATTTCATTCACTCCTCGATCTCGTCCAAGAGGTTTCTACAGATGCACCTGTACTCCGGTTGCTGAAGTCTATTTTTCCTCCTGGTTAAAATGTATGCGTGCCCCGTGTAACAGATCTCCAGGGTCCCAGTGTTATATTAGTGCCATCTCGCCTCCTCCAGGTCCGGCCCCTGCCAAGGTCACTTGGCCTGAGCTGCAGTTGACGGCTCCCAGTCAGCGCTGCCAGATGGTCCCCTCTGCACACATTACCTTCTGCTGATACCACTCTGAAGGTGAGGACATCACAAGTGACATTCAGACTCCAACCATCCCCGCTTTTAGCTCCCAGCAGCAGATCTGGCTTACTGAACCAACTATTCAAATACATATTATCTGTTTGCTGAAATGTCCAGAAATGTCCATTAATTTGATTCATGCTTTATGACATGATTAACGAACGTAAATTTAAAGCTGGTTTTGCTACGTGAATATTTTGCAGCACAAATGGAAATTTTTCATTTCTAGAGGTGGCTCAAAAAAGTTATTTCTGCATCATAACAAAGAATATTTAAGTTTTTTTTTGTCCAAACTGATGAATTTCTCATGCTCTGTTAGTAAAGTGCCAAAGGTAAAAGCATTCTTATCTTTAGAATCTGTTCTCAAACTTCTGAAATCAAAACAAAAAATCATTAAATTTGCAAAAGCAAAATTGGAAATTAAATTGGCAGCTGTTGAAAGAATATCTGTGACTAGACTTTGGGTCATTTTATTCCAGGGATTCAGCCAAGAAAGATAAATAATAAATGATGGGAGACTTTTTAACATCCTGATAAAAGAGTTTGATTGTTTGCAAATCATATAAAGTCTGAATCTGATTGAAAACAAATAGAAAGGATGCATGCATAAAACTTTTAATTTCAGAGTAATGTTCAAGAATTTATGGATTTAATCAACTAGAGCACAAAATGTCAGCAAAATATTCAGAAAATATCTGTACAAAAGAGAAAAAAAACATTAACCAGCAGTGGATAGCTGTGATTTTCAGGTTCTGGAGCAGCACTGCATCAAAAACAGGCATTGCTCTGTAGTGGAAATCACCACATGGGCTTCAAATCACTACAATTAGACATCATGGAGGCTGCTTCTCTGCTCTATCATCATGGTGCACAGTTGAAAGCAACCTTCTGTTTGTACCATTATGATGAAAGATATCTCAAATGAACTTTTAAATTATAAAGTGTAAATCAGTCACAAAGTTTAAAATTGGATTATCTATGTTGTCTTAAAACCAGTTTTTATCAGCTCACCAACTCCAGGTCTCAACTACGTCTTGTACCGTGTTACTGACATTCCTCCGCGCTCATTATTTAGAGTTACTGAGGACTGTACATTGCACATGACACCCTCAAGAAAAAACAGTTTAGTACGAGTGTGAGAGCAGCTGTTTGGACTGAGCCTAGCTTCCCACAGCTGGCATTTAACATATCATACGCATCGGCATTTGGCTCATCCATGTGTTCAGCTAAGCCTCGGATAGAGATGCTAACATCGCCGCATCTGGGACGCTCAGGATGTGTGAACGACTGGATTGATATGGATGTGCAGGTGAGGATAAATCTGTGCTACTCATGGCGGATTAAATTAACAATAAAATATGTAAAAAAACATTTAAATTTTTGTGCTAAAACACAAGGGTTATGTAATTTCTATGACATTGTAAACATTCACTGACTTGTCAATGCCTTAAAAAGAAAATAAATCCCCTTCCTACACACAAACCCACACACACCCACACATCTAAGGAAAAGGCAAAGACTCAGATGAAGCACTGCAGACGGATTTATATGGATTTATGTAAGAAAAAGAGGAGAAACTGGTTGATTGACGTGTCCTATTTGTAGCATGATTGCGAAGGGAAAAAGTCTTGAAATACTTTGCTGTAGTTTTCTAGCTAACAGTTTAACAGCTGATCGGTAACCATAACAAACGTGGGCCAGAACGTCGAGCTAGGAGGGCTGTTGGTTTTTTAAAAAAACGACTTTGAATGTCCAAATTTCGCATTTGTGTCAGTGATTCCCGTCTCCTCGAGGTGCTAGCACCGGCTGTGCCATAAGTCTTACGTTGTCTTACAGAGGTGCCTCCTCTGCTTCATGTGGGTTTGACGTTTTTTAACGAGTAAGACAGCTGTTTTATACAAAGTCAACGTTCTGCCCATATTTGTCTTTACTTCCACACGGCGCCTCTCAGATGTTTTGGTGATGATTCCAAAGCTCTCGCTATTTCTGGGATTTTTCTTCATTTCCTGAAACCAGCGCAGCGCAGTAGCGTATGTAATGTATGTTTTGCATAGAAACAGAGGAAGCATTGGAGGAGGCGGTGGTCGGTCAGGTCGCAGTTGGAGGATGGAGAATTCTTCACCCGAGTAGTACCGTAAAAGAAATTGACGACGATCCTCAAAAAGCCACGCCATTGTCTTTTTTATTTCTCTCTAGAGATGTGTATCGGGTTGTAACAGCGGCAACACTGCCCCCATGGTTTCCGGTGGTACCTCACTATCTGGCCGATATCCATAAACTTCAAGGATACATGCAGAAATATTAACAAAAAGAACACGAAGCAGAGATGGAGAGCTACAGAGAGCTTTTAGTCTGACTGAAACACGAACACAACTGGATAAAGCAGTAGACAAAACCCTGACAGAAAAAAAGTCGACACAGTTACAGTGTTGACATTGTTTGACGTAAACCGAACTTTAGACATTAGTGCACAGCTTTAAAGTTCATGTAATCCAGCATAACTTGCTCACACAACAGAATCACTTGAAAACTTACTGTCAAAACTTCACATGATGCAGTGACAAAGAAAGTAGAGGGCCCTCGAAGTGATATTGATTTCTACCGGAGTTGCCATTGTAAGGATGAGGTTGACAGTTTAGCTCAGTTGGAGAGTGCATGTCTAAACCCTCGTTTTTGTATCTATATTTTTGTGAGGATTGAAATGTTTTGCAGCAAATCAAAAATGAGGCATATTCACATAGAAATATTTACCAGGCAGTTGTGTTTTTTCGGGGGCCCTGCAGCGCATTTTGCTCAAGGACCCACAAGTATGTTACGGCAGCTTGAGTGGGCTTCACTGTTTACTGTGAAGAGACATAATTTGGAATTTTCTCTTTTTTTTGTTTTCTGTAATCAGTAAATCCCCTGCTGTGTTTACCACTCGCCCTGCTTTTGCATATGTGACACCAAGTAGCAGATATTAAAACGCAGTGAGGCACAATGTGCAGAAAAACGCTGCAGCCTTAATTGAATCGGTGAAAAACAAGGACATGGTAATGGGGTGTATGAAACAAAATGCGTCCAGTGATGTCCTTAGGTTTCAGCTCATTATGTCCTGATGTCTGTGAGCGGTTGTAGTCGGGAGCAGACCGCTCCATGTTTAAATGACCATCCTCCATGTCTGCTCTGTCTTTGTCTGCTGTTGGAGTCAAAAAAGAAGAGATGTGGGTATTCTCTTTGAAAGTCATATAATTACAACAGAGTAATCAGCCCGTTTAACGTCCCTCGTTCCTTTTGTCCCTGGCGTTCAAAGGCTTAAGGGTGGCTAATTGGGCAAGAGGGCTTACCCAAATGGCGAAGACTCGGGGAAGAAAAGTGGCTTTCAACATACGAAGATACGAGGGGGCTTATGTCCTGCGCAGAATAATTTTCTGATAACATTGAGACCACTCTTTTACTTTTTGGAGAAAGGCGACAGAAAGGAAAACCTGGCTGAGCGCAGCGTGCAGTCACGGCGCTGCTTTGTGAGGAAAAGACTGCCTGCAGTCCAAGATAAAGTGGCGGGAGGTGACAAATTCATAACGGCTTTGTGTTTCGTACAATTCGAAGGGATTGTGGGGTTGGCCGGGAATAAGGTGACACGGCTGACAGGGATTTCATCAGGGCTGAACTTGCCACACACAGCAAGAACACAATCCTCTCCGAGATTCGTCTTAGAGACTCAAACGGAGGAATACAGATATAGATATATATATACAGTATGTGCCTTTTTCTTATCCGCTGACTCAACTGAAGACGAGTCGCTCAGCGCGGAGAATACATTAAAGGTGTTATTAAAAACAAAGAGCAGAGCAAAAACACATGCTTGTCTTAATGTGTCAGAGGTAAAAGCATTATTTTCACTGAACATCTGTGATTTTTGAGCGAAGAAATACAGCTATTTTTCACAGCAGTATCGCGGCGCTCTCAACAGCTGACATTTGAAAGTGATGTACCAAGCCTGTCATTTTAACCGCTCATCCATCGCTTTTTTTAAGGCTTTGGTGAAGGTAGGAGGAAAAAGGCCTCCTTTGGATTTTCAGATCCAAGACTAGTCAAGAATCAATTCATCAAATTATAGATGTTTTTTTTTCAAACATATGCAATCTTGATATAAACAAATAACATAATCCACTCAGGTAGAGAAGAATCGACATGTGGTCTTATATCACACTCAGCTCTCACTGTTATGAGTTTGAAGTGCGTTTCTATGTGACCAACTGGCTGAGAGTGACGCACACAGCCGGGGGCTGCAGCCATGTGTGAGGTTAGTCTCCATGAGCTCGTTATGTGAAGCGATACACAACAGCCACTGCTATGAAAAGGGAGATCAACAACTTTTTACCAGGACATTAAACAATACAGGGATACAAATGTAGGGGATTTCACAGACGGGCAAAATGGGTCATCTCTGCGAACATCAGAGCCTCCTGAGTGTGTTTTCTGCAGCTGAACTGACCGTGACCTGGTATTGCTCTCAACTAACAACCAACAATGTGGACATGCTTCTCATTTTTGTGTTCGATAGTCATGTAACACTTTTAGACATGTCAGTTAAGTTGCAGAAAAATGCACATTTTTCACAGTTGCAAGAAGAATACTTTGAATTTGCATCCCTGCCATTCAAACTGAGGTACAGTTATTGATTACACTGTTTACTGTCCTTTCCCCGAGCACTCAAACACCAGGTGGGAATCAATGTATTGACAAAAGCATGTCTGCCTCTGTTATGATTTCCTCCCTTCTTTCAGTTAGTTGGACTTCTTTGCAGTTGAGCTGAACTGATTGTACGTTTAATGGTAGAAATAGAGGCGACTGTACAGCTCTGTATGTCTGCATGTTCATTTCTAATTCGTCTTCTCTATTTCCTCTGTTCAGGTTTTGTCTTTCACCTGCACATTTATACGTCTTAAAGCTATAGTGCGTAACTTCTGTCGCCCCTAGTGGATTTCTGTGTTATTACAACAATATGGCCAGCGAGGAAAAGCGACAGCGACATAAATCCGCATTACCCAGGATTTTCCACAGCATCTGGAATTTTCGCCGTACGCCAATACCTACTGGATCTGTTTGTGAGGCGGATTTTATAGCGAATTACGGACAGCAGGAATTGCAAGAACTCACAAGAACCCACGGATTCAGGTGCAATTGCGCGATAACAAGTTGTCTTTAGCCGCATAGGCTAACCATATAAGCAGTAGATTGTGTTCTTCCAGAGGAGGAAATCTACAACTAGAATTCTAGAATCTGCATCTCCTCATTTATGGTGTCAACGGGGTAAAATGCTGTCTATAAACCTTTCACTTGTTCGTCCCCGCCAGTTTGCATGGTGTGAAATACGATCTGCCGGAAACAAGCCAGATGTTTTATTTTGTGTCTGTGTACAGCTTCCTTTCCAGCACGGATTAATCTGTGCTGAGTTTATCCGACATGCTCCAGTGTCGAGAAAAAGTAGAACTCTTGCGATTGGCTGCGGAGTCCCGCGATCCGCAGTGGAATGGAAAGAAGCCGGTGGAAATTGACACATTAACTTGAATGGTTACGATCAGCTATGATCGGCAGATACGGCCTTTTTCATTGCCATTCCAGATGCAATAGATATTGGGGGTTAGCCTTCTCTGTTTGTCACTCTCCTTCTTTGCCAACAGACCTTCTCCTGAATGAGAAGGCTTTTTCTTTTTGGTAGGATCCACTTCTGAACCTCTTGGTCTCTTCTTCTGGTTCTCCGCCAAGTTGCTCCTAGCCGCACTCTCTTCCCCCCTCCCTTCTCGTTGTCAGGTAAAACTAAGTAGAAGGCATCATTTCCTTTTGTCGCCCCTTGACACAAAAATACAAAAAGAAAAAATACTGAAAAAAACCACGAGTTGTTATAGGAGTCCAACGGTTTAATCAGCGTTACCATCTCCTTTTGTACTAGATGGGTGAAACGGATATTTAGACATGTAGATCTTACACACTATAGCTTTAATTTCCAGATCAAAATGGCATGTTAGCTGTGGGCTGAACCTCAAGTCTAGATTGGACCTTATAAAGATTTACATTCTACTCAGTTTATTGTTCATATGTACCCTGCAAACTATGCTCAGTGTCTTAAATCTCATTATACTCTGATGTTGACCTTTTACCTTTCACAAGAGCAACATCTGAGAACCATGTAGACTGAGTAAAGAAGTTGGAAAACCCAACAAGAGTCTGTAAAGATCTGTACCCTGTGGAGAAAAGTAATTATGCACTGTACATCAGACACAAGTCCAATTTAATGTGACAAGATTCTACAATGAAACCTTTGCTGCAACACTAGATAGAACAGTCGTGAAGTCTGCGGCTATTGTTTCATGTGTTGAGGATATTACTGTGCCAGGGGGTGACGGCTGTAAATGTTTTTTTTGGTTTTTTTTATATTAAATCAGAGTTGTCAGATACCAAACAGATGGCTCTAAAAGGAGTTTTTCAAAGTTGTGAAAGTGAAATAGCAATTATAAGTCCACAGAGAAACTGTCTTGATTTATGCTCAGTGTTATAATTTCACACAGCATTGCGACACGATGAGGTCTGTCAAGTTTACTTTCATCTCATTTGGTTTAACGTTTGATGCTCATTAAAAGGAGTGTACAAAAGCAGCCATAATTTCTGTTATTCGTGTTTTACTCACAAAAGTACTCGGCTTATTTTTCAGTCCCTCTCGGACCAACTTAACCCTCCACAGCCATAAAGTGAAGACTAAAAAAAGATTTAATTTCCCGTCTTTATTTGTCTAACTGCATATTCAATAAATCTGGGAAATAACTGGCTTTAACCACACAGTCCTTTAACAGTTTTGATTTCTCAGTAAAAAGGATCCATCCTCTCTACAAAGAACTTTGAAGGTTTTGACAAACATGTCCAGTTCAATTTTCCCCCACCTTGTCTGTGACACCATGAAGCTTCATCCTTGACTACTCTAAGATCACAGACTGCAATTAGAAAATTGGAGCTTAATACAAACAAAATGATTAGCCTACGAAATAGCGAAGTTCACCTCTGCTCCTCCAACTTGCCGGCTTTCAGAGTACGCTGAAAGACATTTTTATGAGAGTTCTCCGCTTTCTTCAAAGTCTGTCTCTCAGCCGTCACTGAACCTGCAGGTATCATGAGATCAACAAAATGAAACTTTCCCAGGTGTCAACGACAGCACAGCTTTTTTTGGAAGACATGATATGAAGATTAAAACAGAAGAAAGAAAGAAAAAGTTTGAGCTGCACGTGATGTTCGCCGGCCTCCTCCTTTTGTAAGAGTTGGGAACATAGAGGGTATATAGAATGGACGCCGTCTGCCTCCTAGCTGGGTGAAGCCATCGCGAGAACAGCACCCTCTGGTGACAGGCTGCAGTATAGGTTATAAATCCCCCCTCCTCCAAATTTTATGGGTGTACGAAGATCGTGTAGCTCACCCGGAGGATACGCGTTTTGAGCAGAGCGTCATCACAGCGACTCTCCCACCAAATGCGTACAACGCTACAGCGCCAATGGTGGTTTCAGGAAGTGGAGAAATTCCTGGAAATACTGAGAGTAATTCAGCTTCAAATTTGTACAATGATGGAAGGCGGAGCCAAGTTGTCCATTGTATATACAGTCTATGGTTGGGACGCCTTCTTACGACACGAGGCAGCTCTCAGTTTTGGAAGTGTGCAACATGCTATACTAATTATGCTAACACTGGCCTCGCAGTCATCTTGATGTTAAAATAAAAGTGACCATGTAACCTTATAGCATGCAACAGTTTCCTATGGAAGATGCGACCATTAAACATGCAGATAAAGGTATTTTGTATTGTGCTCTGATATAGAAATCCAGAGGACGGCACTTGGAGGTAGAGGTGCCCACTTTGATGCATGCATTTCCTCTTATCATCTCCCTCTTATCTGGGGTGACCATACGTCTCTTTTACCCGGACATGTTCTCCTTTCTGGGGGCTGTCTGTCCTTCAATCCAATCTTCAAATCCTTCAAATATCCGGGGTTTTGTTTGGAAGTTCAAGTTTGTGTAGCGTGGACTAACTGAGTTAGAAGCACATTAAAAACACTCGACCCAACCTGAGAAACCCCCTAAATTTACTACACTCTACTCCACAACTCCACCCCGTGTAACAGTGTCCTCTTTTTGGGGATTCAGAACATGGTCACTCTATCTTATCACTTCCCTATCTTGCTGTGCTGTTTGATTGAAAAGACTCCTCACTTTTAGACAACAAATGACCAACAGAGGGGGTCGCCGTGAAGCTCGATGAATCAAGAAAGAGCTTCACAGTTGCACAGAAACCGGACATTGCTGACTTTCTTAAAAGCAGAGGAAATCCTGTTCTAAGTAGACAGTTTGGACCTTTTACCACTTTATACACCAGTGCAATTTATGTTCCAGATTTTAAGGTGGATAAAAAATAAGACTGAGAACTACCTTTTACACACTGAAGGTCTTAATTCGTAGCTGTGATCACCTGTTGCTGACCAAACTCAGCAGATAAAGCTTAAACATACTGAGTGGGGTACTTTCTATATTCTATTTACTATTACAAGTGTGAAAATGCAAATGTGCAACTTTGGTAAATAAAGACGTCCAAACCATCCAGATTTCTGCAGTTTGGTGTTAGGGTCCTAAAAAGGCTTCCTCTGACCCTTAGCCTCCATCCCCTGCTGTAAAACACTACCTGCCCAAGCCACTCCTGCCTACATGCAAATGCATTTTCCTCATAGTGGGTTTGTATGTAAACCTGAATAATTCATCACAAAGGTGGTTTTGGGTGACGTCGGAGGGGAACAGCGAACATCCATCTAAGGCTGCGAACTGAGAATCACCTCCCTCTAAATGCACCTCATCATCAGTTCTGGGGTCTAAATGGGAGATGCTGTTGCATACAGCTGCAAGTGAGCACATCTATCCAGCTGGCATCTGTCCCCCCGTGAGGACAGGAGAAACTTCCGCGGCATTTCTCTCGGGATCGGACTGACAGTGCAGCGAGCACATCGAACATGACTATAAATAGAGCCCAACAATGGCTTCATCTGATGGATGTGCCTGTGGCTAACTGTCAGCAAATAAGCATCGTTTTATGAACAGACTGTAAAAGATGCTGCAGAGGTATTGATCAGAATTCATGCGTGTAAATCCTGCATGTACAAAATGAAATGTTTTAATGAAATGAAGCTTTGATTTAATCTATTATGCCTTGTTTATTACCGAGTGAGGATATTTGATTCTGTCTGCGACCTTATGAACAAATGAAGTACCAGCTTCTCATTGTTTTAATATATATCTAATGTTTTTTTAATGGGCTGCTCTTTACATATTCATATAAGAGTTTTTCTATGCAGAATTTATGAACGCCTCATGGTTGGAGACAGAAGAATCAATTCAAGCTGCAGAAATCGTCGTACTCCAGCAGGAATAATTCAGACCTCAAATTGGAGTTGATTTCATTATTTACAAATTGCTCAAGGAGCAAAAGCATGTTGCTTTGTTCTTCTTGTCATCTTGTCAGCCGATCAAATTTTACTTATTGAGCCTTGTACTTATTTATTGATTTATTCTTGCAGCAGCAGCAGGGTATCATGCTCAAAACACAAAGAGCGGCTGTGTGATTTTATTAGCTCGCTTTTCCGGACCAATCAGGTGTATCTCCTATCAGACTGCTGCATCTCTGATAGGTGAGAGAGAAAGAGCTTCTTCCTTATCTTCTGTTTCCTCTCTTTTTTTTTTTTCCTGTCATGCACTTTGAAGGACATACTTTTTTACCCTTTTGGCCCTGAGGGGTGTTCCTGTAAAATCACAGGTCCACAGGCGGGGGGCTCTCAGCAGACAGGTCACCTGTCTCCTGGACCACCTGGAGTGAAGTGAGAGCACACAGCCAGCTGTCAGTCAGTCAGTCAGGTCGGAGAGCGAGAGCGAGCGGAGGAGGGGAGAGGGAAAAAAAAAGAAATGAGTGCTAATGGGAGGGATGGAGGATGACATTTAAGTAGGAGTTGGTAAGAAAGTGGAGAGGAAGCTCTGTCTTGATGCAGCTGTGATCCTTAACCTGCGCCTCACCCACACAAACACCCTCACAGCATGTAACAGGTTTACTCTCGATCGCATGGAGGAATTCTGCTTTTAGATCAAGCTGTAAAGACATACAAACATAATCGTGATAAAAGTGTCAACAGGTTTAGAAAAAGAAAAAACCCTTTATTGTTACTTTTAATCAATCGTGTAATTTGTTACATTTTCTTTTCCACAGGTGCAAATACAGGTTTGTTAATATCTTTATAAATTAGGGCCGGGATGTCAGTGCGTTAATTGCGATTAATTAATTCCAGTAATATTAGAATGACCATATTCTGAATCCCCCAAAAGAGGACACAACTACGTTGGGGCAGAGTCACGGAGTCGCATGTGGTTAATTTGAGGTTTTTTTGGGTCGGATTGAGGTTTTTTTTTTTTTTTTGCTCCTAACTCAGTAAGTCCATGCGATTAAAGAAACTTGAACTTGAACTTGAACTTGACTCAAACTCTGCCCTACAGAATACAGTCAAAATATTTTGCACGCTAAAGGTCCTTACACACCGGGAGCGCTTTTTTTGTGCGATAATTTTGGACATCGATTTTTTTTTCAGAACCTGTATCCTGTCAATACAAGTGTTCACATCAGCGACGTTTTCCCGTCCTGCGATATTGTGGCATTTATTTTCTCGTATCACGGTTAAATTTTCGCATACTGTGTGTCCACTTCTAACCAATCAGATTTCATGTTGTTGCGAAGTCAGATTCACCGGTATATCCAACATGGCCGACCGGCTGATTGTTTACATGTCGGAGAAAAGAGTGAGACAGACATCTCAACACGAGTGTCTAATCAGAACTGAAAAACAGTGTCACTCTTCTCGCTTCCACGCAGGACGCGTCTTCTTTCCCCCCCGGAAAGTCGCAAAATCGCATCGTGCTTGATGTGTAGTCAGGCGCACTGAAATTCGCCTCCAAATATTTCGTAATTGCGCTTTGTATATATATGCGTTGTTCCCGGTGTGTAAGGACCTTAAGATCAGCCTGTGTTGAAAGTGCTTTTAGTTCGGCTTCCCAGAAGCTTCCTCCACTGTTGCAACACGACGAAGGTGCCCTACAGAATACAGTCAAATATTTTGCACCTTTGCTAAGAGACGATGCAATATTATACGACTCCTCTGAGGAAGTTTGTAGCTGAAGAAAAAACTCACAAAATGTTTGACTAGAAGGAAGAAATGGTTTCAGATTTTTCAAGTCAAAGCAGGTCCATGCTTCAAGTTTCAAAGTCCTCCTCTAACGTCTGCCTGGAAGGTGACATTGCAACACTGATAGCTTTTATTTTGACTTATTGACGGAGATTGCAGAAAAAAAAAACAGTCAATTTGTTTTTGGCTATTTTGCCCCAAATGCAGTTTAAATGAATCTGTCCACTTGGCTCCTTTTTCAATCATCTAACCTGACCTATTTTCACCAAACTCATCAGTCAACTTGTCGTTTAAGATTTAGGAACTGTTGGCTTTGAAATGTATTGGATTGCACGAATTTCATCACAAAAACATGATTGCGTGTTATTTATTTGTGTCAGGGTAGTGACATTTGACACATTAGATGACACCATTGGATGATATATGAGCTCAAAGGGCTTCAAACTGTGATCAGCGCTGCTTTCGGCGTTTAATTCAACAAGCTGATGGTGAGAGCGCTGGTGATTTGCATAATACAGTACGCTCACCTGAGTCCAAACAAACGAAAACACTCTAAACAGCCATTTAAAAGCACTTAACGTTATTTTGATAGAACATCTGTTGGGAGAAGATGTAGCCTTAATTGCGCAAATGCATGACTCAAATGCAAACATGCAGAGCGAGTTGCAAGTGGATAGGATGCCCGGATAGGTGAGTCGGTGCTCCTTCCATCAACTCTCTGCAATCTATCGATGTCAGACACAGTAGACGACGTGTCAACACATCAATAGATTTTTCTTTTTTCATCCGGCCTGTGGGTCGAAGATCAGAGAAGGAGTGAGGAGATAACCCCCTGGAAATGGAGCTTAATTAGACCTTACTCTGATAACGGCCTGAGATATATCAGGAAGGTAGAGGTCTCTTAATAAATTCTGGGGGGGTTCCAAATGAGGAGGCAGGAAACAGAAGCACATCTGATATACTCAATCAAGTGCAATTAATCTCAGTTGTGGGTGAAGGTAAGGGTGGGTTGTAAAGTGCCTCACACTCCTGGCATCATTACACACTCGGGTGCACGCTGACTTTTAAGAGGTGTGCCGCGGTGGTCTATTTGTGCAGCGGAGCGTGCAGTGTACAAGCAAGGCCAGGGACATTACCCTCGCCGTGTGTCGTGACACTGTAGCCTCATCAAGGTAACCTGCAGGGAAGCAATCTGGGGATGGAGTATATCAATGCTCTAATTTAAATGTCACTTCCTTTATTTTACACTCCCCTGGCAAAGACGCTCACCTTTTCCCTTTTTGCACAGCAGAATTAATAAGAGGAAAGATGCTGAGCCTTTACCCAGCTCTGTAAAATTAATGTCGGACCATTTCTGCCTGGTGACCCACTACTCACATACACAAATTGTCATGGAAACAGAAATCTGATGCGAGACTTTTCTTCTCCCTTTTGCCTTTTTTTTTATATTCAATTTGGCATGTCATGTTCTGGTCCGTGCCCGTGAATGAAGATATCACAATTTAATCAGGAAACCATGTACCATGTGAGTGTGTCACACCCCCCGTGATTGGAACATCACTGCAGCTCTTCTGCCTGTTCATGATCTCCCAGGGAGATTATGTATTTCCTGAAATCTCAGCTAAATCTCTAACGTGTATTTCTATGTATATATTATATATTATATATATTGTACCATTAAAAATCAGTGGTGGACGGAGTTGCAGCTTCATCGCTTGAGTTAAAGTTGGGGTAGTCAGGATCTGAGGAAGTGCCCCTCACAACCAGTTTTACCCTCAGCTCCTCCTCTCCCCTCCCTCTCTGCTCCAGCAAGCCCCGCCCACAAACAGACGCTCCTGCTTGCTTGTATCGTTCCAATTAAATTCATATATAATGCAGATAAATACTTCAGATAATTACAAATGGGGCCCAGTCAGGGTGAAAGTCAACAGCATTGGTGCTACTGTAGATGCCAACAGACTACCAGCAAACACAATGTTTGCAGGACTTCTACAAAGAGGATAAAGTGACATAGCCCAGGACCCGAGGTCAACAGTTTAGCGATGCTATAACACGCAGCAGGTTGTTAAAGTGGTTTACCTGTCCAGCAGAAAGGTTGCACCCCCGATCATTGTTGACACGGCTTTTTAGCTCTTGTCCGGTCTACCTCAGTTTTAAGCGCCCGTTATTCCACCAGAGTCTCCGGTATTTACTTTGTTTTCTTACTTGTGTCGGCAGTCGTGGCCAAAGGAGGATTCAGACAATTTTCCGAACTTTCTGGTTGGTTTCTACTGTCTGATATTGTAGCACGCTAACTTTGTTTGGGCTCCTGAACGACACAGGGGAGCGGCCAATCAGGATGAGGGGGGCGGGGAATGGCTTTGTTTACAGTCAGAAAGAGCGGAGCGCTCAAAAAATTTAAAATGTTGACTAAAAAGACATAACAAAACACAGCGATATCATTATATTCCCAAAGGTCATCAATAACTAATAACTATTGACTGATATTAAAAGCCTATTTTTGTATGTACACCACAAAAAAAGATGCTTCTTTAACAGATTCCTGCCTACTCCACCTTTAATAGGAATACAACCATGACCGGGTCATCATCTCTTGAGGATGTAGTTGACATTATTTCTCTTTCTTCTCTCTCCCTCAATATACAAATTTTATTCGTGTCACACCAGGTGTGTATAGGAAAGGCGTAAGCTGAATATTTTGCATTTTAATGACCGTAACTCTCTTAATGCCGCAAAGTGTTTTAACTCGTGTGGATAAAGATGGGATTGGAGTGGGTCTGATCAAAGATGGGGCTCAGTCTTATCCCATCTTTACACCTGGTCTTTGTAAATAGAGATTAGTCTAGACCAGCTTGTCACTGTTAATAGTCTCGGGATAGCACTTGTTGTCAATCAGCACTGTATAAATAAAGATTGATTGATTGATCGGCACTGTAGTTGCACAGTTCAGTAGACACCAGTTGTAATCCTAGCTTTAGTTCCGTAACATATAGAGCGTGAATATGACACCACTGCCCGGTTAAGATTTGTCCTCTTAATGAAATCTCTGTTATTATTAGACGGCCTGCTGCGTTCAGCTTTGTTACCATCCGAAGCGTCACCATGGTACATTTACAGCTGATAGATTTCTGCACGGACTAGAGGACACTCCTTTGGCCTCTTTCTAATTTAATGTACATGAATCGGCTCATCCATAAAATCAGATCAAGGATTATAAGAAACGCTGAAACCAATACTTTTCATGAGACATTAACCTCATACACAGCTGTTTGTTTCATGAGCAGAGTGATAACAAACAGAGCTTCAGGGGGGGCAAACAGAAGCAGACTGCAATCTTTGTTTTCTTTTAGTATTTGAAACTCTCATCCTCTTCGTCTTCAGACTTTATTTTGGAGGCACGGAGTGATTACACCTGCACAGAACAAGAGCAGAGACGACAACAGACTATCATTATTGATAGGAAAAAGCCACTCCGACTTTTAGGACTGCGCAATCGTCAAACGAGTCATCAGGTAGATTTTTATTCCCCTTTAAAGTGCAATTACTCTGGAGGACATCAGACGTGGATTAGTCGATGCAGTCCCATCCATCTGTGCAACGGTGAAATTCAGGCCTCATGGTATAACTGTCGGACACCTTTAAAATACAGCTTCTGCTTGGCTGTTTCATACAGGTGCAATGCAGCACACATGACGTACAACACACTGTATCTCCTGAGCCGTATGAGTCATCCCCACAATGCAATTTTAAAGTCTTGCTCTCCCTCAGTCTTCTCCTCTGGGAGCCGGAGTAGATTCATGACCAGGAGGACAGGTGATATCAGTTGTGACTTGGTGTGAGGTGAGAAAAACTAAAGATAGGGAATGAGCAAGTGCTGTGGCTGCTCTCAGGAGACCGCAGAGCAGAAGACGAAATTCTCAAAAGTTCATGGGGGGAAAAGGGACCGGGAAGGTGTTGAGGTGGAAGAGAATGAGGTGGAGCAGTGAGAGACAGGTTTCATATTCAGAGAAGGAAGAGAAAGAGCTTGTTTGAGAGTCGATGATTAATCGCATTAATAAGATATCTACCATATTTTAAAGATTTGATCTATTCATACTTGTCGGTCATAGGATGGTGGATAGACGAGGAAGGATGGTCAAAAAAAAAAAAACAGGCTCTCCACAAAGGGTGCATGAATTAACCATGAAGGGAGAGTACACACAGCAAGATCATCGGGTTGATTTCTGTACCTGATAATTAAGAGTATTTTTAGGTTAACAGATCAAATAACAAACTACAAACTGGGAAATTAACCTCTTATCTTTCTGTAAAAATGAGACAGAGATTTATTCAGACATATTTCTGCAGGATGTCAGGAAGTCATGTGGGACTAGAAAGCAGATGCCTAGTTGAGGTAGAGTTGAGTCTGGTCTCATTCATGAAACTTTGTAAACTTCAATGTTAATTTTAATAAACATCATTGGCTGGGGTGACCATATTCTGACTTTCCAAAAAAGAGGACACAAGTACGCAGGGGCGGAGTCACGGAGTCGCACAAAGTTAATTTTGAGATTTTTTGGGGTCGGATTGATTGTCTTTTATGCGCTTCTAACTCAGTAAGTCTACGTGACACAAAATCGAAACTTATGTACAAAACTGCAGACATTTGGTGGATCTTATAAACTTCCTGGACAAAGCCGGACAGCCCCCCAAAAAAGAGGACATGTCCGGGTAAAAGAGGACTTATGGTCACCTTATCATTGGCGCTAAACAACAACTCTGGATTCATGAACTCTATGAATCATAGAAATGTGTGAGTTTATGGATGTTCATGATTGCCAATTGATCGTAGAGTTTTGCACCCATATAGGACCAAGCCTCATTTTGGTTTAACTGTTCCTTTAAGAGAAGAATAAAATGATGGGGTCTTTGCTGATGCTCTTCCTGCCTCAGCTTTTCCTGTGCTCTACCTGCCTCTGACTTTTTGAAGTGGTTAGCCAATCAAAACCGGAGCTGCCCCGGACAACAACAACAACCGCAACCATCATTAATGGTGCGATTCCATTCGCCACCATTCAATGGTGGTTCCATTCACGTCGGAAGTTGGAGCTGGGGATAACGTTGCACTGACTTATCTGCCTTTCAGTTACAAAATCAGAAAAAAAGTAGCAAATGGCCAAAAACGGAAGCTGAAACAAGATGGCTACATCTACGAAAGTTATTCTTGCCCTTGCCTTGTCCAAATATAAACAACTTCCGGACAAATGAGTGGTTCTTCTGCAACCTAAAAACACGGTGGATGAAGAGGAAACAGAAAGGCACAAAGGTAGCCTATTTTTTCTCATTAGAGGAGCTTCTACTTACTGGTTACAACCAGCGTAGACACCTATAAATGTCGTCCAACTTTCCAAATCGGAAATCGGACCTCGGGTGTCATTCCAGTTGAAAACTCCAACTCAGAACTTGGAAATCCTGACTTCGAAGTACAACTGGAATGCACCATAACCATGTTTAACTTAGTTTAACTTCAGAAATGGATCGTCTGTAAAACCTGCCGCTACAAACTGAAAAGAAGAGTTGTTTCCACGATGGATGTACCACGTAAGAACAAAACTGTGAAATCTTTATCTGTTGTGTGGGGTCACTCAGGCCCAAAAAGACTAAAATGTGTATAAAAGAAGTTTACAGCCAGTGCAAATGTGCAGGAGTAATGAGGGAAAATAGTGTGTCCCCAACACGAGGCTAAAATCCATGTAAACAGTAATCGCTCCTCCATGTCAAACACTGATCACGACCTTTTCCTCATTTGAACCCTTTTGCGCCCACTGTGTGTGTAATCGCACTTCTAAGAGAGAAGTTAATGCCCTACAGTGATGGTGTTTGCCTTTAATGAGTGTCATAAAAGAGGCTTTAAAACAACCACTTCAATTAAAGCACAAATAAAGATTTGAAAGAGTGCAAGAGCAAACTTAACGAGACGAATCAGTGAGAAAAAAAACAAAACACCGGGGTTAAAATAAAGGGGAGGACACGCAAGATTTTTTCATTACTATTCCAAGAAATGCAGATTTTTTTTTAATTATCTGATATGAAAAATGTACAGGTTGTATAATTACATATATTTAAATAACACTGTAAAAATGTATGGATTACATTGTAAACTGCTTTAACTAAATAAACACACACATGTTGTGTATCCCTGCCTAAGAGAAAACTCAAAAGTTGAAAAACTTAATTGATGCTGATTGATAGTCAACATCTCTAACACATATATAATTAAAGTGGTATTTAGTAAAGAAGCTCTATACAGCAGTGATTAAATTACATGTCCCTTTTTGGCATCCAAGTCAGTCTGCAGTGAGAAAGAAAGCGTGTTAACGGATAAACTGAATTGTTAGTCTAATTTAAACCTACAGTAAAAAGTTGACAAGACTCTTAAACGTTGTGTTTTTCTCTGAGTGATGCAAACTTATCTCATTACCTTATATTAAAATGACTTGAACATTGAAGGCAGCTAAAATACTTGATCTTAAAGCTTCAGTGGAGTTTTTGATGTTTATAAAATCTACTGGAATTCATACTGATTATTTTTTATGATCATCAAGACTGACTTTAATTTTTAACACCTGAAACCAATGCGAGGGGGTAGGTGATGGGTAGGCGAGCAGCTGAAGCAACCGCGCTGTTCTTTTAGTTTCAGCTAAAATGTTCCTTATACATTTTACATACGACAGTCAAAAGTCTGTAGGATGAGATTCTTTGTCGATAGGTTGTACTTCGGTCTGTAGAAGCCAGGATAAACAAGGACTGATTGGTCCATAGGGGGCGCCAAAGATGACACACACTCCTCACAGGAGTTTTAACGAGCTTTACTGTTCTGAGCAGGTTTCTAAATTGAGACATACACTCACCGGCCACTTTATTAGGTACACCTGTCCAACTGCTCGTTAACACTTAATTTCTAATCAGCCAATCACATGGCGGCAACTTAGTGCATTTAGGCATGTAGACATGGTCAAGACAATCTCCTGCAGTTCAAACCGAGCATCAGTATGGGGAAGAAAGGTGATTTGAGTGACTTTGAACGTGGCATGGTTGTTGGTGCCAGAAGGGCTGGTCTGAGTATTTCAGAAACTGCTGATCTACTGGGATTTTCACGCACAACCATCTCTAGGGTTTACAGAGAATGGTCCGAAAAAGAAAAAATATCCAGTGAGCGGCAGCTCTGTGGGCGGAAATGCCTTGTTGATGCCAGAGGTCAGAGGAGAATGGCCAGACTGGTTCGAGCTGATAGAAAGGCAACAGTGACTCAAATAACCACCCGTTACAACCAAGGTAGGCAGAAGAGCATCTCTGAACGCACAGTACGTCGAACTTTGAGGCAGATGGGCTACAGCAGCAGAAGACCACGCCGGGTGCCACTCCTTTCAGCTAAGAACAGGAAACTGAGGCTACAATTTGCACAAGCTCATCGAAATTGGACAATAGAAGATTGGAAAAACGTTTCCTGGTCTGATGAGTCTCGATTTCTGCTGCGACATTCGGATGGTAGGGTCAGAATTTGGCGTCAACAACATGAAAGCATGGATCCATCCTGCCTTGTATCAACGGTTCAGGCTGGTGGTGGTGGTGTCATGGTGTGGGGAATATTTTCTTGGCACTCTTTGGGCCCCTTGGTACCAATTGAGCATCGTTGCAACGCCACAGCCTACCTGAGTATTGTTGCTGACCATGTCCATCCCTTTATGACCACAATGTACCCGACTTCTGATGGCTACTTTCAGCAGGATAATGCGCCATGTCATAAAGCTGGAATCATCTCAGACTGGTTTCTTGAACATGACAATGAGTTCACTGTACTCAAATGGCCTCCACAGTCACCAGATCTCAATCCAATAGAGCATCTTTGGGATGTGGTGGAACGGGAGATTCGCATCATGGATGTACAGCCGACAAATCTGCGGCAACTGTGTGATGCCATCATGTCAATATGGACCAAGGTCTCTGAGGAATGCTTCCAGCACCTTGTTGAATCTATGCCACGAAGAATTGAGGCAGTTCTGAAGGCAAAAGGGGGTCAAACCCGTTACTAGCATGGTGTACCTAATAAAGTGGCCGGTGAGTGTATATCGCTTGCTTGAAATCTTTGGCTATGTTCACTCTGCAGGTCAATTCCGATTTTTTAACCATATGTGACATATCTTATTTTTTAATGTAAGTGTAAACAGTGCAATTCTGATTTTTACAAATCCGACCCAGGCCTCTTTTGTATGTGGATATAAAATCGGATATGTATCCGATGTGACTGTAGAGTGGACGCTCAGGTCGCGTTCATCCGACCTATACGTCATCAATATGCGACAAACGTCATCATTGTTCAACAACACAAACAGCCGTGGAAAGCAGTGGCGGACAAGGGAACAGAGAACAGTCAGCCAACATGATTTGTGCGCATGCGGGTCACTTCACGGACGCATTCTGTTCACATTAGATGCCGAATTCGTTGTTGTAATGTGAACGACCGCACAAAAAGATTGAATTTAACAAAAAATCCGAAAATCTGCAGTGTGAATGTAGCCTATGAGACCTCCATTCAAGCTCAAATCCTCTCTCATGTAGTTTGTTTTCATCTGTTTTAATGCTTAAACTTTCCAACGTGAACAAGACTGTTTACATGAAAGTGGAGCAAAGGTTTCAGGACTCACATTCATATTTGCACCTAGTCTGACCTTCACTGGCTCCGAACACCAGATTTTCCTCCATCCCTACCCCCCAAAAAAAGCAGTCTGACATGTTTGCCTCAGGCCCATCCCATTTCAAAGGTGGATTTTGTATGTAGACAACAACCTGGTAATTTCCCTGGGCGCAGCAGCTGAGCACACTCGTCTGTGCGATGACAAACGGAAAGGGTTATCCGGTCCCCTCAGACTGCCGCACAAACATCGCTCAGATAAACCTAATTTTGCCCAAGGCTCTCTTCACCTGCTCTAAAACTGGAGCAATAAATTTGCAAATATCTTTAAGAATTCCCTCTTTCCTGAACCTGCAGTCGCTTTACTTCCACAGGGGCAGATCACCTCCCTCCCGAGGACTCTGGGAAACATCATCGAGGCCTTTGATATCGTTTTTTTTAGGCTCTAACAATAACAGACGTCACGGAAGAAAAATCACAGGCTCAAGAGAACCTATAGCACTTTTATTTTTCCTGAGGAGGGGGGTGACATTGCCAAATGTTTTTTGCTATTTATTCGATAATTTCTCCTTTTCTTGCGTAACACTCCTCATGAATATTAATGTGGCCTTATGGTTGGAACTGTTTGTGGCGCTCAGTGGGCTGAAAGAGGCCATAAAAAAAGTCACAGTCAGCGATGTGAAGCCGGAGTTGTGGGTTTTCACTCGCTCAAATCGCCGACTTTGAATAAATAAATTGAATAAATTAAATTTGCAAACAGCTGTCAGAGTTAAAGCTTCATTTTCCGAGTTCTTACAGGAGCTGCTGGCTGACCTACAGCCGGTCTTTACCCCCAGACTGGAGCTTCTTTTTAGATCGCACAGCCAAACTTCAGGTCAGCAGGGATTAATTAGCTTTTTGAAACCCACCCAGCAGATGTCAAGGTAATCTTGGGATGTGGGCTGCAGAGGTCAATGCAATATCTCGAAGCTGAGGGGGGACGAGAGCTGATCTCACCAGTGTGTGACGCTCTGCCAGGCCAGGCATTTGTCCCAAACAGACTGGGACCGCTCAGTGCCAACCTCCCGGCCTCATTAATGGCAAAGCTCTTAATTAGGTCACTGAGATAAATATGATGTTTACTTTTTTTCATGTTAAAAATAATGCCGTCCAGGAGTTTCCCTGATAAAAACAAGTTTTCAGAGTCAACGAGGAGAGAGTGTCAGAGCAAAGTCTCACATCACCCTGACTGTTCTGGAGCTGTGTGCCAGCGCAGGACGGATCCCCGGCCAAACCTATTATTATTCAGAGGAAGGTGAGAAAACACTCGAGGAGGGGAGGCAGTGGGAGGCAGTGGGATCAGAGTTGTCAAGGGCCGGCCTTAAAGTGCTTAACTTCTTTCAGAAATCTGCCCTTGTCAAGAATTGTATGTGGGACATTCAGGGACACGAGCAACACTGAAGAATTTTACGGCTATGCCCCGGTGCATTTCTGAGCATCCTCGCTGCAGTTCGACATATCCAGTTCAAGGAAAACTGACAAACAGGCCCACTTTACTGCAATCTGAATGGATTTTCAGATGTTTCATGGTTTACCGTGTTAGCTTATTATCAAATGCCTGATTAGTTTTTATTCATATGCAGATGATACCTCCCTGTACTCGTCTATTTTAACATATTAAACAAATGAATCAGAGACATAAAAAGGTGAAAATCTCAGAACTTCTTGCAGACAAATCTTGATAAAACTGAGGTGATGATTATTGGCTGAGTCATTGCTACTCCTGTTATCACAATTTTAGGCTGTGTCATGTTTTCTTTATCCTCTTTTTTCCTTCATTATTGAATTTCCTGTCATTTATTTGAAGATTTTAGTCTTAAGAGCATTAGCAAAGACCTCCAAGTCAAATCAAGTCAAGTTTATTTATAAAGCACCTTTAACCCGCGATTTCCACTGTATGGCCGGAATGGCTTCAATTCAGAACGGCTGTGATTTTCGCCTTTTGCCAATTCCTACCGAGTCCGTTTTTTGAGGCGACTTTCATGGTGGATTGCAGACAGCAGGAATCGCGAGAACTTATAACAACCCCTTGGATTCACGTGAAAAGAATAAAAGCTGCAGTGGTTATGATTTGTGTGTGCTCATTTATAAAATGCAAGGGAGAAAAGGTGCGTCTTTAAGGACGATTGAAAAGTCTCTAGGGTCTGTCAGGCTCTAATATGGCCAGGTAGACTATTCCAGAGTCTAGGGGCGATCGCTGAAAAAGCCCTGTCACCTCTACACTTCAGTCAAGTTTTGGGGACGTCTAAAAGCAACTGGTCAGAGGACCTTAAGGCTCTGGCTGGGGAGTTGATGCAGGAGCTCTGACAGCTACAGAGGGGAGACCATTGAGGGCTTTTAAAACGATTAAAATACTTTTAAAATCAATGCGAAGGTGGACTGGGAGCCAGTAAAGGGTCACTAAAATTGAGGTTGTGTGGTTGCGCTTTTTCTTGCCAGGGAGGAGTCGAGCAGCAGCGTTTTGGATGAGCTGAAGGCGGTTGATCGATGACTTGTTCAAGCCTGCATACAAGGAGTTACAGTAATCTATTCATGATGTTATAAAGGCAGTAATATTTAGTCTTTGCTAGCAGACGGAGATAGAAAAAGCTTGTTTTAACAACAGCACTGATCTCCAAGAAGCAGAGCAGAGCAGTCATCGGTGACAGTACAGGTGAGATCAGACACCACATAAAAATTAGGAGCTGGGCTGAAGGTGAGCAGGAGGAGCAGGAAGGCTGAAACAGTTCAAACAAAACGCCCATTTTGACATCTTCCAGTTTGATGTGGAGACAGTTATCGACTTAGCTGTCAGCTGGTGTGGGCTGGTGTTTGCTGAGCCTGGCTTTGAGGCCTACTTGAACTAATCCCATGTTCAATTAGACTAATGTGGGCTGATATAGTAGTTTATTGAAACACTGGACGAATAAGAGAGGAATTAAGTCATCACTTAACACCGAAACAGCCATATGTAAATCCACATAAAGTCTTCGAGAGGTAGGACCCTATAAAATCCATTCCTGTTCTGCATGAAGAGCAGACACTAGACGGGTGGGAGGCTGACCTCACTGTCTGAATCTGTGACCTGCTCTGGAGCTAAACAGCGCTAATGACTCGGAAAATGAAGCCATGCAGAATGATTCCATGGATGCATCAGTATGGCGTCCATAACAGTGGATGTGCACGTTTTAATAAGCAGGTGGAGAGCAGGAAGAATGATCTTATCAAAAATGAGAGGAACTTTGATTGGAGGGGGGCGTTTACTTCACTTAACTCCACTGACGCAGCAAAACATGGAAAACTCTGTGCGCGTGATCACTTATAAGACAGGGAACAGAAACAGGAATCGTTACAAATCACAGTTTTCTTAGAGTGCCAATGAGTTTTTACAAAAAGTGGTTCAGAAACCCCCACAGCAGTCAACACCTGTCACCGAAATCATCAACTACAGCCTCAAAGACCTGCTACTTCTGCTCTCATGGTTACATATCTCAATCCGATTAATCCAGGGGAAGTAACTGATTAATTTGTGAGCACAGATTGCATATTAGTGGGTATGTACTACCAATTTGTGTACCTAAATTGGCTACTCATGCATGCCAATAAACAACCCTCTCACCCAAATTAGTAATTTGGGGTTAGAATTGGTTAACAATGAAATATTCTGGCTGTTATCCAAACAGGATGGATTCAGGTGGAGTTCTGTTGGTGGAGAATAGACACAGCAGGAGTCCTTTTGTTGCATCAAGTTAAACTGTGTTAATGTTGAACCATGCACTTGAATAACTGTGCAAAAAGTGCAACAGTTAGTGGTTACACGTGTCTATTTGGATCCACCAATGCTTAAATATGCAATCAAAATACCCACTTTACCTTGAGTTTGCATTCTTGGATTTGCAAAGGGTGTTTGCACACTTGAGGAGTCTTGCTTTTTTGTAAATTTGGCACTTAAACTTAATTTCCAACAGCCAACACTTGTATATGTCCTTTTATTTCTGGAGAAAATTCAGTCAAGTGAAAGGAAAACACAAAAGTACAGAAATAAAAACAAAATCTACTTCCTGCATAAAACTAGCATTCATGTCTAGGTGACGCTTATCTGATTTGTTGTCCGATAAAACGCCCTATAAACTAATAAAATAATGTGAGAATCAAAACGAAGACTAACTGTCAAGGTTCAGTTACCATTGAGGCACCTATTCTTCTTTACTTACTGGAGAGACATCTGAGATGGTGTTTTACTGCAGTTTATCTCCAAGAGGCATCCAGAAGACAATATTTTTTTACAGCTTTCTCATCGCGAGGTTACCGGAGAGGTCATTTTTAATGCGTTCTACAGAAGGAGTTTCAGATATGAGGGTTTCTGGGGGGCGATCATCCCCTCTATCCTTGTCCCTCTTGTGTACACCATTGTTTGATTTCAAATAAGACTTAGTCGTTTAAAATTGTACAATAATATTGCATCAAAACTTATTTTAATAAATGTATAGAGCGACTAACTTTCTGCATTTAAGTGTAAAACTTTTCATGGCGGTAGAGGGACTTTGATTCCACTGCAACCTGAGGAGTCTTGTTTTGTTGATTTGCTATATTTGCCTTGCACCGACACTTTTCTTGTAACGAGTCTAAATATACAGTCAGAACAAGCCAAGGTGAAGAAAACACACTTTAAAGAGCGCTGCAAGAATTGTTCCCCCTCCCAAATTTCTGTCAGGGCCCCAGTATGGAGCTTTTAATAGACCGTAAAACAGGTTGACCTACAAAAGCAAACAAGCCCATCAACAACAAGAGTGACATATTTTAATTCATGACGCCTGAGTCTGCTGTGAGGAGGTAGGTGTCAGAGCAGACGATTGACAGCATGACTGAAGAAACAGCCTTTCTTTACATTTTTACAATGATGACAGTCAAAGAAAGCAGGAAGAGTTTTTTGTCATGTGCAAGACTAGATTAGCAGAGTGGCAAGATAGATATCTCTGCCAGCAGGGGGCGCCTAGAGCAACAGACGTAACATCCATCTATCTGCTTGTCTTTAAAACACACTTCAGCTGTTAAACTTTGCATTAAAGGGATATTCCGGCGTAAAATTAAGTTAGAGTCAAACACACCGTAACACAGAGTTAGACTACCTTTCGAGAGATGAATGTTGCCGACTGCTTGCTTCTCTAGTTATACCACCTTTAGTAACGACCGCAGATAGCAATACAGAGAGCCACACGCTCAAACAAAATGCCACTCTATAGCCACAAATAATGCTCAGAACAGCACCTAACTTCATCAACTGGACATATAGGGTCCCATAGTACTAGCCTAATTTCTCTAGCAAAGAGACTAAACACAACTCACCTACTCTCCTCCAGCAGCAGCTTGTTGTTTGCGAGACCTCAGGCCAGTCCATCGACTGCAGCGGGGTTTCGCAGCTCAAGGAGGAACATTTATGATCATTACTTTATCATTTCCTTGAAGTAAAAATCACAATAATAATCATTTTGCACTTCAGAACACTTCAGTTCTTCTGCCTTAGCGTCTCGGTCTGATTGCATTTCCATAAAGAAATGATCATAAATGAATATCCCTTTAATGACTAATTAGAGCTGTTTATATTAGACCATGTGTCAGAGGTTCTTCGTTACATCAAAGTGCATCTTGTGCATTGAAAAAATCCATATGTATAGGGCTGGTTGATGAATGATCAAAAACTAATTTCCCTCAATATCGATATGAAACATGGTCAATGTGCTTTTCGATAGCCGGCATTCTGCCATGTTTTGGTAGACTATACGAATAATGAGTGAAAAGGGGAGGAGCCCCGGTTTGCGCCGCACTGAACCAATCATGTGCTGAATTAGAACCAAGTGGCAAACAACTGTGTAGTAGCAGACAGCAGCTACACACAACCATAGCACAGCAAATGAGTGCTACCCCTGGCAGAAACACAGATGACGGCTCAACAGATGACGACACTGTCGACAATACTGGTACGAAAAAAAAGAAAATATATTGTGATAAACTTTTTCCCATATTGCCCAGCCCTACATATGTCTATATACTGCCCTTTGCAGGAAATGCTGTGTAAGATGTTCATGCCTTGGTGTGGCAGTGCAGTGCAATTAAACAAACAGGGCAGTGCTGGTTACATTTTTAACTTAAGAGTGCAAAGTTTGGTGCATTAAAAGAATCGTGAAATAACATGCATTTCTCTTCACTCTGCAGCACCAGCTTTTATCTGCAGGGATTCACTTCTTGTTGCTGATTTGAAATAATGGAAGGCAGCTCTACCCCAAAATGGCCAGATATAAATTGATGGTGAAGAAGGCGATGATAGTATTGGTCCTTGCAGACTTATTTTTTTTCCTTTTCCTTTTTCTCGTCCACTTTCACTCAGCTGCAAGAGGTCCAGGTCATTAAGAGGAAAGCCACATAAGAGCTGCAGTGGAGATTCACTGTCTTACTCGAGGACACTCCAAGGTCCTGAGGAGTCATACGAAAAGCTTTCCTCCACTGTGGGGACTTGGATGTCCCTCAGTCGTGATGACTCTGGACAATGACACCGAAAAGGTCAAAGAGAAACAGAAAAATACTGTTTTCATTATTCAGAAAGTGGGTGACTTATCTCAGACATTCATTTACGGTGTGAATGCAACGCTAACTTCACTTTTTTATGGTTTGAGTGGGATTTCAGGAAAGTTGTTTTGCACATGCCCTCAGACGAGGAGTCAATTTTATGTTGACTCTCTTCATTTTTAAAGGTGAGCTGCAGCACACTCACCTTCATCACCTCCCACTTGAGCTCGAAGGAACGCTGTTTATTCTGCTCCCTTCAAACATGAGTCACGGTAAAGTGATAGTTAAAGAGATGTACAAGTCATACAAAGGTTAAAGCAAGACTCAGGCAGTGATGTAGGACGGAGCTATTTACAGCTATGTACAGCTCTCACACAATGAAATAAGTACATCAAATGCACATAAACAAATCACTCACATGAGAGCGGCAGGAACAGCGTAACATCTGACATAAATGATCCAGAAAATTGTCACAAATTCTTCTACTTGTTTAGGAACATCAAATAAGCTCCAGACTTGAAATTGAAGCTGATGTGGAAGTTTTAAAAACCGCAGTTCCACAAATGTCCACTTGAGGCTGGCTCTAGAACAACAGGAGCCACATACACAACCATTTAAAAAAAGGCCATCTTTACAGGAACTGAGAGAACACTCATGTTGTAGACGGTCTTTGATCACTTGTGCCCACTTGACCATCAGAACGCCCCATAACACACTCACACATCATGCTCATGTACACCGGAGCATAGAGTGACAGAGAAACAGTTTTGCAAACCTAGGGACTTAGATTTAGAGACTTTACAGACCCCCTTGGAACTTTTTTTTTTTTTGAAGTTTTTTTTATGTAAACTGTTTATTATAATTTTGTTGCTTATGCATAATGTAATAATAATTGTACATATCTTTACCATTAACCAATGGCCCCTGTTTTAAACCATGTCACGGGTTGCCTTTTGGACTTGTTTTCATAGAGCTGGTTGCTTGTTTCTCTCAGGAGATCTGGCAACACTGCCTGTCAGCCACAATTGTGGTAGTTGACAGCTCATAGTTGCCTTGATATGTTTGAGGTACAGACCCTATCTTAACATGAACAAGAATTAGAGGGTATAACAGAAAAAGACAGCTCATCCTGTCTCGGCCTACCTTCAAATGTACCACAACAAAAGTTTTACAAGAAGCTGGAAAACAAGAAGCTTGTGTCCAAAGACTTTTGCAACTGTGCACAAATCCTGTCTTCCTCTTTGGATCGAAGGACACCGACAGACTGACCTATCGATGAGTGACCTCCTGTCTGACATATCCGTCCCACCGACCTCTCACCTATCTCCACCTGCTTGACAGATAACATAGATCCACTTATAGCTAGAGCGCTCACTCACACACAGATGCTTAACAACTTGCAAACTATGCAAACTCTGCTGGTCGCTTAACTTTTCGACGTTATACCACAGCTTTCGGAAGTGTTGATACCAAACTGGGCCACCTTGCTGGGTTTTAAACAGGTGTATTTGTCTGGTGTAAAGGTATTAAAAGCTGGTCTTATACATCCAGATTTAGAGGGCTAATAAAAGACCCACCAAATAGATATTTCTTGATCAGTGTGTGATGAATGCGTGATGTGTTTATCACCTCTGTGCAAAAGACTAAGAGATTTCTATGAAATTCATTTGTGTATTTAAAAACAGGCTATATAAGAATTAATCTAATGTAAGGGGTAAGGCTTATTCATACAAACAGAGCAGGGAAATATGCATGTACCGCAGCTGAAGGAGGATATGAGGACAAAATAATTATACAAAAAAAATCTCGGAGGAGCTCATGAGCATGCTGCTGAATTCTTAAATTCCTCTTCATTATCTTTTCCAGCCAGCAAAGGCGTCACTGTAGCCGGGTTTGGTCCCCCTTGAGGGACTATTTACCTCCGACTTAATTTCCTTGTTTTTGCTAATTCTTAGCAAGTTGGAGGATGTGTTGTCTTTTTTGTTTATAACATCAGAGGGAGGTGTTTAATTTACAAATTTAACAGAATTCACCTCCAAGAGAAACTCATTTAAATGAACAAACAAAAAGGAGCGACTCCAAGAAATAAAGTGACGGCGTTGTCTTTTTTCACTGTCACCCTGTTTTCTGCGATCGGTAAATATTTCAAGTATTCATCGAGGGTATAAAGGGTGTTGTTATCAGATCTGTATTCCTCATTACAAATTATGCAGAAAATAAGCAACTATCTTCTTGCATGGCGGGGTTTAATTGGGTGGATTTTATTGCAAGAGACAGAACGCTGTGGTGAAAATGTTCACATGAATCCCAAGCTGAGAATAGAGGACACAGTTCCTGAATATTTAATGACCGCCACATTACCCCGGCCTAATCAAATGATCAGATTTGCGCTTGTTTTTATTCACACAGTTTATGCATAATGCACCCCCTCTTCAGCAAGTGAGGGGATTCTCTGTATTAGCATGAACCGAGGATGTTTGAGCGAACGTAGACACAGTTTGATATTTGCGTACAGGTAAAAATAACAAGAATACGCAGTTTATTTTCAGAACATTATTTTCCACATTAAATAGTCTCCTCCGTCGAGAAAATCCTGCAAGGCTCAAGGAAGAGATTTGATGGCTTTTCGGTGGTTTATCATCAGTTCCCGCTGACTGCCTCTCAAGAATATAGTGATCAGAACATGATGGATCGCTCTTACTTTCGCCCGTCTGCAGTCCCTCTCAGCAGAACCCACAGAGGTATTCATTTCCCCCTCTGCAATGTGGGCGTTAATGTGAATATATGTTGCCATACAATCTGTCAGGCTTGTTCATAGCTCGCTGGGGAGCAATCCACGTTAATCAGGCTCAGACGGGGTCAGTAATTCTGAAGGTAATCACAACACTGCAGAGACTCCGACGGTACATGTGGACTTGGCTCTTCGATTGTCTCCTTAAGAATACTTGTTTTTAAAGATAGTAAACCTGAAGTGCATGCTTTTTCACTGATAAATTAGCTAATCTGTAAACATTAACACTGATGAATCATGCAGCTGATGTCTTGTGTGGGAATAAAGTAAAAGTGCATGGTCAAATAGATCCGTCCCAGAAGGAGCTCCGAATCCTGCACCTCGTTTTCCGATGCCAACATTCGGCAAGCTCTCTGTACTTTATGTCAAGAGGTCAGAAGTTCACTGGAGGTTATGGAAAGAGTTTTGTGGAAGCAGATGGGCATGTAAAAAGCTGAATGTTAATGCAGGAGACGAGAAAACACCAAAAGTGTGCCCAGACAGAAGATAAAGCCACTGTTGCTTTGGCCGAAGGGCTGTTTGAACGCAGAATCTCTTCGGTTAATTTGGAAATATTCATCAGTATTGACATTTCAATGAAGAGACGCCTTTGTGTCATGGTTCATAACATCCCTCGGGGTAGTGCAGTTCATTTAATTTAAGTGGCTCCTTCACAAACTTTGAATAAATCTAAATGCTGCTTTCCTCTGAGGATCAACAGTAGGCGATAAGTTCGTCAGGTCAAGCTTCGGCTCAATTTTAGAAACATATTCAGCTCACATCATCTCAGATCTAGTGTCACTGCTGCCATCCAGATCGAAGCCAGATTAAAAGCGTTTACACATTGACTGTATATGCTATGGACAACTTGGCTCCGCCGTCTGTCAGTATACGAATTTAAATCCGAATTGTGCTTAGTATTTCCAGGATTTTCTCCGCTTCCTGGAACCACCTCTTCATACACCCATAATCATAGAAAATGCGAACTCACTAATAACAAACTAAAGATTGAGCTGTACAGAGAAAAAGAGGACTAGAGCACAAACCAGTCTCACAGTAACTACATGTCAACGTCACAACCGGGGGGGAGAAAAATTTATATTCTGTGTAATTAATTTCTAAAGTTTGTCCACAGCTCCATAGGGATTGCTGGAGGAGGCGGGATTTATGAGCTATACTGCAGCCCATCACCAGAGGGTGCTGTTCTCGCGGTGCAAAAACCACGCGAAGACAGAATCAAGCTGGCAGCCTCTCATGGGTTTTCATTTTAGTTACAGCATCTAAACAAATCATTACAATCAGACAGACAGTACCAATAATAGACATGTTTTGAGCAAAGTTATTGCGATACAGGATACAGGATACAGGATACAGCCACAGAGAGGCCAGGTCGGGATCAACTTTCCACATATGAATAATGGTGAATAATCTCAAGAGGAAAATTGGCAGAGCTGGCCAGCAAGGAAAACATGTTTACAGAAGAAGTCACGTTGTTGGCTATCAGACATCAATGTGAAGGCCTTTTACGGGAAATAGGACGAATGACGCCGTTGGGGTGGTATAAGAAGGAAACGGTTCTGGGGTTTCTAGGGATTGGTTTGAGCTTCGAATGTCTGTCCGATTGTCACGAGTTGTGTTCGATGCTGTAACTAAAATAAAATTTGATCAGCTTGATTCTGTCTTCGTGTAGTTCATTTTTGAACCTTTGCATCTATGAAATCTACTATAGATTCACCCAGCAAGGAGGTAGACAGTGTCTATTCTATATACAATCTATGTGTTTACATTATGTGAGAATCCTGATGTCGATCTTATTCAGGATGTGTCCGCGGAATTGCAAAATTATTTTCTGTTTTTTGTTTATGGAATGAAACATTACTTTTTCTCCTTCTATTAAACATGATTTATTTCCTTTTTTAATGAGTTAGCCCTGTCTTACTGTTTGTCTCCGACCTGCCACGACATAACCGCTGACAACAACGTTTTCTATTCCTGTGCATTGAGCACCTGGTGCCTCGTGCACTTTGCCATGTGGACACAGCTGCTGCAGCTGGTCATGTATGAACCAGGCTTTACTGTACAGATGCTTAATCTCCCATCAAAGCCACAGATGATGATACAAGTGCCTTCAACGGCTCCCTGAGGGATTGATCTCCATGTACATGAAACTGATGGAGTAAACAAAAATAACTGCATTTTACTGCTACATAAGGGGGGAAAAAATAAAGCACCTTTTACTTTTTTGTTTTGTTTTTGACGCTTTTGAACAATTAAATTTAACCTGAGAGTAAATCAATAAATTATCCGACATGGAGAATAATCAGCCTCAAAGTGAAACACTGTTTTGTACATGAACATCTGCAGGGCTGTCTTTTCACTGCTTGTCTTTGTAGATTTGACTCGTGTGTGTGTTATTTCGTGCTCCTCCAGTATCTGTGAATGTGTGCGAAGTCCTTGTTTACATCTGTTCCAGTGTGCTGGGTTCATTGTGTGAGAGCATTTATTCGATAAAGGCTTAGGGGGATTTGAGATGAATCTTGTTTCTCTGTCGCCTTTTTTTTCCTGCTCCCTGTTTGATTTTGGTATGAAAGCTGAAGATAAAGATTCAAAAAAAGCGGCGCGACCTCAGAAAGGATGCGTCTGGACCGTCTCTGAGCTGTGCGCCTTCCATTTGACCTCTCGGCTGATTTATTTATGGCTCTATCAGACCCCATAACTATTCAGATTCAGAGGTGATGTATTCATAATGATTGGGAATTGACTCGTCCTTGGGTTGCTGAATCCTATCAAGGTCTGACCCTGGAGCCCTCTGACACGTTCTGGTGGTTCTTTATTCAACATCCTCCTACAGACCTCCTCTCCAATTTTGTCACATTGAAATGAAAAGCTTCACATTTAAGAGACCTGAGCAAATTCATGATTTGCTCCTGGCTCATATCTCACACATTCAAAATAACATTTCTTTGCTTAGAAGAAGAAGAAGACGACCGGATTCTATTACATAAAGAGCACTAGAAAAGTCAGCAATTATTCTGTTCAGAGAAGGATTGACCTTTGGATGAATACCTGGAGGCAGAGTTAATGTCCGAGCCTTGTGCCCACACAGGTATCGAAAAATTAACAATGTCTTTGAAAGTTGCGTTTCAGACTTTCTGTAACCTTGCATGGATTTCCCAAGGATTTAAAGCAGCAGAAAAAACTCTCTTTTCTACCAAACAGATTGTAATGTAGCTAGATTCTTCTTGTAGGGAACTGCAGGATTCACAGCAGGAGAGACCGGTGCTGTACCTGTTAGTGTCAGATTGATAGTTATTACGTAAGTTACATGATATCCTGCTGTTCGGCGTATCTGATGGAGCAGCAAGCTAACACATTACCAGGAACAGTGGTGTCCTTATCAATATTCACTCTGCGTCTCACACCGCTTCCAAACAGATGGCTTTGCTGCTCTTTTTGCATAAACCCACAAGAAATTGTTACAACTCTTGCATACAAAACACAACATAGGCTCCAATAATGGAGTGTCACTCTGCATAATGTCCACATTTCTGATGGATTTGGACTCATAATGGATTCTTAATTAATGCTTGTAGGTTTTTGAAAGGCGCCAGCGCCTGCACAGATGATAAGACTCTCGAACCACCCTGCACGCTCACTTCTTTTTTTTTCTTTCTATTTTTTCTGGATTCAGTGGACTCGAACGTGATGATGATGGCGATGATGATAACAGCTCTATTTAGATTCCTGTGTGTCTGTGCAGCCACCAGCCTGCCACACATCCATCTGCAGCGCTCTAATATCTCCAACGTGGGCTGAGAGTGTCATTTGTCTTAAGTGTCAAAGGCACTTGACATTACGGGCCCTCCAGCTCGCATCTCAAAAAGAGCTTGACAGGGATCTGCCAGGCGATTTGAAGCCAGCTGAGACAGGCCTGATCCGTCACAAGTCTCTTCTTTCTGCACTTTTCAACTTAACCACTGCAATGACTTTGGAGAAACTTGAGCTGAGGCCTGAGATCAACCTTTACTGTATGAAAAAAAAGATGCCAGGCTGCAGCATGCTCCACTGAGAAGACTATTCACTGATTGTAGCTGCACGGCGAATTTTGTCCAATTTAGCAAATCATCCAAAGCCAGTAAGTACTTCTAACAGGTGATGGAGGCAGAGACGCTTGTGCACTGATTGTGTAAAGGTCTCACACTTTAAGAGTCCGAAAGATGTTAAATGGCACAATTTTAGGTCTTTACTTGTCAAAGTTTCATGTGTAGGGTTAAAGAGATATTCCGGCATGAATTTAAGTTATGGTCAAACACGCCGTAACAACGAATTAGACACCACCTCGAGAGATAATTATTGCCTCTCTAGGTATACCAAATTCATTAACGACCGCACGATAGCAATACACAGCGGTCCATGTCTCCATGTGCAAACCTCAACCAAAACGCCACTCTATAGCCACAAATAATGCTCAGAACAGCACCTAACTTCATCAACCGTACATATAGGGTCCCAGCCATAGTACTAGCCATCAAACATCTTTTAACTTTGATATTATTTGTTATTAGAGTGCAGCGGAGTTTCGCAGCTCAAGGAAGAACATTTATGATCATCACTTCATAGAAATGCAATCAGAGTTCTTGTGTATCTTGAATGTGCACCGCAGACGCCATTGTTCCTCTGCCTGAGCGTCTCGGTCTGATTGCATTTCCATGAAGTGATTATCATAAATTTCCCGCTGCACTCTCTAAAAGGATTTGTGTATTTATTTTCACACCACTGAACATCTTCCGGTCTGTTTTCTTGCATCACCCAGGAACCATTGTTTGGTTATTTCGATGCAAATAGCCGCTCAAGTTGAGATATTTTCAACTCTCGCAAATTTGCGTCATTCACTGACTCACTCAAATCACTCAACTCACTCAAATCACTTGCTCAATTCGCGCCACCCAATTTGCGTCATTCACGCCTCCAGAGTAGTATGAGGGTCTAATCACGTCTTCGCCGTGACTCAACGTGTAATTTATTCGTGCAAATGATTTTACTCGTGCTTGGTGTGAACGCCCCCATGACTCAACCTAACTTTTTGGTCAGGTCTTTAACATCTACCTCAGTGTGTTCGAGGCTTCTGGTGCTCAGGCAGACTGCATTTTTTAGCACTTTCACATCTGCTCCATTTCTCAAGACTGGAGGTTGACGTTTGACCGAGACATACATAAAAAGTGCACAATAGAAAAACACTCCATGAGTCCAAGATAGGTTTGAAAGATGGAAAGTATTCCTGACCAAATGCTGCAAAGCATGCCATCTTTCTTTTCACTCTTCAAAATCTGGATATTTCAGTGAATTTGAGTTTGGTGAACAGGTCTCCTTTTTTATTGTGGTGAAATGATCGAGCTGAAATTGCTTTCCTACCTTGGTTTACACCATCCAACTCAGCCTCCATCATTTTTTTTTAACAAAACACGGGCAGGAAAAGCTGCACGGGCCTTAAAAAAGGAAAAATACCAAACTGAATTACAGAGATGCCAATTCAGGCTATGGTAGATAGTTTACCCTTGAACTTTTACTCTACAGGCTGTTCACAACACAGACCTTTTTGGCCGTTATTATAGATTATAAGAGGCTCTCAGTAATTTTTATTCAATCAAATCACAGTTTTGTTCTCCTCAAAAGTAGACAGTGAAGATAATGGCACAAAGATGTCTTTTCACTCCGCAGCAATCTAGGACAGGCCCCCTTCACCGCTTCCTTCCTTTTTATATGTCAGAAATCTTTTATTACAACAGAGAAATCAGCAAAAAATGAAGGCAAAGAGTTCTCCTTTCTCACACATTCGCCTCCTGTTTAAACCTCTCCAGGAGCGAAACACTGCTGCTATGTCAGATAAATGTCTCAGCGGTGATTTATTTCTGCCAGACACCCATAACGTCACCATTCTGTCACATTCACTCACTCTGATCAGGGAGCAATTTCAGCAGATACACTAGAAAGGCCTTTTGATTTAGTTTTTGACATTTTTGCCAATATGTCTGACATGCAATATATGCAAATTGAACTGCTCTAATAAGCATCTTCTTTGGTTCAATTGGTTCAGACCTTTTTTCTTGCCTATGACAGCCCGTGTGTCTAATTTTGTTCACGGAAATAGCTTTATTATTTTCCTGATAAGGGCATGCCCACTGGGATGTCACTATTCTCTCCTGGCCGAGCAATCACCCCATCCGTTCAATTTGAATCCTAAATATCATATGCACATCTTCAGGAGATTGTAACCTCTCTGCAGCGTGGCGCATGCACACGAACAGCCATACAAGCACCTCATCATTGTCATCTCCAATAAGACCTAAATGATGGATGATTTTGTATGCAAGGCCAAAGAGGAACACTGAGTTCTCTCACCCAGCTCGCCAAGTTTTTGGCTCTCTGCTGTGCCAGGAGGCAGGGAAAACTCTGCGTCAATATGCTGCTCATATTTTCTTCTCTGAATATAAAACAAGGGGAAAAGTTAGTTGTAGGTCAGATGAGATACAGGCTCGAGGATGTAATTGTGCCTCGTGCCAAAGTTGAAGTTGAAGAGCCAGACAGAGCAGCTTCTTTCATGGTCTTCAGAGGAAAAAGTTGAGAGGAGACACATTAAGCCGCAAAAATAAAACAGCTGGTCTCCAGTTAGAGTCAAAGTTATGCATCTTTAGTGGCATGACGGCACTGAATTACAAGCTCTGACCTTAATGGTGCATCTGCGAATACTGTCTCCAAAAGGCGATAATATTAACCCCCAATTTCCACCACATCCGAACGGCACCGCTGCGAATCACTGTCCGCCAATTCCTACCGGATGTGTTTGTGAGGCGAATTTCTTGGCAAATTTCAGACAGCGGAAATCACGAGGACTCAAGAACCCACAAATTCACACGCAATCACGCAATAACCAGTTGTCTCTACAAAGAAGGCCACATAACCATATAAGCAGTAGATTGTGTCCTTCCAGAGGAGGAAATCCACTCTGTCCAGACCAATAGATCAGACACTTTAGTGGAGATAGGGAATTAGTCATGGGGTTAGGGTTAGAGTTAGGGCTACGAAGCCCACTGAACTGCAGGTGTTCAGCCGGTGGAAACTGACACATTAACTTGAATGGAAACGATCGGCACGGACGGCCTTCTCGCCGCCGTTCCGCATATGGTGGAAATTTGAGGTAAGAAAGTGAAGGTTGTAGTTGTGGTTGTGGAGGTTAAAAGGCCCTCAAAGTGTTTTGATGACCGTGTTATATTTTTTGGGGGATTGTTAAAGTGCATATTTTACATTGATTTTCATGCCTCATGATACAGAGTTATCCTTTAAAAACAGCAAACAAAAGCTGTTTTCATGCATCGACAAGCCTCTACATCCAGACTGCAAGTAGTATGCTGCTAATACACACGGAAAAGAGCAGCTGCATCAAGTTGATGAAAGAGTAAAGTAAAATTGGCAACTCGCGAAACATCTGCTCTCAGCTTCGTGGGTGAAGAGCTGGTCCTCGAGTTTGAACAAAATAGATCTTGTAAAAATTGATTGGAGAAATATGAAGCAGCAGTGCCCACCAGGGTTGCTGTAAACCTACTTGAGTCCAACCAGTGATAACTTAGACTTGCAAACTTGTACTTGGCTGCAATAGGTTAGGATTGATTCAGTCAGTCAGTTTAGAGAGGTCTGGCATGTGTGTTTTGTTGCACATGCTGTGATGTTCAGGTACTGTTTCTGCTCGGATAAAAAGAGACACTAAAAAATCATGATTTTTGCTTAAAGCTCTTGTGAAGAATTTCAAGATTGAAATTGATATGGATGCTTTTAGAGACATGATTTATGATGTTTGATGACTAAAACCAGTGTGAGGTGTAAGTCAAACAGCCAAAAGGAACAACTCTGATTTTACATTTCCATATAAAATACTCTTTATAAAGGATCAAATTCAGATTAATTCACTTTCCTTATATAACCTCATATTAAAAAAGACAAGATGCTGTTCTCCTTTACCCCAACAGCAGCATGGCAGAATATCTAAATACCTACAACAACCTTCCCTTTAATACAAACATTTTACTAACAGCGGTGAGGCTGCAGGTATTTTCAGCTTGTTGGACACCTGCAGCAGAAATAATGAGTGCGTCCTCTCATTAAGAGAAGCATGGTGCACATTTACAAACACACCACGCTGTCTCTTCACTGATCATTTTCAATCTCCAGACAAGATCAGTCAAGACTTAATGTTCGTACAGGATGTGTTTTCATGCTTTCCATAGACTCTAATTCCTCTCTGTGACTCAGAGTTTAAGTTTTTAGTGGCAACCATTGTTAATATTAAGTTGCAAACATATCTCCACATATCTTTGATGCTGGTTCAGTGACTTGAGTTTGACCTTAGATGTATAGGCGTCTGATGTGGGTCTATACAGTGTGATCAAGGGTGAGTTATATTGGTATCGTCTCAACAAATCCATACCATGCATCTTTTATTTTCATGTCGCAGGACTAATTAGCAGGCGTTGGAGTCTGCACTCGCTGCTCCTGACTCGTTAGCTCAGTAGCTTCTTTCATGCGTGGTTTTATCAGTATCGGCCTGCAGAGAGTCGGGGTTGTTTCCTTTGGTCCACTGTGATGAAGGCTGACAGTAATGATGTAAAGACTGATTGATTTAAGCTAACTGCTTTTTGTTGTCGACTCGCCTCTCCCCCTCCCTCTGGAGATGTTACGAGGTGAAGACTGACTTTCTTACCTTTCACAAGCTTTCCAAGTCCGACAATAAACAGCTCTGGTCAGCTACCGCTGATTGGAATCACAATTAAGAGTTTCTTTCTGAGGGGAACAATGGAGCAAACTAGCTCATTAGCAAGCTAATAAATTAGACAGAGGTATGCCAACCCTTCGCTCTCCTCCCCGAACTCTCCTGTTGTCTAATTCTGGCCCAGAGGACCGGCGTGGCAAGGGTCAAAGTGTCATCCTCATGGCTTTTTAAAGGGAGTTAGCAAACTAATGGGGAACATCACGAAGTCTGGAGCCATTATTGAGACCGTCTATGACTCAAAACAGTCTGAGAGTCAGAGGAACAGGTTGTCCGCACTCTCCTTTTGCTCCCTCCTTCAAGAGGTTGAAAAATGAACAGCATCAAAGCCGATCTGAAGAACTGTTGCCAAGCAGCTGCACTGTGAAATTGATTTTAATTGAAATTGATTATTCAATCTGGGACACATGGGTCATTAATTTCTAATCTCTCCCTTCAATCAATAATATATCCCTCTCTCTAAGGCGCCTTTTAGAGTATTTAAGTCTTGTTTATGAATAAAAATGATTACAATGATAGCAGTCCTTAATTAAAGCCAAGGCTTCCCTGCCTCGTCATTACTTTTGCTGAATTTCATGCCTCTACAAACGAGAAAGAAAAGTCATTAAGCTGAGAGAAAGAGAGAAAGAGAGGAGGCGTGGGGACTCCTTGTTTGAACATGTTTGCTCTCTTTTTTTTTTTTACGCGTTTGATTCGGTTTGATGTCAGAGACGGATGGGTTATCAATGCGTCTATTCTCCTCTCATGGAAGAAGTGCAGATCGAGCTTTATTTCATCTGTATTGAGTTGAAAGGAGAAAACAAAGAGCATGAGGTGATCTATAGAAGGCTGTAAAATAATTGAGCACACCCTTTGGCAGGTATGTGGAGGCCTGGGCGCCAACTTGGATCAAATCGTAGGTCAGTTTGATGAAACTTGGAGAAGAAAGTACACTTCTCATAACAGCATCTTCTCAGTTATAATTTAATTTGTTTATTTTCTCATCATACGTTGACAATTATCAAATATAATGGAACAAAAGCACCACAGCACTGTGAAATAAAGGCTCATTATAAAGACATATGGATTCAGATACAGCCCTCCAGCTCAGTCCATATTTCTGCACATTCTCTGCAAGCGTGCCATATGGACCAGCTGTTGCTTCACCACCAAGATAGTAAAGCCAGTTGTTTACGCCACAAGCTGGATACAACTTAGAAAGTGTTAGTTCTCGTTTGTATGACTGTATTCTCCGTCCACATGTTAACTATGTACATCGTTATCTTATCTCTGTCATCTCCATACTTGTCAGAAACTTTAACTCTTCTTCAGACTTTGTGGAATAACTTTGGGGTCTGAGCAGCGCCCTCTAGTGGATGAAATATTTGTCTTTTCCTTCACAGAGGATGTATGGAAGCAAAAATTACACCTTACAAAACATCCATCCATCCATTTTACTCAATCCATCTACTTATCCATTTTCCTCCATCCATTCATCCACCCAATTTCATATATCTATCTATCCATCCATCATCCTTTTATTTCTGGTATTCATCCATCCATCCATTTCCATCAATCCAACCATCCATGTATTTCCTCCTTTCATCAACCTGTTTCCATCCATCCATTCATCCATCCACCCATCCATTTATTTTCCTCTATCATCCATCCACCTATTTCCATTCATCCATCCATTCATCCATCCGTCCATTTTCCCATTTCCATCCATCTATTTTCATCCATCCAACTACCAATCCATTTTCATCCAACCATCCATCCATTCATCAACCACCCAATATTTTCCTTCATTGATCCATTCACCCATTTTATCCATCCATCCATTCATCCATCCATTTTTATCCATCCGGCCATCTATCCATTCATCCATCTTTCTCTATCATCCATCCACCTATTTCCAACCATCATCCATCCATCCAACAATTTTTCCTTCATTGATCCATTTACCCATTTTCATCCTTCTATCTATTTTTCCCATCCATCCACCCATCCATTTATCTTTTCCCTTCATCCATCCATCCTTTCCTTCTCCTTTAGATCCCGGGTACAGCGGTCTCATTAGGTACTTTCAGACCTCCCTCTCCTCAACATTTTCAGCCCCCTTAGTGGGATCCTGAGTCGTTCCCAGACCGGATGGATAATCCCTCGAGGGAACTCTGGGCCGATGCCTGAGGCCTCCTTCCAGCTTCCTGCACCCTGAACACTTTCTGACATTATCTTAATCTCTCCACCAGATCCCTGTTTGGTCTGTCTTTGTGCTGCCATGGCAGGAGAGCAGATACGTTTTCACTTCACTCCAACTGTTTGCTTACACTGTGTTGCATTTCTACTCCGTCTCAGCAGCTCCTTTCTTCTGCTGTGGTTATGCAAAGTTTTTAAATTTACCTGACTCCAGAAATAATGGACATAAAAGCAACATCTGGTTGTATTTTCACGACATAAAAAACACTCCAGATCTTATTTCACTTAGCTATGACAACAAACTGTCACAGTAAACGGGCCCAGACTCGGAGTCAACAGGTCAGAAGTTTTCAAAGCTCATAATGGATGTGGAAAATCACTGATTCTATATAACGTGGGAAATCCTTGACCTCTTGACTCCGGCTGTCCGGTGTGCTGTGCTCTGAAAACACAGCTAGAAGGTGTTGATGGAAGAAGAGAGAGCGGAGACTCTTGTATGTTTCAATTGGAAAACACTATTTCTAGTAATAATACTAGGTTTATATGGTAAAGTACTGGGATACAACTGGTGACCAAGTTCAGCTACAGAGTTTCATTACTAATTTGAATGCAGACGACCTACAACCAACCACTTTCCATGGATGGAGCAAATTAACAAGGCTTCTTCAGGCTGAGTTGTTTGCCACAATACAGCCTGATTGGATGTTGATTATGTTTGTTGGTTCAACCTTAATTATCTCGGCTGGTTGGTACCCATCCTCTGCCTCTGATTGCCGCCGCACATTACCGCGAGGTTGTGAGGAGCAGCATCCTGTGCACGTCAAGAGCGACATTTCGAGTGCCACTGAGGCTCCTAATGATCATTTCTGAACACTCCAGGCTGCTTGGGATTTGATTTGGAGAGCGTGTGTCATTGAAAAAAAGAGCTTTTTCAACACACGCACACACGCGCGCAGACGCTTGAGTCGTGAGAATCATCATTCCTGAGGATGCTAGGACCTGTTTGTCCCTGAAGTGATTGAATTACCTGTTTTTCATCTTTTCCAATGTCTCTTCTCTTTTGCAAACACAAACATCTCCTTAAAAATGAGCTTATTTGATCTTAAACACATACTCGTGTGAAAATAGAAAATATTACTCTCTATAAAGTTGCAGATGGATAGATGTAAGATGGAGATCATAATATAACTTTAAGATTTGTGGTGATAGTGAGGAGGAAGCTGATACACTGCCATAACCACCTTAGCTGATCTTTTAATATGCTATTGATTTCTACACTCTTTCAATTAAACTGGTGTCAGATTATGAGTAAGAGGGCCCAGGGAGAGACTGGAGAAAACCTCCATACTGTTACTGTCATGCAGATATCAACTTTGATGAATCCTCGCCAACACAACATCTCCATATGACTCATACTATTGGTTATTTTAATTCACAGTAGCCTTCAGCGCTGAAACTGTTATGTCAGGAGTGCTTAGGAGTCGTCCCCTTGGCTGTACCCTTGGCCCCTATTACTGTTACCCAACAGTGTCTATACGGGGGGATTCCATGTATTTAATCTCCAGTGCTCGCACACAAAGACACACATGGATGCACACGGGCTGGCGTGCAGCAAGTTGCCAGAAAAAGCAGCGACTCGCCTGCTAATGCAGGGGAAAAAGGCTGGTCACAAGTTCACACATTGGATGTGTTCCAGTACCGATGCTTCGACTCTATTTTTCAGACCAGAGGGAGGTTAGGTATCATATTAACACAGCAGCCATGTCACACTCAGTAAGAGGGGGTTTAAGTGCTGCAATGCCAGACTGATTTGTTCTGCATTACTTTCTGAAAACAACATTGGATCACTGCATTAATGTTGGTCAGCAAGACAAACGACAGTTGATCAAAGTCATATTAAAAACAAACAACTGATGAGTGAGATGATGAGCATAAGCAATAACCAGCTGACACCAATAAAAAAAAGACTGAAAAAAACATCCATCCACCCATCTATCCATTTCTGGTATCCATCCAGTCTTCCATTTACCCATTTCCATCCATCCATCATAAAAACTGGTTATCATGTAGAGCTGCATGATATCGTTTGAGCATCGTCATTGCGATGTACACGTGCGAGATAGTCACATTGCAGAGCCTGCGATGTCGGAGGCGAATAAACTCATCTAATTTCAAGGGTAGCTGACTGAGATACACTGCATCCGCTGTGCAGCGATCCACCAATCACATTTGTTCTTAACTCAGTTGACAATCAATCTATTCTGCCAGCGGTCATCAAAATCAGAAGAGGAAACCACGCCCCTGCACATGGAGTGAGTCGCTGGCCTGTCGGTGTTGTGCGGAAAAACGTGTCTGCCGAGAATTACTTTCAGAACATTACTTATCACAGTTTAGCTCCACAAATAAGAACTGGGTTTTAAATTGTACATTTCCGTGGACTCTACTATAAGCGGTTCACATTTTGTGAGGTGCATGCAATTCTCGGTAGACATGGTTTCTTGGCACAACACCAGTAACAACAACAATGATCTCAATATGAGCAACAAACAAGAGAAAATCAAGTCAGTTATCTGGAATTATTTCGGTTACAAGATGGATGATGTCGACCAAAACACGTGTTCTGTGTTTGTCTGTTGCCACAATAACATCCCAGTACAAATAAAAGCTAAACATATCTCTGAGACAGACAGAAGCCACTCTACTAACATTCACAAAAAGAGGAAATATCAGTGCAGGTTAACTGTCCTCAAGATTTCAGCATAAAGTGATATTCAGGTCATCTGTTGTAAATTCCTTTTATTTTTTAATATCACAATATTTATCAAAGGGTTGAAAAGAAAAAAAAAATGCAGTGTTAGGTTTTTTCCCCCAATATCATGCAGCCTTATTTTCATGCCATGATTGCATCAAGAAACAGTCATGACTCTGTACTGGAAGTCTCTGCATAGGCTAACAATCATTGTAAGAACAGCAGAGAGCTCCAAGAACAAAACTATACAACCAAATACAAACACTGCATGAAAGTAAGTCATTCTTTAGGTCGCAACTGAAAATGCAGAGAGAGGAAACAATAGAAACAAGTTTGAGTGATGCTGACAGCCTTCAAAATCTCACACTATTTTGGTAATCATAGACGCTCTCAGAGGCTTGTAACCAGAGCACAGTTTAAGAGCATCAGGAGCAGGGGTGAGAGTAAGGCGGTGCGCAGCGGCACGCAGCGGTATGCCGTACCCGGAAGACATAAACAGCACTTTACAGAGGGTACACAGCGGTACACAAACTTTAACTTATGAAATGTATGTCGGCTACATCTGCTTACCGTGTTGCCGCACGTCAGCCTGCACTCTGCATTGTAATCGTAGTAATCCAACAGCTGCTTGAGAGTGAGTCATAATTGCTTCCGCAAACAAAAAGTGGGAGTGTTCAGGGCGCACTTTTGATTGGACGCTGGTTCCCGAGGCGCTGGGGACCTCCTTTTGCGGAAGGAGGGAACTTTTGAAGAGACAGCTGCTTCAATCTTAATGCAGAAATAAAACAAACTGCAGAGCAAAAAAAAAAGATTTTATGTTAAAGAGAAAGAGAGAGGCAGCAGATGATGATCCTGCAACATCAGAGTCGGCTCCTCATTATACTTTAATGTGCTCCTCTTGTACAAAGCCTACAGGTACAGTACCTGTAAGAACCTTATCCTACTTTCACCCCTGAGTAGGCTATGAAGGATGCATTAGTGCACATGGCATGGGTAAATTAAGGCACCATTTATGTGAAGCAATATATGCCATTGCTAACTCATCATGGAGTTTAGCAAACATTTAAGCAGCTGATTTTCTATTTTGTTTTTCTGGCAAACTCTGGTTTTAATAAATAATCAGGACACATAGGAACGGACAAAAAAATGTCTTTTTTTTTTAACTCTCTTTTTTAAATTTCCAATGTATTTCCTTGTATATAAAAAGCACTTTAAATTGCCTTGTGTATGAATGGTGCTATACAAATAAACTTGCCTTGTCTTCCTTTATCGGTCACCTTCAAATCCTTTAAAACCAGTCTCCTCAGTACCAAACATTAACACAATATTGAACAAAGTGGATGCAAACATGCTTCTATCCAAACTTTTTAAAAAAACAATGTTTTCTCTGTATTATTAAAGAGTTTAAATGACTTGCAAAGCATCAAATTCTGCTTTTATCAACATTACACAGTCGCAGATTTTATGAATCGAGGTTGTATGCTAAATATTAAACGTATAAATACTCTGAAAGTAGAGTTTACAGAGACACATGGCCCATTAATTTGCACATTTCGCAGGACTAATGTACTTTTAACAGCTTTTATTGTGTCACACTCACAGGTTAATTTTTCCACGGGGTTTCTCATTCTGTTAATCCAACCTTTTTATTGCTGAAATAACTACAGTATGAAATATACCTTCCAATCGTTTGAAAAATGAATAGCCATTTAATTTTCCTCCGACTCTTTTCACAGCTGATTTCTCCTTTTACACAAAGTTTATGTTGGTGTTCTTATCCATTTATTTCTCATTCTTGAAATATTATATAATGAGCCAAATTTATATCGCCCCATTCAATCTTAATACCGTAATTTTAAAAGGAAAGTCTAGTGCTCAATGAGCATTCAATAGGTGAATAATACTTTATTCAAGCATGGCTGCACTGTAAGGCCACGGTGATCCAGAAGAGAAATAGTTCTGATTTCACACCTCGCTCCCTGAACAGACGGACTGACAGACAGACAGACTCAGATATCGACTCTGGAGAAGCACATTGGTAAAAATGTGACACAAATCCAAATAATTCATAAATGACCTTGTCTAGCGCCGGTGCCTCAATCCTCTGATGAGTACATGTCACAGCAAAGGATTGTCTAATAAGTGATGCATTGGAAAGCCTGGCCAGAGGATCCCTAAAGCAATTCTTTTGTAATTGATGTTGCAGCATAAAATGGCTCTCGGTGGACCGGGCTGATTAGGTTGTTTTTTTTGTTGCCGTCTAGCCGCTCGCTCCTCACAAACAGTCACTCACCAGGTGGAATGACAGTTTCACATCCAATTATCCCATTAAGCTGCCTGGCGTTCTTGTGTGTTCTCCTGTCCTGTGCCTCTCATCTCATCTCTAAACGCATGTTTGTTGACCAGAAGGGTCTGCTTATTAATATTGAAGCCGGTGGAGGAACAGGGATAGCAACAAACTCAAGCTGCTGGAGTTTAGATACAATGTTTAATTTATGGAGATGAATACGCTGGAAAAATCTCTCTATCTCACCCCGTTCGTCGTCTGTGTTATCTCTCATGTTTTATTTTCCGTATTAATCGCCTTGTGGACTCTGGGGACTCAATGCAAATGTCCTGGTGCTCTACTTACTCCTCGAACCAACAGGGTTCATCAAGTCTAATCAGATCTGCGCTCAGTTGGTTCCCCTCTTGTATCAGACACCGAATGAAGAACAGAAATAAATCTGTTTGTGCATGCAACCTTATAATTTTTAAAGCCATCTGAGGTCCTGTATAAGCACAGCTGTACTCTCTCAAAAACCTACATTATACATATAGTATAATTGTAACATGATTTCCAGCATTGCAAAACTCAGCAGGCTTTAAATGCAGCAGTCTATAAAACACTCATATACTAGAACACTAAAACAAGCTCGCAGTGGTGTTTTGGTGTCTGCTGAGCAACAGTTCCTCTGAAATAGTATTTTCTTTGTCTTGTATGGTTACCTTAAGAGTGTTAATGTTGACCTCTGTGATGCTTGGAGGGTTATTGGCGTAGACACAGTAGCTGCATTTCCATGGGCACAAATAATCAGAATAAACGCCTGATCGGAATAAAAACGCGTCACGTAAACATGTCGATCAGAAGATTCTGATCCAATTCAGCTTAATGGGAAAGAAATTGCATTCCAATCAAGACGGGCACTTTATGCCGATTGTTCTTTGCGTCCATTCCGATCTTCACTCTTTAGCCTTTCGCTTATTTATTGAGGTCAGTACAGGAGGTTTCATTATTAACACTCTGGCGCCGTGTCTGCTCCTCCGATAACATAACGAGGTGTACATGCAGTGTAACGATGTGACATCTGCAAGGGCGCCATCTAGTGACAACATTTAACAGGGGGAAAATCCTGAATTGGATGGCGTGAGCCACGACTGTGATTGATGGTTTGTTGACAGCACAGATGTAAACACAACTCTTCTATTTTAGGAAAAGTAGTAGTCGTTTATTCAGTCATGACAACACCAAAATATTTTACACAATATTGACATTTCACACAAAATCCCTGAATCAAGAATCATGTGTTGAATATTGACTGAAAAGGCAGAAGCAGACTGCTTATAAAAGCCTATCCTGTAATGTCAACCTACCTCTGGAAAAGCAAAGAAACCACAACAACAACAACAACAACAACAGAGAATTAATCGCACTTATAAGCTTCAAAAACAGATTTACAAACCATTTTCTTAAAAACCAAAAAAGAATTACATGTTTTTGAATTTATGTTGGCATTATTCCAGAATTTTACTCTAGTAATGAAGACACATCTCCTTTTCAAACCTTTTTTAGCTTTTTGTACAGTAAATTTGCAAACACCTCTGAGATCATACAGATTATTCTTCTGCAGTTGTTTTAACCAAACCAGACAACTCTGCGCATGTTCAAATGCTTCTAATCTGCTTCTTCTTCTTCTGAATAAAGCTTGGCGCATGTATACACACATCGTAATAGGATAATTTGATTTTGCGCCCATATAAACAGTGGATGTAAACATGGCTAGTGTCTCTCAGAGTCAGCCGTAACACTTCTTTGCAGATGATGTCTTGATTTCCCCTTCAGTCTCCTAAGAAAACTAATGCTACCATAAAAAAAAATGCTGTTGATGGACACAGGCCCTTACACCGCCGTTTCCTCAGACACATCCTGCCAGTTTTAGGGAACAGTTCTGGTGTTTGGACCTCCAAGGGGTGTAAAAAATAAAGCCTGTCTGAATCCAAATCAATGAAGCTGATTTGGGGTCGTCTTGATGCAAGGTAAAACTTACAGATTTTCCAATACAGCCGGGCTCTTTAATCTTCTGCCTGTAGCAGAAGTCCACCTCAAGCACACCTTTAACGATTCCTTATATATCAACCAGAAGTTTGAGAAATACGCAATCATGGCGGCTGAGTGGAACTGTGGGCAAAGTGACCATGGAGATCAAATGCAACTAGAAGTACAGTTATGATACAAACCCTAATGACAAAATGTATTTGCCAATTCTACAGGAGGTCTAGAATCAGCTTTATCTGCTAAATATGTGCGCACAATTTACTGTATATTTGGACATATTTTTTTAAAGATAAAGCCATTGCACATTTTAAATTCAATACTTAAGAGTTCCAGTCTTGAGGATTAAGTGACCCTCTACGAGCTTTCTTCCCCTCTGGGCATGAAGGAGAACCTTCTGTGGCTCCTGAACTGAAATAAAACTCCTCAAAGAGACTAAAGAGGCTCTTTCTGCTGTCTGTATTTGTTTTTTTTCCTCTCTAGGCTGCATTAGAAACATGTAAAGTAGACTCAGTGGATTCTCTTCATCTTATTAATTTCTCTGTCTTTAGGTACTGAGAGCTATTTCTAGGGTAACAAACCTACCTACTCATTTTAGGTGATGGGGTTGGTAAAAGTTTTGTGCTTTTTGTATTATGTTCAGTTTTTCTGCCCTTAGAGACAGAGTAAATTTAAAGCCCAATTTCCTGCCTACACAGGAGGGAAAAACCATCCATGGTTTTTCTGCTGACGTTGTATTGTGTAGAGATGCTTTTTGTCCTTTTTTTTCTGACAGTCACTGATAGAAAAAGGGACAATAGCTGTTGCCTAATTTAATGCACTAAGGACCGGGCACAGAACCAAGGAAAGAGTTTTATGAGCAATCACACGGTATATAAAAGCCTGCAAGACGACAAAAGGGAACACAGTAATAAGACAATATCAGGTGTATGTCATAAGTTTGTTACCTTAATAGCTATTTGGCAAAAGCATCTGCAAAGTTTTAACCTATGACATACAAAGTCAAGATTTTTGGGACTTTCAACTCCTCGGTGAAGTCTCAAGCTGAGCTCATCATTTGTATTCTGTCAATATTGCTGTGTCATCATTCAGAGAGGCGCCAAATAAATTAAAGCTGTAAAGAACAACTAATGAGCCCTCACACCCTGGTTGTGCAGCAGCTGCAGCTGTGCACCCGGGTTGATGCTCTCACCATGAAACAAAGGCAGCTGTAGGTCCAACAAATCCAACAAAAAGGTACCACAAGGAAACTAGGGATTCACACATCAACTATGACTGACACACACACTGACAAACTGACACACACAATGAACTAACAAAGAAACAAGTGAAGACAGGGGCTATATATAGACTGCGAAACGAGCAACGAGAGGCAGGTGAGACACAGGTGCAGACAATTACAGAGGAGGGAAAACTGAGGAAGTAAAATAAGACTTTACACACAAGGATGGACTCCTACAAAATAAAACAGGAAATACTGAAAACCGATCCAAAGAATAAAACACTGAGAACATGAGGGAAACAGGGTCAGACACAAGATAAGACTACAGGGGAACAGGAACACTAGGGAACAGAGACACTAGGGAGAATACAAAGAAAATACACTCAATAAACAAAACCAGGAGAAAACTAAATTAACACAGCATATTATGACATTAACGTTAGTGTCAAAGTTGATTTTTAGGCTTTTACAACCTTTTGCATTGGCTCTATTTTCCTATCATGGTGGTTGCCTTTTGATTCTATTCTTTTCCATACTTAAGTAGCAGTGGTTGTTCTTAATGCAACATTTTTCCCCTCTGTCTCTATAAATCCCCTGAATTTCTTCAAACTCATCCTTAATCCTTCTAAACATAAATTTTCAGCAGAGGCCTTTACTTGTTTCAAATGCAGGTTTAACTTCTAGCAATGTAGTGTTTATTTTTATAAAAGAAAAGATGCATCAAAGCAATTATTTTAGCAACATGAAAAAATGATTTTTATGCATGTTTGGTGTCTGGTCTTAAATTATAATGCATGTATCCTATATGTTCAGAGTACTCATTATTGCGTACTACTGATCATTACTGTTTTCCTTCAGTTCATCCCAAACATGGCGTCTCATATTCCCCGCACATCCTCAGTCGATGCAGCTTTACTTCCTAATGAATGGTATTCATCTGGCACCCTGAGTAATGTCATTTTACAATTTATCATAGCGGCTAATAAACTCAGGATTGATTTGTGCTTATACAAAAACACATCAGGCAGAAACCATCACATTGGTAATAAATTGATGCTGATCTGGTCGCAGGGACAGAGCAGCCAAATGCCAGGAGAATTTATTTATTTATTTATTTATTTATTTATTTCTTATTGGAGGCTCCTCAGCGGTGCAATCGATCTCAGTGCAGAGCCTTTTGTTCTCTGAAGTAATAAAGGAGCGTATTGATTTATCGGCGGGCGACAGTTACCTTTTGCCTCCTCCTCTTGTTCTCTGTTTCGTTCCACTGTCGGGTCCCTGGGGAGGAAAAGTTTGGTCTGTATGGAGGCTGAAGCCTTACACTTTGCTACAGAACATCTACACTGACACAGAGATTTAATCATCCTGCCAAAAAAAAACAAAAAAAAAACAATGCAAGAAGTATAGATCTGGACGAGTAGATTTTTTTTTTTCAAGAATGGATTTTAGTCAGGACTATAACATCACGTACAAATGTGTTTGTTGATTTTCTGGCTGTCAAATAGCCGACTCGGTATGATCACCACTGAGGGAACCGTGTTCTCCTGTAGCTGTTAGACGGGGTGTTTACTCCATTAATTCCTGCTCATTTGCAGAATTATAGACACTCACAATGTGGCAGATGTGAGAGCAGAGGCTTCCAAACTCATCTAAATATCACTTGCAACAACAGTGCTGAGCACAATCATTTAATATCATCATTTCCTTTTAAATAAACTCCAATTACACCCCCCTCTGTTTATTTTGAAGAGCTCCTCCTTATTTATCTAAGTTGACTATTACAGAAGTATCCTATTTTATTCAACATAATCTCAAGATGAGTTTATTTTCACTCATTAAGTCTTAACTCTTTACAAAATTGCAGTTGCACTAATTGGTTCAGATAAATCTTGTTACAATCGTCACAAATGACTTAATACTCACATTAGACGGAGTGCTGCTCTTGTCTAAAGCTTGATCCCAGTCTCATATAAGGCTGGATAAAAGTGTTTGTGCCTCAAAGTTGTCAATAAGTCAATTTTTTGTTGATTAAAAGAGGTGTACCACAAGGCTCAGTTTTGGGCCCGGTGTTTTTCACTGTTTAAATCATTAACATTGTTTCCTCTCTTCAAGTTATCATGTCTATTTTTGTACTGATAGTACTATTATTGATTACAATGCAGAGGTTTAAGAAGATGCTGCCATCGACATCTGCAAACCTACTTTAAATTTTATATAAGAATTTATTTTAATTAATGCAAGTCAAACCAAATTAATGCTATCCTTAAAACACCCGGTCAAATCTGAATCCTTGTTGATTAAAAGAGGTGTGCCACAAGGTTCAGTTTTAGGACCATTATATTGTTTCCCCTCTTATAATTGTTGCGTACATTATTGCACTGATAGTACTTTTATTGATTATAATGCAGATGTAAAACCAGATGCTACTATCGACATCTGGAAACCTGCTTTAAATTTTCTACAAAAATTTGTACAAGTCAAACCAAATGAATTCTGTGATTAAACACTCGTAAAATCGTTGGTTTGATGTTTGCCAATCTTTCAGTTTCACTGCTGGTGATGGGTACAGCACTCATCGCTGTGTCCTCTATGAGAAGGTTGGTTCATCTTCTTTTGAACAGAGGCACAACAGCGTCACTGTGTGTATTTTTTAAAGCCCTTTCTGGCACGCTATCCCCTTACATTAGAAACTTGACAGGATGGAATTATGGAACCTACATAACTCGTTGTACTTACTGGCCAGCTTTTTAAGCTCCTCAAGCCTGAATGGAACTTGGTGGATCAGCGTTTTCTTTTGATGCCCCAAGCTCATGGGATACCCTCCAAAGCTCGTCATGTCAAACTTCTTTTACTTGCAGAGTTTGATTTCTTGACAGTGACCTGAACTGTAACAGTTTTACCGGACTCTGTTGTGATTTTTGGTAAACAATAAGTTAAGTATTGTTATATTGTTATATTATTGTTTTTAAACTACTTTAGCTGGCCTACTTTTGCTGCTTCCTCCACTGGCTTCTTTGCATCCCTGACACACTGAGTGTGATTTTATGATTTTTTTTTCCGGATGCGTTTGTGAGGTGAATTTAATGGAGAATTTTAGACAGCAGGAATCGCAAGGACTCACAAGAACCCACAAATTCACAAGCAATTGCACGATAACAAGTGGTGGAATCCCACGCCATATGCTTTTTATGACTGTCCTTTATAAGGGATGAGACTGGTCATAGATTATTCTGTGATTCTAGACTTCTAGAATCAGCATCTCCTCACCCACAGTGTCAACAGGATGAAATGAACTTTAAAAAACTTTGACATCTTCGCCCTCGTCCACATTTGCATGGTGTGAAATACTATCCATCTAGAACATAAAGGGTTTTATTTTGAAAAGAAGCTGGATGTTTTATTTTGTGTCTGTGCCCGACTTCCTGTCCAGCATGGGTCAATCTGTGCTGAATTTATGCATCATGCTACAGTGTCCAGAAAAGATAGAACCCTGGCGATCAGCTACAAAGCCCGCTGAACCGCAGGGGGCTGGAAAGAAGCTGGTGGAAATTGACACATTAACTTGAATGGAAACAATTAGCAGCAATGGGCGCAGACGGCCTTTTCGCCACCATTCCGCATGCGGAAATTTGGGTCTTTGCTGCTGCTCAACCTTCTTGGCTTTTTATGCATGTACATAGAATAGAGGACAGGTATGCTCTCCCCACCTGAGGCTTTACATTGTGCATACACACCTGGAAGGGTAGGGAGGTCTAAGGGCACTTTAAGGGTCTTTGCTGCTGCTCTACCTGCCCTGGCTTCTTCTGTGAGTACATGAAATAGAGGTGAGGTGAGCTCTCCCTGAATGACACTCAATGACTTACATCTAGGACGATCAAATCTATTAGATACTGATATTGTTGAAGTAAAGCTGAGTGAGTCCTATGCAGATGCTAAAAGGTATCTTTCACTCTAGTCTTTTGCATGTAATTTTATCCCCTGATCGTCTTTCAAACTTTCTTGGACTTTCTAGTTTCTACCTTTCAAATGAAGTGCTTCATTTCCTCAGAGTCAGTCGAAGCCTCCCAAGGTCATCACCGGTTTAAATCTGCTGCTCCCTGCTGAGATTTCTCTTTAGGGTTATGACAAAGCAGGATAATAGAGCAAACTACAATAAACCATCTTCAAACTGAGAATTTCATCAAGCAGATTTGAAATGAATCATATCGGCTTTTCTTTTTTTTGGTAATACCTCCGATTGACAGACTACTAAAGGTCAGAGCGTCTCCAATTAAAACTTGCCTCTTGCCACCCACTCAGAGCGTCACAGGGGAAGCTGCATGGAGACACTGGTGGACTAAAAAAAAATGGAGCTATTTACAAGCTGACGGTAATGTATTATAGCTAGCTGCCTCTGCAGGACAGGTTTTTAGAACCGAGTGGGGTAATTGCACAATGAGCAGAGTGCTGTTAGACATCATAATTATGGCTACACTACCTTGGGATCTTTTTTATTTTGCTGCGGGGGGAACATGGACTACAGGGAGGGCAGAAGTATTTTGCAGTCCTCCAGCTCTATTTTTCAGTGAAAAACCTCATCCATATCCCTAATTACTGAGCAGATTATTTCCTTTTTTTTGTATTAGATGGGTAAAATGTGGAAGTGCTTTTTCTCCAGCCTCTTGTTTTGTCATCTTCTCTGTACAAAGACCGACCATGGGTGGGTTTGCCAACCAGCTGTGAGATCCTATTCGGCCATGAAGTGACCTCAAAGGCGTAACAAAGTCTGATTGGTTGTCTGATTCGAACAGGCCTGCACTTTTCAGACGGCGAGGCGAGGCACTCATCCCCCCGCCCCGCTACGTAATTGACATGGCTGTATCCGGGAAAAGACGTGCTGACATTTGGTAATACATCCTCCCCACTCACACATCTCATCAAACACTACTCATCCATGTACAGCAAAGCTTTTGACACGAGATGAGGCTGATAGGAGGAGCAGACAAATTGAGGTGATGACTGTTAACCTTCACAGGTGCTTGGCTTCCCTTTGCGGTGTCACTGCGGCACATGTGCATGTTAACCGATTAGAGATGGCGTCTTACACCTGACATTAATAATGCAGATTGAATCTTTGACCTGAATCGCAGAGGTCCAGGAGCATTAAATCTCTGACCGGACATGTTTATGAATCCGTTTAACGCTAATAAAAAGTCTGAGGACATTAGTGTAATTAATAAAAAGAGAAAAAAGAAGTTACAGCCTCTTTAGACGTCAAACAGAACCGCTGGTTAGATTAGGTGGGCGGGTTAGCAAACGCATTAGAGCTGTAACAGCTGCGAAAGCACCATTAGATATAAGACACCAAGTTACAGCCCAACACTTTAACACAACAGGGTGGTGCTTGAAGTCGGATAACTGTTTTTACCGTTCTCTCTTTCTCGCCCTTGGCGGTGAGTGCCTGTTTTTTGTTTACCAGCTTGTCTCAGTCCTCATCAAGCTGACAGGCGATGACAACTTTGCCCAGAAAAGACAGCTTTATGTTCGGTCCAGTGTGAGTTATGCTGCAGTCATGCTGTTGTCAGATAAATCTTTTACATCCAGATTTCATTGTTGAACCAGTGCTGTGTCTCCCCAAAACAGATCTTAGCTTTACCTCCTGTCAGCCAAGTCTTTTGTTAAAGACCAACTCCAATAAAAATCATGTTTTTCTTGTTGTCTACGTGTTTATTTGGCATTTTTTTGATGCTACAGGACATATCAAGAGAAAACTAAGTGTAAAACTGCATTTCAGAGTATTTTTCCTTTTAATCGTTTTGAGCCTCTGGTAGACAAACAGCAGATTCAGATACAGTGAGATTTCCTATGTCACAACTCCAAACTCCGCCCCTGGAGCCTCGCTCTGCAGGCCAGACTTGGAGAAGTAGAAAGGACAATCATGGAACAAGCGTGTGCATTAGCTAGGGTGACCGTATGTCCTCTTTTACCTAGACATGTCCTTTTTTTGGGGAGGGCTGTCCGGCCTTGTCCGGCCTTGTCTGGGGGAGTTTATCAAATCCTCCAAATGTCCGGAGTTTCGTTTTGAAGTTTCGAGTTTGTGTTGCTGTAACTAACTGAGTTACAAGCATGTAAAAATCACTTGACCAAACCCGAAAAATTCAAAATTTACTACCCATGACTCTGTGACTCCGCCCTGCGTCGTAGTGTCCTCTTTTTGGGGATTCAGAATATGGTCACCCTACGTTAGCCAATTGCAATGCTCGTAGGAAAGCTAATTATGACATTAACTTTCATCATGTCCCCAAAGATGTTAGTGTCTGACTACTTCCGCAATGTTAGGCTGCAAGCTAGTGTGAATAGGAGTGTGCAGAGCAGCGCGGTCTCCGCCCAGGACTCAGAGGAGAATCGCTAATGAGCTACAGGAGCTCTGCAGAAGAAAAGTCCTTGAAAATGATGCAGGTAATGCGATTTTGGTGAAAAACTTCAAAATCACAACCTGAACATGAAATGTAGTAAAAAAAATAAAAGAGAAAAAAACAATAGAGGTGGGACTCTAATACTTTCTGGACCGGTTCTGTTTTTTTGGGTGGAAAAAGTGACATGAAACATAAAACAGTAATGGATATTCAATGTAGTTTGTTTTCTCCAAAATCTCCAGAGGAGTATCTACATTTCAGCTGTAAAAAAGATGTTATTCCACTCGAACTTAATCTCACAGCAAGACTCATGGTAGACAAGCGTAAGTGTTGCAGATCTCCTGCTGTGAAATCCTGTTATAGTATCCGGTGTGCGGTCAAGGTCAGGACTAAATCGAATAGCTATGAGATAAAGAGAGATATATTTCAAGCTTAAATATCAGAAAGGTAGAACATAACAACCCAGTGTTGGTGTCTTTGTGAAACTCAAGCCTTTGTTTGCTTTCTATTCTCCCAGACCGTCTTGACACACTGAAGGAACCACACACGAGCTGTCGAGCAGCCAGAGTTTAACAATAGTGTGTGGAGCTGCTGTGCACTTGAGTTGGACACAAAGTGTCGTGCGCTGCCTGGGTTTAATTGGTATTTGGTCCAATCACCTTGTCGTAGCTGGCTATGCAGCGGAAGCAGCACGTCAGCGGCACAATAGCAGCAGCTGCTGTCCTCTGTCAGCGTCTGCACTGGATGTGTTTCGGCGCCAGCGCTGCTGTGCACTCACGGCGTGTTTGACAAAGCTCACAGCCCGATGTACAAGCATATCTGTCTGTGTAAGTGAGAAAACAGAGTGTCGAAAAAGCTCTCAGGTTGCAGAAGCATAGCATGAGTGAGACATGAGCAATGACACAGCTGGTCTAGGCGGCTGCATTGGATGAAATTCAATGTAAAAACACATCAGTGTGATCCGGCATTACTTGAGGAGGTTGTCTGAAACCTGGACTCAGTGACTCCAGAGTCAGGATTCAAGTCATGCTCTGTCTCGAACCGAAACACCTTGATGCTGCTGCTCTTTGTTTTGTGAATAACTGGCTTTTGAAAATGAATCAAATCTTTGGCTTTGAGAATTGTTCTTCTGTTTTATTCTCAATACTGCTCAGACTGCTAATACCATGTCTGAACAAGATCCTGCCCATTCTATGTATCTTGTTTTCAGTTGTTTGATTCGACAGTATGTTTGGATAGCTTTTAGATTGACACACATTTTCTCTGACCTTGTTTGTTTGACCTTCACAGGAGAGGGTCAGGTATGTATGAAAGAGGATAAAGGTCACAAGAAGAGAAAAAAATAATTACAGGAGGGAGATTTTTTTAATTTCCATTTCGAGATTCAAGTCGAAATGTTAAAAAGTCGGGATAAATAAATCGAAATTTCGACTTTAATCTTGAAATTTTGAGATGAAAAAATCAAATCTACATGAATAAAGTCGAAAATTTGAGATTAAAAGTCATAATAAAGTAACTAGTTATGAGAATAAAGTCGTATTGAAATCATTAAGAGAAAAATTCGACTTTATTCTCGTAATTACTTTATTATGACTTTATTTTCGATAGTAATGATTTTATTCTAGTAATTAACAACTTTTAGCGCAAAGTCTTAATTTTTGTTTTCTTAAAGGCAGGGTAGGCAGGATCTGAGGAAGCGCCAGTTTGAGGGAGAAACCTTGAATGTAAACTCTACCCCTCCCAACCAGTTTTCCCCTCAGCTCCTCCTCTCCCCTCAAGCCCCGCCCACAAACAGACGCTCCTGCTCGCTCATATCGTTCCAGTTAAATTCAGATATAATGCAGATAACTACTTAAGATAATTACAAATGGGGCCCAGTCAATGTGAAAGTCAAAAGCATTGGTGCTACTGTAGATGCCAACAGACTACCAGCAAACACAATGTTTGCAGGACTTCTACAACTAGGATAAAGTGACATAGTCCAGGACCCGAAGGAGGACAGTTTAGCGGCGCTACAACACGCTACAGCAGGTCCGTTTGACAAGAAACACTTCTGTTACAGACACTTGGCTTACTTTGTTAAAGCGGTTTACCTGACCAGCAGAAGGGTCACAGGGACTGTAAGATCCCGAGGCGTCCCCCATCATTGTTGACCTGGCGTTTTAGCTCTTGTCCCTTCTTTGTTTTAAGCGCCCGTTATTCCGCCAGAGTCTCCGGTATTTACTTTGTTTTCCTGCTTGTGTTGACAGTCGTGGCTAAAGGAAGATTCAGACAATTTCCCGTACTTTCTGGTCAGTTTCTACTGTCCGATATTGTAGCAAGCTAACTTTGTTTGGGCTCCTGAACGACACGGGGGAGCAGCATCCACCTGACAACCAATCAGGTTGGGGGAGGTGGAGAACGACTTTGTTTAGAGTTAGAAAGAGTGGAGCACTCTGAAATTTTAAAATGTTGACTACACAGACATAACAAAACACAGTGATATTGTTATATTATCAAATGTCATCAATAACTAATATGTATTGACTGATATTAAAAGCTTTTTTGTATATACACCACAAAAAAAGATGCTTCTTTAATGGATTCCTGCCTACCCCACCTTTAATGTGGAGAAACAAGTTGAATCGAGATAAAAGTTGAATTTCAATTTTGAGGAAAAAAAGTCTAAATTAATTTCTGAAAATAAGTCAAAATACACTTTTGAATTAAATAAAGTCAAAGGATGATAAGTGGTGGCTTTAATCTGATTCTGAAGCTCTTCTTCACTTACTATTAACATTTACTGATTGTGAGAATAAAACTGAACTTTAGATGTTTTTCTCAAAGTACCAGATGAAAAAAAAATCCTCCCCCTCTTTATTTCTCTTCGTCACTTTCTCTAAAAGTCTTCGATGGACCTGCCGATGTGCGAGGAATGAAATGGCATTGGCAAAGGAGTATTTATGCTCAGACAGTTTGTTCAGTTTGGAACAGACTGTCCTTGTTGATTTCTCTTTTCTCAAACTGAAGTTGATTTTATTTGAACAAAGTGGGCAGAAAACTTGAAAAAAAAAGGTATTGCAGAAAACAATAGTGACAATAGTGTTAGTCTAAACCTCGGGGGTGTAAGAAATCTTCTTTAAAAAATACTCCTCACAGCTGTAATCTGTTATAACATAATGTTTTAATATCAATTTATCTACAAAATCTTGACTGACACCACTTTATTCTGGTCTTCATGGAAAGTGCACTGATACTGAAGCAAAAGAACATATAAAAATTACAAACAAACAGACTGTACCGTTTTTTTGTTTTTTTTTATACCATAAAATGTCCATTCAGTTTTGCATTGGTACTTACAGTATAAATGAGCGGATTCATATTGAAACAGGATGGTTCAACTTGTTGTCGTGGTTTCTGGATTCTTACGATAAATTTCTTTGAGTTTGAGAGTTTGTGATTTGAACGGTTGTGCATTTTCTCCTCCGATCCGCCTCATTCTTTATGATAGAGCACTGAAGGTAGTTGCCACAAAACAGAAAAACCAAAAAACAACCATATAAGTACATTCTTCGGCTGTCTACAGCTGCCTCTCTCCTGATTTACCGCTCGAGTCTGATAATCCACAGAGACAGAGGACAGCTGTAAGCATCGGCCTCACAATGGGCACGATTAAATCTTTTGTCCAGGACTTCACCTCGAGGCAGTCACGATCTCTGTTCAAGCAGCTGTTAACTGCACAGCTTGGTGGTCTCGTAATCCATCGAGTTGGGCAGGCGTGAGCTGAAGGCCTGTAAGGAGGTGTGAATGCGGACCACCTCGCTGGCAGTCAGTTTGAGCCGATGCCGCAGCAAACAGGCAAACAGATCCAATCTCTGCTGACCGGGAGGGGACAGTCGGTTCACCCGGTCGCGTATTTCTAAGAGCTGCAGCATGGCCGTGTCCTGGGATCCTTGGGTGTAAGGGTAGTCCAGCTGCAGAATCAAGTCACGGATCGCCTCGGGGTCAAAGTGCATGCTGTAGCCAAAGACCTGGATGCTGTTGATCTTCATGTAGCCCAGGTTCCTCACAGGATCCGTCACTTCTAAAGGCTCATAGTAAGCACTGTCATTCACTCCGTCTTGAGTTTTTATCCTGCTCCGGAGATAGATGTGAATGGTCTCAAAGAAGGTCTTCCACTTGTTGCCTAGCGTCAGAGTCCAGTTATAGCACTCGAAGGGGAGGTCCAGCTTGGTGGCCTGCCAGTCTGGGAAATTATTCTCATTGACCGGGATGTACCAGCTCTCTGAGTGGCTCCCTCCAAAGGGGTTGATGTAAAGCGTGAGAGCAGGCTCCAGGGTGCTGTTCTTGGTAAGGCAGATCTGGAGGGATATTCCCAGCAGCATGTGGACCATGTTGGACTTGTACTTGTTGCTCTTCAGCGTCAGCAGCATCCTCTTCCTCCACGACGGGTCGAACCAGCTGTTTAGTCGCATGTCATTGCTGATGAAAATCGCGTGGACCTGCCAGACAAACAGACACAAAGACAATATCAGTGTTTTTGTCGATTCATGGTGGTTTAGAACTACTCGTGGTCCCACATCCTTCAGAGAAACTTCAGCTAGAATAACAAGATTTTCTGTGCACAGCAAACAGTTTAATGTGCATGTGCCTTAGGCCCCGAACTAAAGGCTGCTTCATTTTTTTGTTTCTGTTGAACAACTCTCATTAAAATGACTGGGGTGCCACGACAGAACATTTCATCCAGTTCATTTAGTACATCCAAAATTGGAGTGCAATTATGTTTTAGAGCCAACAGTCTATAAAGCACAAATGGAAGGCTTCAGGCCACGGAAAATTAGGGAAAAGTATAAATAGGTAATTGGTTGGATATGGAACATACTTTTTTATGTAACTCAGCAAAAAAAATGTCGCAATTCATGGTCTTAACTTGTTGTTTTTGAGGCTTTTAAATGGGGGTGTGGAATATCGTATATTACACACACTGAGAACCCCTCAGGCTCCTCAGAGCGAAACAAGCGGCACATCTGCCCCATTAAATGAATCCACCGCAACATAAAGTCCAGTGTGACAACATTACATTTCCAAAGTTTTGTTGTGTTTTGTGATTCGTGGTGCATTTGCTGATAACAACAAAGAAGAAATCTTGTGTCTGCTTATGTTAGATTATGTACACACAGTGTGCTGCAAAGATGGTAGACACTAAGCTGAGGTGCTTTTTCACTCTTAATTGTTTGTCATTCACAAGAAGACAGTTATGGAGTCATATTTAGCACACCATATCATGGCCATTAAATAAACCAATAACAGCGTATCCAAATAGGGGTGGGAGAAAAAAATTGCTACAGCATAGTATCACAATATTTTGTCTGGTGATATATTGTATCGTCTCATATGTATATTTTTTTTCAAATTAATTGCTAATATGAAGTCAAAGCTCTGATAATAGAAAAATAAAATCAACTATTTGTTCAGTGAGGTTGGCAGAGGTGACATCATAGAGCAGGAGAAAGTTAGTACAAGAAATATATATATAAAGTTTGCAATAAGTGCTACATGGTAGTAATCCACATTGGTAATAGAAAGTGTTGAGGGGAAGATAATGCGTCAAAATAATTATTCGTCATGCTTTTAATTTGAAATTTTTGGTCTTTTGTTTTGGTTGCTTTATTTCCTCTATTCTCAAACTGTTTTTTTTTTCTTCTAGTAGATTGTAGGCTATGTGCGATAGAGTATTAGGGCCACATAACACCACAGTTGAGGACTTAATGTAAACAGTTCAAAAAATAAACAGTTCCACAGTATAAATGTTCAGTTGATTGGTAACACAAAGAGGCACAACCTCTAATGTTGTTTTTGGTTGTCAATAAATCTTGAAAGGCCAGTTTTTAAAAATGCTAAATCATCTCTTAGAGGGCTGCTATCGCTAGCTCACTAGTGGCTGCTTCTTCTTCTTCATCTCTCAGAATAAAAGGAACATTACAATGAAGTTGCTATGAGCAAAATATCAATATCTTTGTTTCAAAAAGATACTGTCAATACCAGTATATTGTAACAGCCCAGCTTTAAAAACAGATTTTGATCCTGGGGCAAAAGATTAAAATACGACAGCAGATTCAGCCTGAATGGTTTTTATCCTGTATCAAATGTTACTTGACTAGTTTAGGGTCATACTTCCTTCTCTTTTAATTTAAACACATCATTGGAAAACTGTGTGAATGGTATTCCATTAAAACTAAACCAGAATTTGAAATAAGTGCAAGAAGTATCAAACATTTATCATTAAAATGAACAGGAAAATCGAAGATCGTGACTTAGCCATGAAAAATATTTTTGCTTCATCACGCAGCCCTACATTCTTCATCCACAAGGGCAGGTCAGAGTTTCATCAAGCTGCCATTTTCAATAACAAAAGTAAGTAGTTAAACTTATCTATTATGATCAAGTATAAAGTTAGAGCCATTCAATAATCAACCCTTGATCTTTTTGTCTGCTGCATCACCAGACCAGGTTTTCAAGCAGTACTCCAATTTGGCAAGTAAGACAAAGAATTAAAGGGAAATCAATGTTTTGACAATGATTGGCTCATCAAATATCATTATTAGATTTTATATAAAATATTATTAAGACTTTCTACACTTCAATGCAGTATTACAAGGCGAAGGCGAACAAATATACCAGCATTACAGAGACCTTGCTGGTGTAAAATACACTCAAGCTGAGGAGACAGCCTTTGTAAACACATGCAGTTGGTGATCCATGAACTGCTTTGAGACAGTAAAAGCAAAAACATTTGGCGAACCCATTTCGTTTTTTCTGTAGCATAAAAGAAAGACTTTGTAATTCAACACAGCTCTCATAGGTGAGTATCCTCCCCAGGCTACTGCCGTGAAAGACAGCTTAGGTCTCGGTCAGTCTGACATGATTTAACAAAGGCTAAAAGAAAAATACCTCTAGCCTGCGGTCGGCTCTCTGCAGTAGGTAGCCCAGCTCCAAATCCTGAAGGTCCGTCTCAAATCCCAGGTAGTTTTCCGACGAGTCTGCCACCATGGGCCTGCAGGCCCCCTGCGTCAGGGCGAAGCCTGGGTTGCAGCTCCCACAGCGGGTGTGGTTGTCAGGTGCACACACCGCGCAAGCAGAGCCTTCACCTACGATGCAGGGTGGTGGCAGCTGACAGGGGGTGTGGTCAAAGCGGCAGCTGCAGCTGTGGAGCTCCTCGGAGAATGACCCGAACTGGTTGTTCTCGGAGCAGTAGAGGAGGGACTGGAAGTGATTCAGCCAGTACGACTTAGGCCTGCACCAGAGATGGATGACAAACAGGAGAGGCTTAAAAGATGAGCTTTTTTGTTCTTATCATTGGGTGCAGTTGGTCTGGGGTCAAGTACAAGAGGCTTTTGCACCCTTGGTAGGCGAAGAGAGGTAGGAAGCAATGTGAGTGGCGTGTTATTGTTTGCGATCGTGCGTGGTCTTGATAATGTTGGAGGGAGAAATTGTTTCGAATGTTATCATTGTGGTTGTTTTTTTTAATAGTGAAGTTGTGTTTAAAAATGCAAATATTTAAGTCCTGTTTTGTGTGAATTTGTCATGTTGAAACATGATGTGTATTTTCCTGTGTTTTCAGTTTCACGGTACTTGAAGCGAAAAATAAAGAAATAAAGACTGTACCAGTTGAACACAACGCCGTGTTTAATCGATACTGATCGCTGTATCATATCGTATCACATTGTGTCTTTTTCTATCATATCATAATAATCCAAAAAGTTGTAGTACATCCTAAAATGCTTGACCCACAGCTGATCTGAGAAGTTCTACCATCATTGTTTAGTCGTGTAATATCTATTATTGGGGCTGCTGCACTGACTCTTTTCATTCTGGCCGCCTCTGCAGCCACTTCCTGGAGATTTACCTTGGGAAACAAACGGCCATTATGTAGAATTACCAGTCAGTCAATACGGTTACTCACTTAGCTATCATTACGATTCACTTAAGCTCTGTTTAATAGCAGTTTTTTACAATCAGAGTGTTGCACTCATGTAGAGACAGGCCCCTGTGCCAATCAGTGCCATTATGAACAATTGACCATTTGCTTATTTGTGGTGGTGGGGTTCAATAAGGTCACGATTACATCCACCGTCATCTCTCTCTTTGTTTAAGCTATGGTGTGCAGGATTACGGTGAAGTTTTGTTGTTCTGGCGTGATGGAAAAGGAGGAAGCTGTCATGCATTTTGCACCCCTGTGTCCTGATTATGTGTTCCTGCGGTCTGTGTGAGGATGTGATTGTTTCTTCGGAGGATTTGCAGTTTGTAATCAGTTTTGTTTTGCTGATAGCTTAATCTCTCGACGCTGTTTTCTCCGGTCGCTAAGGCTGGACTTAGCGTCGGTATATTTAAGTCAGTGGTAGAGCTGTTAAATGAAACTTTTGCAGTAAAAACAAACTGAACTTGCTCTTTCGTTTGTTTTTATATAATTTTATTTCATTTTTTTTATTTATAAAGAGTAGGAAAAGTTTGGATGATAAAGTTTGAAGGCACAGATCCCTATTTCATACACTTGATTGTGATAAAACTACAGATTTTATATTCATTATTGTTTTTTTAAAAATCAAACAACTGAGGAAACTCTATCCGCAGATGAAAGTCACCAAGAAAATGTTTTTTTCTTTAGGATCTGAGAGGATATAAAGGATCTCTTCCTTTCAGGTTCTGATGAGAAATTTATTCTAATGTCACAGTAACAACCCCCACAGTCTACTTTATTCCCAGCAGGTTAATAACATCAGGATTGCAGGAATATCTTCATGTTTTGGAGTCAGGTAGGTGTAAGAATCCCGTGGAGTATCGCAGGTGTCTGATGCATGTACCTGCATGTTACCCATGCAAAAATATGAGCACCGACACTGTTGTTTGAAGAAGAGAGGAAGGGAAAGAAGAAGGAAGAGAGGATGAGAGACATAAGAGAGAGAAATTTCTCTTTGATCAGTTTGTGACATTAATATTAGAAGTGCGCAGCAGCAGCCGCAGGGTAACCGACGCTGAGACGCACATATAATTCCCCCATGTGGGGCAGAGTTTGATTCCCGTCTAGAGCACTTTCTTGACTATGATCCCTTTATGCCTCTTATCCTCTTTGCTCGCCGAAGAGAAGACGTTCACAGAACATACCACGAGCTTTCCTTTCAGAGGGGAAGGAAAAAAACAACGAAAAAAAAAACAACCTTTTGCTTTGATGAGACTGCATTGTGGTGAACTTTATGCAAATCTGAGAATGTTTGTTGGATTACATGGGAGGCAACCTTTCCCCAGAATCCTGACCCTATTGTGTGCTTGGCAGCGGGAAGCAGGTCTAAGTTCGGAAAAGAACCCATTTGAATATGAAAATCCCCCAAATAGAAAAAAAAGCAGTCAAGGGAGATGATCTGAAAGGACTCTTCCCTTCCATCACCGGCTACCTGTGGGCAAGGCATTTCACCTCCGACAGCTTCAGCGGCGCAAAGCAGTCGCCGAGTCAAGTTTGCTGTTGTACTGCGAGTTCCCTGGTGTGATTATGTACAGCCTTCCTGTGCCCTGCAACTCTTCTTCCAAACCACTGCTGTAAACACTTCCTTATTCTGTGCTATTTTTAAAGTTGCAGGCAATACTGTGGTTTGGAAATGAATTCGGCCGAATATACGGCTGCTGCTGCTTGTGGTGAAAAGCCTGTAAAAGCTGCACTTAAACTTCTCACCAGGTAATAATTTCAAAGAAAAAGGAAACTGCTTGTAATTTTACAGAATTAGACGGTTTAGTGGAAATTTGAGGGGTTATTCAAAAACCAGCTTTTCAATCCACAACCTGAAATCAAAGCGCCAAAACATAACACAGATATGAGATTATTGAATACATCATGATCCATCTGTTGGCATTAATTTGCCTCTATGGGTTCAGTATGGATCCGATTAGGTGTTCTGGTTCATTAGAGACACAGAGGGTTGAGATTGAGCCCCTGCAGACAGTGGATTATATTAATTAATTGGACGTGTGCTGCCTTGGCCCTGATTCTAGTTTGTCTTTCCGCTCGATCTCTGCTGACCATCTTCTTTACTTTTATGGGTCATAAAGAGACATAACTGTTAATTTCAGTCTGCTATGTGACCAGTTAAAAACTCCCAGCTGGAGTTTAAATATACACACAATGGCTGAAACATAAAGCCCATCCATCAACTCATGATTTAAGACTATTTTAGTCTCCAAAGAGGCTTGCAAAAGAGGCACCGCTGCTCCTTCCTCATTAAGTTGCATGCATTCTCCATAAGGATTATTCTACTTGTGCTATTAATAGAACCCGATGAACTGCTCAATCAATCCTAAAGCGGGGAAAAGAAAGCAATCAATATGAAGAGTTTGAGTGGAGAAAATATCAAATGCAGTAATCAAGTTCTCTGGATGCATCAGCTTCAGTGAATTAATGCAATCAAAAGAGCCGACGTCTGTAGATATAATAAATATGATCCACAGAGTTCCTTGAAAATGTGCATTAAAAAAGATATATTTAGCATTTTTAGACTGAGACTTTAAATGTAAAGTCCTAGTAGAAGTCATGGTCTCCTCTCGACAAGACTCTGGTGGACAGTAGTGAACACAGAGGGTGGAAAGGCAGAAGTGCCCTGATGTCCAAATATTTTAATAGAAGTGCTTAAGATAAAGCATCTTAAAAAAAGGCCCTGCTAATTGCCCTCGCAGAGTAAATCATGTAAAACAGTAAACAAAGTGCTTTTTTGTTTTGTTTTTAACAACATGAAAAAAGTGCCCCTGGTTTAAAAAACTTAAATGTAAACAAAGTGCCCACTAGATGCTCTTTTGGAGGATAAAAGTTAAGATGGTGTCCTTCAAATGCTTACTTGTGTATTAAATGTAAACAAAGTGCCCCCTAGATGCTCTTTTAGTGGTTATATGTGAACAAACTGCCCTCTTATAGCTCATATGGTGAATTAGATCAAAACAAAACACCGTCTGAATCTCTTTCAGTGGGTAAATGTAAACAAAGCACCCTTAACCCTCTAACAGTTGGTAAATGTAAACAAAGTGCCCTCTAGATGCTCTTTCAGTGGGTAAATGTAAACAAAGTGCTCTAGATTTTCTTCCAGTGGATAAATGTAAACAAGGTGCCCTTTAGAAACTCTTTCAGTTGGTAAATATAAACAAAGTGCCCTCTGAAAACTTTCAGTCGGTAGATGTAAACAAAGTTCCCTCTAGATTTTCTTCCAGTGGATAAATGTTAACAAGGTGCCTTCAAGAAACTCTTACAGTTAGTTAATGTAAACAGAGCACCCTCTAGAAGCTTTTTCAGTCGGTAAATGTAAACAAAGTGCCCTCTAGAAACTCTATCAGTGGGCAAATGTAAACAAAGTGCCCTCTAGCTGCACCTTCAACGGGTTAAATGTAAATAGAGTAACTTTTTTTAATACTCTTTCAGTGGTGCCCTCTGGAGTCTAGAACTACCTTCTAGTTTCTCTGTAAGAGTATAAGATGTATACAAAGTGTTCTCTGTCTACTTTTCAGGATATAAAGTAAAAAAGCGCCCACTGGTTGCTCTTAGGTGAATATATTATAAACGAAGGGCTCTTCAACACACTGTGGTTGCTCTTTCAGTGTATAAATTGTACACAAAGTGCTGTCTGGCTGCCCTGGGTAAAATGTGAAGGAGTAGTGCTTTTACTGGGTTATTTATTTGCGTCTTTAGGATAATACTCGAGCTTTCCAAGGCTTTCAGCAGATACCTTTAAGTGTTTTTGCCTCTGCCCCTTAAGCATCCTGAGTACTCCACCGCCGGTGGACAGGGCAAAACATAAATGGCAGCAATTTTTGGGAGAAGTCTCTTCATGCAAAGAGAATCTTCTCAGCTGATTAAAGCAGAAGTACTGAAATCATCTCTTAAATGACTGTGTGCATCATTACACCTGATGACTTAAGTTGGCTCTCCAATTGCAGTGTTCAGTCGTATTATTGTCCACCTTATAAAAGCCAAGCAGACCGCCGCTTCGACTGGCTTTTTTCTGTTATAATTGTTTGAAAAGTTGCCCCCGAGAAGCAAAATCAATCATGTATCTCTCATTTTTTCTCAAGTGCCTCATACAGGATGTAAAAGGAAGACTGAATGGGTTTTTCAAGAGCTTCCGTTTTTTCTCCCAGGCAAAAAGACAAACATCCCATTCTCAATCTCTTTCCGCCGCGTAGGGAGATTTCTGTGAAGACAGAAAGAAAAGGGAGGCTTCACAGTCGATGCTGCTGTAATAATATAGATAAACACTGCCTGGATGAGGGAGATGATGCTCCCACTCTATTTCCTGGCGAGTGGGTGGGAATATCAGCTGCATGGATCAGTGATTAATGCACGCTTTGGCAAGTTTGTGAAGGCAGCCAGACAGGAGGGACTCTGAGTTAGAGGAGGAGAAACACAGACAGACTGGACATAGAATAGAGTTCAGTGTTTAAATTAATCTGCACGTTGATTCATGTGTTGTGCTCTCTTGCATCAATGCCATCACTGCGGAAGCTCAGTCGATGCGAGCACTGCGCGGCTGACATCGATGGTTGATAAGATGCTCCTCTGATAGAGCGAGGCAGCCGATGTTGATGTGTATTTTATTCACTGAGAGAAGAGCGAAGTTCAAGAACTGCCCTCGCTTAAAGAAATAACAGTTTGTCAAACACTAAAAATGACTTTATCCTGTCAAGTGACCTCTTACTGGCATGTGAATAATAACCGTCCTTTCTTGGTGGCGAAGGCATGAAGGAGGTCGAAGCGGATTGTAGTTTGTACAAAACTTCCAGCTTTGACATCAGTGACTGTGATTTACTTCACGCTGGCCAAGCTTTTGTATCTGTAGCCTTTACTAAACCTTGACTATAGATGTTACAGGGCAGAAAAAAAGACGTTTTGGGAGCAGCAAAGATTCATGATTTGCTCGAACGAAGCAGCAGCACCCATAGAAGAGTGGAAGAGCAATGAATGAAGGCCAGAGTCAAAGAGGAATCAACAGTCGAATTTTCATGAAGACTCCAAAAACAGGCAACTGGACTGTGTAGAGTTGAGAAGACGTTTCGCCTCTTATCCAAGAAGCTTCTTCAGTTGCCTTTTTTTGGAGTCTTCAAGACAACCATGACCTGGATGAATGAGAATCTACACGAACAGTCTAATTTCTCTTTTCATAACAGCAGGGGAGAACTTTTATAAGTGTCTGTCAAACTCTGAAGTAATTGAATCATTTCAAAATTAAATTTCAATTGATCACATTTTTATTGCATGTTTAAAACTCAATTATTTTGCTTTTCTTATCATGTTAAAATTGTTAAGCAAGTCATAGCAGTGCGATGATTTGTACTTTATGATCTTGACTATTTGATAAAGTATTCAACTAAATCTTGCAGTGCGACAGCAGTGTGGTCAGAAACCTGAGTGGTTATATATGTATTTTTTAAAACACTGCGACACATCAAGAAATACAGAGAGCAAGTAAAAAGTCTCAGTATTTATTCTGTAGTTTAATTTCTATTCTGTGATTTCTGGTTAATGAATCAGCTTTTGGACTCAAAAGTTCCAGTTTAGGGGATTTTTCTGAAGTCCTGTATGCATGAAAGTCAGGTATATGGTCACAACATGAGGACGTCCCAGACACCTTAGTCTCCCTCAGTCTCAGCTGCCTCATAGTCTGTTGCCATCCATTTAGGAAACACTGCACTTCTTTGATTTAGTTTCATCTACAGGACTGTGATGATTTAACATTACTAAATAATGCTCTGTTGACCGGTCGCTCACTTAGTTGCTCAAACTCAAAGCACTTTGGTTATACATTAATTCTGTTTCACATAAAGCGTGTATTACTTTTGACCTCACAGCTGAGCCATCTGGCTGGTTTTTAAGGTGAAATGCGCCATTCAAAAGCGCAGTGGTGTCTTCCATCATAAAAAAAAAAAAAGCAGAGAGAGGCTCAGCTGTGGAGTTTTGAGTTGGTTGTCAAACAGACTGAAATCAACTGAGATGACCTCTATATGGCTGACAAAAGCAAACCAGAGCGTCAGTGAAAAGACAGAGTAATTCTGTACAGTGATTTTTACTGTATGCAGCTGCAGTGGGAGGATCGGGTTTGGACCACATGGTTTAAAGCATCCCTTTCATGTCCTCTTTAACTCTGAGTGATGAATTAAGCTCCAAAAAGAGAGTTTTCTCCTCCTCAGAGAATCAGACCGACACATGTTTAAAACAAGAAAGAGACGAGAGAACCCCTTTGTCCACAGGGGGCGCCAGAGTCAACACAGACAAAAAGTTCCACACAGGAGATTAAACCGGTTATACCAAAATGTAAATAAGACTGTAGTTGAAAAAAACAAAAACACATGGTTGATTATTAAGTAAACACTGACAGACTTTCTTTTTTCATAATTAACCCATTTAAACGATTTTTGAATGATTCAGCTGAAGTTAAACACCTGGGACTATTTAACCACCTGCAGCTCATCATCACTTTAATCAGTGCAAACACCTGTGCCGTATAAATGAGCCTGACTAACCCATTCTCATTTGTTTGTCTCAGTTGTCAAGACTTGGTTTAAATAAAGTTCTTTGTACTTTGCACTGGCGTGGTTTCATTTTTTCTAAAATAGTGTAGTCTTGTATATAAAATGTCGTATAATGTCGAGTGTTGTGGTCTTTTTAAAAATGCAGCTTTAAAGCTCCTGTGAGGAACTTTTGGTTTGTAGACGAATCAGACAAATCAGACTTTGCTTATCTCGTCCTTTACAGGCTCAAGTAGAACTTGGACAAAATGATCTCATCCTGCTGACTTTTGACAAATTATACATGAATCATTTGTTGTGAATATTTAATATGGACATAATTAAGTAAGGGCTGTTTCTTTAGCTGCAAGAATGACACCTTTTAGGCATGACAAATTAGGATACAGATATCTTCAATCTTGTTGCTGATGGTCTTATTTGCTTTTTGATATTATAGAACAACTTCAACATGAAATTCAACGTTTCATAAACATTAAAAATATCCTTATAGGAGCTTTAATGCATGATAGCATGTTCATGTTGGTGAAGTTGTGAAATGATAGACGCTACCTTAGCTTGATACCACAATAGTAATAAAAAGAACTTCTAAGTTACCAGGTAAAGAGTCTTAGATTTCTGATCCCCCTCCTCGTTAAAGATGTAGTAAATGAGACCCAGTTCTGCTACTTAGGCCTTGACTGTACAGCTTTGATAAATTAAGAAACTCCTGCCACTTAATACTTAATGATCACTTCTGGCCCCAAAAATCTAAGATGGCAAAAGAAAACACGAAAAAAGACGTTGAGAAAATGTAATCCAGAACCAATGGGTTATAGCACTAAAACTACACCCACTTTTTAAACAGTCTGTGATTCAAACACTCTTTATTATCTGGACAGAATTCATGTAAAAACCACCATAAGGAATTTAATTTAAAAATGTTTTATCAGTCTATAAACAGAACTAAATATTTAAGCATTATGTCAGAGAAATAAAGTCAATTTCTTTCTTCTTTAGGGCTGTAAAACAAATCTGGATGAACTGCTGTCGGGGCATTTTATGGAGATTTAATTATTTGAATTTCATAAAGCTTAGTAAAGATTTAAAGGAGCGGGGAATTGTTGATTCCTAAATTTAAGGTTAAGTGTCAAAGCAGCTAAACGGTAAAGTAAGCCAGGTAAGCTCATTTATGGTCGTCTTTATTTGAGGAAATATTGGTCTTAAATGCTACTGTGCTGTAGATACTTGTTTTTTTATTGCATTTGAATGTGTACCTTTTCTAGGTAAGCTGTACATAAGAGATAAAAATGACTTTACATACACCAGTGGGGTATTTCAAAAGTGTATGAAATGCCACTTCAGCTTTTTTACTCCCACCTACGTCCCTGAAATTGGTCTAAAGAGAGAAATGCCGGCTGTGACTTCATGTTCAGTTTGATTTGCTCCTGAAATGCCAGAACCTTCTAACTCCAATGAGGGTAAAGATGAATCAGGAAAAGAGACATGAAAAAAAAAGGGAAACCAGACCTTAAAAAAGACTCCCTTGATGTAGAGACGCTGGCTTACTTAAGGAAAAAGTAATCCTTGATTAAAAGATTTTTTAAAAGCGTCTGATGTACGAAGTTGTGCTCACCGCTCTCTTGGCAGATGGACCTGGGGCTGTCGGTGACATCTTTTACTCAGGCTGAAGAGCTTGTAGATGACTCTGTGGGCTCGCCTGGAGAGGACCTGCATGCTGTTCTCCAGCTGCTCGTATCTCCACTGGAACATGTTGTCCAAGGACCACAAGTGCTGGATGGTCGACACGTTCAGGAAATAGTTCTGCGGCAGCCTCGTGTAGAAGGCCTTGAATTCATCTGTCACAGTAGAAACACACATGAAAAAGGAAACGTATACATGTATGAATATAAATAAGTGAATAGAGGTTATCAAAAGCAAAATGAGTAGATTGGAAAAGGCAAAATCTAACAGCTAAAAAGTATACAGCATTTAATCTGAAAATGGTTTCATGTCTTGCAACTGTTTGTACTCGCGCTCAATTATTAACCTGCTGAAACGGCTTTTTTCCACTTCATGTAATTTAACGGTAACAGTAAGTGATGACATGAACCAAATCAATCCAGATATAAAACATGGTAATGAGATATTTCCTGATTTTATGACTTTACAAGGGTCACCTAAACGGACCATTAAACCCCGGTTTACTGTTATACTGCAGCGCCGCGCACTCTGAATTCTTAGATAAAGCAGAAACACAGAGAGGGTGTGCATTAGTTGTTTTTTCAGTTTGTGGTAGATGATGATGGCGACATGACTGAGTTGCATCTTTGATCCTGGCAGACCTTGGCCGTCCCTTCTATCAGATCAGAGATGAGGAGTCCCTGGATCTGGATGCAGCAGCTGGCAGCGCTTCAAAACGTATCCACTCGAGTTTTGATCGTATTTGCTGGAGCTTAAGGAGGAAATCTGAAGACTAAGATTGATGCTAGAGTTGGTGAATGATGAGAGAGCGTGCACTTCAAAGTAGAAATCTCAGTTTTTCATGGAAACTTTGGTCCAAGAGACGGAGTGAGAAGGTCCTTAAAGAGGGTCTGATACTTTATGAAAAATGAAAAGTTTGAAAGTTTTACTACAGTAAATATCTTAGGGCTGGGCAATATGGCCTCAAATCAATATCACAATATATCCAGCAGTTCACATCGATAATGATAAATAGATGATAACTACTACAAGGTGCTCACCCCCTCCCTCATTAACTTCGTCTACTTTAGCCGCTACAACTTTTGAACCGTCCTCCATCTCCTCACCTGTCTTTCCCTCTTTGTTACAGACTGGATGGGGTGGAGTCACGTCTCTGATGTAGGACAGCATCTTAAAGGGACATGAGACCATAGCCTACCTACACACATCCACAACTTTGATTTACTTTTTTTTGACACCGAATATATTGATATGGGCAAAATGACGTCAGTTATTGTACATTTTCGGTTGATCGCCCAGCCCTAAAATATCTATACTAATACTTCTAGTAACAAACATGAAGCTATCACAATATGAATCTTTAATCATCTGAGTATAAAAATAGTTTTGTGAATTCAATATGGGCCTTTTATACCTGATTAAAACATGGTTGCCATTCTTCTATGGAAGCCCAGAATGGACAAACTACCAGTTTTTGTATTTAGTGAATGGCTGTGCAAAATGCACCGCAGGAGGAGAGAGTTACTGTTGACGGTGAAAACTTGACAAATAGACGATCTACTTCTCATGAAACATGGCGACTTTTTGTCCTCGAAGGCCACCGTAGCCTCACTGGCAGGAGGGGTGAGCAAGAGAGCATTTCAATAATGAGTTATTCAGTAATGTCATTTCCAGCTCTGACATCCATCTTCCGAGGTAACTGGACGCAACATAACATCTGACTATTCCTCTTTCTACATGCTTTATACCTTCAAAATTTAGAATATTTTTTGTGGATTACTTGGCTGAAAAATTCAAACTTGCTTTAAAACTAAATATCAACGTTGAAATTATTGAGAGATGATAATGGATCCATTAAGATCTTGATGAAAATAACCAGTCGCCAACCCTCTGATTCACATTTAAACAAGCTAAAAAGGCTGTCGACTGATTGGCTGTAACTACATATAGGTCTCACATTGACTTTCATGTGAGCATAATTTGAAGGACAGCTTGTTTTTGTCCTTCATGCATTTATTCTAACCTTCTTTGCATTCAGAATATTATGATCTGTACCAAAACTGTAAAAATGATCTAATATCCTCATTGAAGGTCTCGCTCACTCACAGGGACTTTGTTGTGCTTGTGCAACGGATGTCAAAGTGTCTCGAAACATGTTTTAAAATTCAATTAACTATCGGGTAAAAAAAAGAAAAGAATGAAACCTGAATTAAAATAACTCATTTCATAATTATTCAATCTTTCCATATCACTTTTTTTTCCATACACATGCAGCGTTATCTGAGTGACAAGTTGTTCTCGCAGCTATTAACAGAGGACTGACTGGAGGCCGTGGAGAGCGAGTTACAGCCACATAATTACAAAGCCACACTCTCCTTCTGCTAATGCCTAATTACTCGCTGCCTCAGATAGATGTTCAAAGACCTGTACTTATGTTGGAAAATATGCAATCACAGTGGATACACTTCACCTGCGTGACAGCAGCAGTCAGTACTTGGCAGATGCTGCTGTAATGACTTCAACACCAATGACGAACCAATGACAAGAGTTTGAGTGCGGACTACAACTTTATTATTATTAATATTATCATGATTTAGATCTACTTTGCATAAAAGGCCCTGTATTCAATTACTGGAAGACTTTAGTATCAATAGATTTAAGTCTATCCGTATATTTACAGTAAAATATGAGCGGTCGTAAGATATTATTCACAGGCAGAGTCAGGCCTAAAATATTAGATAATGCTATTGTGGTTCCAGTGGTGGACAAAGTACACAGGGCCATTACTCGCTGGCACTGCCTGTTCTTTATTTAAAGAGCTCTTTCTGGAAATACGCCATCCTACATCACTCCTTATTGAACCGGTCCAATAGTCATTATCACACTGGCTCAGCTGATTGGCTGAGGTTTGGATTCCTACAAGTAAACACAAAACTCCTTTGGTTTCAGTGCAGCACACACTCCTGCTACTGTGACCTAGACTGTATTCACACCAGAGCTGTTTAAGTAAAAACCAGACAGTCTGGTAGGTTTGGAGCTCATTTGAGTGAACTTTGGTTTGTGGTCGCGAGGCCCAATTATCTTCCATGTTTACTCCAACAGCGAACCGGCTTTCATTCTGGCACTGGGCGAATAAAAGTAAAACCAAACCGTGAACTTAGGGATCATCTTAAAGTATCTGTGAGTGAATCACTGTGTCCCAGTCTGCCCTTTAATCCCTCACTCTGTGCTCTAAGTCTTCAGCATAAGACAGAAATGGGAACTATAACCCATGTTTGACAGTCTACAGAAGTATTGGTCTGATATTTCACAGAGGTTTTTGAACTGGATCCAGTGGCTCTTGTTTTAGTGCACCCTGGTAAGAATATATATATAAAAAAAGATGATTTATTATTCTTTCTTTTGCTGCCAGAAAGAAAAGAAAAGATTTATACTGTTACGGTGGATGAGGGATGGATTTCTGCACATGCTAAAACAGATCAGTTCTGCAAAGTCGGGCATCTATCTTGGACTTGATCTCTCTGTTATTATCTTAAAAGGATTGTGCATTGTAACTCATGACTTGGTTGTGTTTGTTTTTTCTGATTTCAGGTACTCAAAACACGAACTTGAGTACACTACTGGAGCGAATTTACTCCCTGGCTGTCCGGCAGTGTCTGGTACCGGCTGGTTCAAGGTAACAATAGTATTTGTTCAAGGGAAAAGACATATTTGATCTCCACCTGTGTCAGCGGATGCATCACTTCCTGGCATTTTCCTTCTGCTGATAAAGCAGCAGGCGGACAAAAATCTGCGATATCCTCGCTGAAGGACACATTCGTGACACTTGTGGCTGTCTGCATTCAGCGCACGTCTCTGCCCTCACTTTACACTCGGCTATTAAAACATAAACTTTGCAAGTAATTGCACTCAGAGAGATATTTCAGCTAAATCTATGGAGTAAAAAAAAAAAAAAAAAAAAGACATCCATTTTGATTTCACCTGAGTAATAATCGTGAAGGCAGGTTGACCGAGCACAGCAATAATAACCAAACATTATCCTTGGAGTTTCCACTCAAACTCTGCTTCCCCTGCGAGATGAAAAAAAAAAACTGGACCTGCAATAAAAGGGTTTTATAGCTGATTAATCTGCTCCAGACATATTGTAAACTACCTGAGCTGAAAACTGTTGATTTTTTAATTCGGTACTTTTGCCTTGTTAATATGCTTTATGCAGATAGTGCGGCTGGACCGAGGATTCACTGCCTGCAATTATAGTTCACCTATAAATCATAGAATAGGGAGGACTACACGTATAGGATCCTAACTGCACAGATAAAACACTTGGATTCATTCTCCCTCCCTCGTATATAAATAATTTACGCTCTAAAACTTTGACTTCACTGCATCGAGGATACGGCACGCAAACTAAAAAGAGGACTCACCTGATTCCTCAAACTCTTTATACAGCAGCCCCCACGTCTCTGTGATCCTCTCCAGGCTCTCCTCCATGGCTTGGATGTCCATATAGGGGCAGTTGCACTCTGGGAACTTCGGGTCACAGCTGCACCAGCAGTCGCTGTCCCTGCAGACGAATTCCCCCTCTCCATTACAGGCGATGTAGCTGAGAGCAGCCTGCACAAAGCCTTCCTTCAGGTAGGCCGGGAGGATCAGCTGCAGACCTGAGAAAACAAGAGGAAAACTTACACTTGCAGACTTGGTTTGTAACTTCTGTAATTTCAGCTTGAAAACTCAAACATACCTTGCAGTTGGACCTTGTTTTCCGGGCTCTGAACCAGCACAGAGCTAACAGAGTCAAGGTTGTCATAGTTACTGCATCCAAGAGGACCTGTGCGGGTCTCCGTCACCTGGGCAACAACACAGAAATAAAAGCTTATATTTAAAGTGCTGCACAGCATCCATTTAAGAGCGAAAGCAATGTTAAGTGATGTATTTTTTTTATATAACCACAGGGCACACGGACATCTCTGAAACAAGATTCCGTTTCAAGGAGAGACAAAACAAACTGATCTTATGCAACAGAACATCGGTAAAAATACACAAATAAACAGAGTTGCACAACAGGGTGATGACTTTGTGTTGTCAGGGTTAAAAAAAGTTCATCCTGAAGAGATTAAACTGTGTGATAAAGAAGTCAATTAAAGGGATATTCCGGCATAAAATTAAGTAATGGTCAAACACACCATAACACTGAATTAGACACTCCCTCAAGAGATAAATGTTGCCGACTGCTTGCTTCTCCAGTTTTACCAACTTTAGTAACGACCGCACGATAGCAATACACAGCAATCTACGTCTCTACGTACAAACCTCAACCAAAAAGCCACTCTAAAGCCACAAATAATGCTCAGAACAGCACCTAACTTCATCAACAGGACATATAGGGTCCCAGACATAGTACTAGCCACCAAACACCTTTTTAACTTTGACTAATTTCTTTAGCAAAGAGACTAAACACAACTCACCTACTCTCCTCGATCACTGAGCGCAGTGGATCATTTGTGATTATTGCTTTATGGAAATTCAATCAGACCGAGACGCTAAGGCAGAAAAACTACCGCGTCTGCAGTGTAAAATGATTATTATGATGATTATTACTTCATGGAAATTAAACGCTGCACTCGGTGATCGACTCATCAGGGCTCCCCCACAAACAAATTCACTAAGGCCAGAACAGTGGTGGACTGGATTATCGGAATCGGCCCCAAAAAAAATGTGTGTAAGGCCATTGAACTTGTAAGCAGGCCAGGCCAGCAGTGAAAGGGTTTAATTAATTTATGTCTGTTGCCATGGCAACACGTAGCTGGTGCGACCGGAAGTAGAGCTGTGAGGTGATCGAGCATCGTTGTCCGCTCCGCTCCCGAAGTGTTCCCTGAGGCAACATCTGTGTTTTTCATGCTGTCGCTCTAAGATGTGATTGTTTTGAGTTTAGTAAGGTCGCCGGCCAACACCAAGACGGCTACGATGCTAGTAGTGCGTTCTAATCCAAGTTTTATGCCTCTCGAGAACGTTGACTTTTTCTGACAGGCTTTCAACATTTAATTATAATACAAAAACAATGTGGTAGGCTACATTCTTAGTTTAAATGAATAAACAAATAGTTAAAAGGCATGAATAATATGGAGGTTTTATAAACATGACGAATATCCTTCTGTTAATCTAGTTCAGTCAGCTATAAAGCACCTGTCAAATTACTTATGATTAAAATGATACGAAAAATGAGATAAAGACTAAATCTGATTCCTTTAGATTACATTTTACCGAAAACTATACTAAACTAAAGACTAAAATGTGTCTTTGACTAAATCCAGAGATCAGAGATCGTTTACATTTTTGTTGAAGCAAAGAGTTGTGTCACATTGTGATTATAATTTTGTTTTGTTATGAAGTAAAAACAAAAATATGCCTCTGTGCAACAGCTTCACAGCAAACTTTATTTAACATTTAATTCGCAGTCATGTAGCCAATGTTGAATTCTTCACATTAGCATTATATTCACTAAATCTGGCTTCAAATGTCCAAAACTTTTCGCCAGTGCCGGCATTTCCGCGTCAATATGTACTGGCCTGGCCTGGATGGAGTCAAACTCCTGGCCTGAATTATGGTCCCAGTCCGCCCCGGGCCAGAATATTCCTTTAAGTTTATATTATTTTACAGAAATTGAATTCACCAAAGTTACTCCTTTAAATAAGCAAATCTGCAAAATTCAACCGTGGTATTTTTAAAGAAGCACTTATGTTGTTTATTAACTCATTTTTCCTCCACATGTGAAATCTACTTCACTTTGACTATGTTTGTCACGCTTCCCTATCATTTTGTTCAAAGTAATAATCTGCAGAGGACAGGCTGACAAATAATACTCCCTGTTTGTTGAACTAAAACAGAAATTTTAACTTTTTCCTCAAAACTGCATCAAACAATTTTGGCCGATGGAGAGCAGCATGCAGGCACGCTGCCCGTCACACCGTCATCAAAGTTCAGTCGTCGGTTTGGTTTCAGCGCTGAAAGCTCCGCGTGAGGGACGGTCGCAGTAGTTCTGACTTCAATAATGATGCCAGAAACTCCAAACAGAACTGAACTGCAGGAAGAGTCGGTAAAGTTTATGTGAACTGGTATATCTCAGCTTTCTCATAGGAGAGATATCATCTGCTAGAATGTCAGATGGAGAAATTGCGACGTATATAATGACCATATTCGCCAAAGATAAGCCCTTCTACATTCGATGGCATCACCAAGACCATACTCATGTCTTACAAAGGCTCCTGACTCAGATCTTCACAGATACGGATCTGCACAGCCTTGCAGATTCATGAAGGTGATATGATCCGATTGCATGTGTACCCCTCCCCACATGCAATCAAGAAAAGCCATTTGCAAGATCTCCTATCTCTGCGATCCATCAACTTCTCCACCTTCTGACCTTTACAGCACATGTCCCTTTTGTCCAGAAGACAAGGCTATTTCTGCTGCGGTTAAATAAGGAAGTGCCTACATAAAGAAAACCGGAGTAAACTCATTTAGTTCCTCCTAAATTGCTGTAAGAGTGCTTTGCTGCACTTTTCTGCAAGAATGCTAAAATGCTTCCTTTTTTGTCTAGTCACTGATGGACGATGTTTTGATTGACCTTTGCCACAAAGCAGCTCCAGCAAAGCATCCGCTTTTTTCCCCCTTTTTTTCACTTCATTTGCAAGAAGAGATCTTATTTCAGCACTCTCCTTTTTCTGGCTGTGACACGGCGGGGGGAGCGACTAACTGATTCTCATTTTTCTCTCTTTGTGGGTCTGGGACACCATATTTTGTTCGGCGATTTGTCCTGGTCAGGCTTGTCAGAGGACAGTTGGTGTAAAGTGACAGATGGATGAGGCGAGACAATGAGGGTCAGTCGATCAGTAACACAATCATAGAGGGCTGAAGGGGCTCCGGGGCTCATATGGAGGCTGCTGCTGCTGCAGGGAAGTGAAAACGCAGTATGGGGCTCTTTAATCAAAAGCCTAATCCAGAAGAAAAGAGGGTTTGTGAGCGGAAGAATAAATATCCTCTGTGAATGGGAAAAGGAAAATGAAAGATAATTTGAGTGCAATCCTTGGACAATAATATTTATATCGCGTTATAAATCCCTTGTTTCCCTCATGAGGGATTTTAATGCTGATATGAAAGTGAGGAAATGAGATACAAACCCGGGTTTTCGACCACATGAATATTGAATCTTTATAAGGAATTATTTGATATGCCAGATGATAAGCCATATGGCAAAACATTGACTGATGAGCAGAGCATTCAATATCCGCTTTGCTGAGCAGCTGCTTTTCACTCCACATGCATTCTGGTGTATTAAAAATACTTAATAGGACATTATTGGCCACCTGTATTGTTGCGTGTTTCTGAGTAGGATAATAAAGAAAAAAAGCTGTACTCGTTCAGTCAGACCTCACGTCCTCTGAATTCAGAGTATGTTCCAACTTTAACCTCCTCCTTTATAAAACACTCCTTTCTGCTCTTCTTAAAGCTGCTCCGATCAGTTTGGGCCGATGGAGAGCAGCAGGCACAGCGGCTGACGTACTGTCAGGTTATAAAAAGGAAGAGTTAATGCATTGCCAAGCAGAGGATTTCAAAGCGAGGGAAGATTTTATCTGATTTATTTACTGAATTGACAATGTTTGATGACTGACATTTGGAGCACTTGAAGGTCTGAAAGGGCATTAAACTCCGCGGTGAGTCATGAGAGGGAAACTTGAAGAACTACTTAAGACACCGAACTTTTTCTTTTCACAAATAAAAATATTAATAATGACGTCAAGAGGAAAAGATGGGGGGTCGTTATAGCGGTTATAGGTTAACAACAACTCATTTAACTCTGTAGCCCTGAGTATGAGCGTATGATGATAAAGGTTTCCATCTAGAAGTATTAACATGAAGTATTAGGGCTGGGCGATATGGCCTCAAATCAATATCATTATATATTGAGCAGTTCACCTCTGTAAACTGCTCACCCCCTCCCACATTAACTTTGTCTACTCCAGCCGCTACAACTTTTGAACCGTCCTCCGTCTCCTCACCTTTCTTTCCCTCTTTGTTAAGGACTGGATGGGGTGGAGTCACGTCTCTGACGTAGGACAGCGTCTTAAAGGGACATGGGACCATAGCCTACCTACACGCATCCAAAACCAACTTTGATTTAGTTATTTTTTTGACACTGAATATATTGACATGGGAAAAAGGACATCGGTTATTGTCGTAAATTTCGGTATCAGTAAATTTTTGGTTTATTGCCAAGCCCTATGAAGTATATCATATTGTCATGATGCAGTACTTATGGTGCGTTCCAGTTGTACTCGGAAGTCAGGATTTCTGAGTTCCCAGTTGGAACTTTCAACTGGAACGACTTACGAGGTCGGATTTCTGACTCTGCGGTGCTGGTAAGTAGAAGCTCCTGTTATAATCCTTTTATTTACCCTCTTTACTATTTGTAGTCACAGTAAGTCAGCCGTATACAACAGCATTGTTAGATGAATACATATGGGAATGCTGTTATAGCGTAATTTACATTTTTCACGTGTATATGCAAACTTCAGAGCAGACTGTGCTAACAACGGCTAACCGTAGCCTGTTAGTTTAAGACTTTTTTTTTGGCCGCTGGCGATTTTTTTCAGACTTAGTAAGTGAAACACTGATAACTCGGGTGTGACATCATTCCCAGCTCCGACTTCGGAGGTAAATGGAATGCACCATTATAGAACCACTTTGTTTAGTTCTGATGGGGCATCCAAGCCTGCTAATGGGGTCAAATATTCACTTTCCACCAGCTTCATGACTTTATCATAACAACTGTCTACCCACAGTTAGAGTGTTTTCTGTCCGGTAGTGGACATGTTGCACACAGAATGTTTTTAGAGGTTGAGTTGGATCCCCTGAGCCAAAGTGAGTAAAATATAGCTGTAGAGCTGAGATGTTCTGCACCAAAAATACAACCATGTCATGAGGCAGAGTTAAACAAAGGAAAAGGACCCAAAAATGCACAAGGACACTAGGGATTCACACATCGAGGATCACGGTGAACCGGCAGACAGGGAATATATACACACTGGGAAAAAGCAACAGGTGAGGCAGACGAGACAGGTGAAACTCATGGGTGATTCACAAAGGAGGGAAAACCAGACTAGAAACACAAGGAATTCAATACTACAAAATATAACGGTAAATAAACACTGAAAACTGATTTAAAGAATAAAACACTGAGAACTGGAGGGAAACAGGGTTAAAGACAAACTGGAAACTCACAAGACTGGACTACAGGAACACTAGAGAAAATACACAGAAAATGCACTCAATAAACAAAACCAGGAGAAAACTACATTTACAGAACATATCATGAAAAACAGAAAAGATCATCCGTCAAATTTTCAGGGATCCTGGCAAAGGTTGAATCAAATCCTTCTATTATTCATCACTTTGTTTTGGGCACAACATGAATCAAATAAATGAGTTTGTCTCCTCTCAGTCCCTCAACAGGTCCAGGTGATCCTGCAGGCAAACAGCACTCTGTCGTCTCTCTCTCAACCGCACTACCAAAAATGCAAACAGATGACTTATGTGAACTCCATATATCTGTCCCTGCAACAATAGAGGTATCTTATGATGAGGGAAACCACTGCCCAAGACGGTAACCCACCACATCTGCGCCTGACTATATCAAGTTTTAGGACTAACACACCCATGAGGACATCATCCAAAAATGATGGCAGCTGGTTTGTCGAGATGATGGTAGAAAAAAATAAAAATAAGACATGCGGGATCCAAAGTAATCAACCGCCAGGAAGCTCCTGTAAAAGCCTTTATTTACCACAAGTGATGCTAAACATGCTTTTCCTCAGACCTCCGACAAACATCTACGGTAAGTTATGAACAATAAAGACAATATACGATCTATACGTCTTCAAATTATCCTACTGCACATGAAAAACAAGCAAACATATATAACAAACACAAGGTTAATGTACATGTCGTGTCTGCAACACAAATGAAAACCATCAATATCAGGAAATATAACAAATCCATGCACACGGATATAACAATGTTTGTGCAAAACTAGAGCTATATATCTAGATGTTGTTATCTTTATTTTTGGACTGCAGATGTGCTGAGGGTGTAACTTCAGCACACAGGGAGTACATCTAAATTTGTTGCCGGCTGAATGCTTTGAAAAAAAAACATGTTCTGTACTCTATAATCAGCCAATCGTATTTGCTGCGTCGACCAAAACAAGCTGCAAACTCACTAACCGGGTACGAAAAAGGAGATATGATGAAGTTTGGTGTTTTTGCATCAGGTGGAAAGGTAGGAGCAATTAAAATGTGATCATTGAGGTTTAGGGATTTCTAAAATAAACAATCAATGTGGCTAAATCACAACTATTGACTCTTTTCACAATTTCGTCGAATTGAATGTTGCCTTAAGCCTTAAATTAGATCATGTTGAGTCAGGACGCGGAGGCTCGTAATCAGCTCAGTTTGAGAGAAACAGCCTGACACTTTTCCTGTCCGTGTTTGTTTTCTCTGTCAAAATGAAGTTTGATTGGAGTGTCATCGCACATGATCGAGTTAGCTGTCTTCAGGAAAAGAAATTGAAAGATTCATAACACGGGGAACACGAAACATTTCTCTACTATATTGGAAAGAGAGACTACAACAGAGAGGGTGTGCGGGGAGGAAATGGGAAACCTCAAACTCCTGCAGTTTCCGCTCCGCTCATCACTCTGTGCGCGCAAATATGGTTCGAGTCAGCTGAGGTTATCGCCATCAATTCAGTCCACGAAAATTCACCGAAAAATGCTCTCTCTAACAAGTGGAGTCATTACTCATTGTGCAAACAAGTCGATCGGACCCCGGACTCTTCACTCTGCCGTGACTTCTTTAAGTGGGCCCAGGTTTCCAACAACCAGCGCTAACAGGCTTTTTTCTCTAAAATGAGCTTCAATTTCCCCCCTTTGCATGCAGGCAGCAGGAGAGCTTTGGGCTCTCCAGACCTCGCTCTTTATCCCGCAGCTGCTTCAATTTCAAATCCATGCAGAGTACAGTTTAGCTGTATCCGTTCCGCTGTTGTGTGCGGGTCAACGCCCTGTGGAAATGATGTAGGAATGTGTAGGGATGTGTTTCCTTTTGACTCACATTCCTGCAGTGATGGAGGTGAGTCGGCACTCTTCCACTTCCTACCTGTCAGTTACGCCCTATGACTGTCTTTGGAGCATGAAAGCACATTCTATTTCCTTCTCCTGCTCTCTGTAGCGACAGAAAAAAAACCCTAATTCCCCAGAAATGGCACACACAAAAGCAGCTGCCTCTGCCCCCTCTGATGTGCCCACCTTAGCTGCAAAGACGAGGAGCTCAACCCTCCCTGAACACAATGTAGAGAGAGGACCGAGCTTTGATACGAGTACAGGGAGTCTGATTCATGTTCTGCACCAGCAGAGAAAGCCACACTCCGCAGGCCGAGTACCACCGCTGTGTTCAGAGGAATAACAAAAGAAGAAAAGAGGGTCGTCCTCCCCTCTGTAGCCTATTAACCCCATGCTACCTGAAGGTGACAGCCTGAGGCACAGACCTGTCACCAGCCTCATCTGTCTTCCCCGCAACATATGTGCTCATCATGGAGCTTCCTGAAGATGCAGTGTGATGGCGTGCAGGCAGATGGTTGTAACCCTTAATCTGCCGGTTACTGTGTTGATGATACAACACTATCAGTCAGTGTGTTTACATGTACAGCTTAATCAGACTAAGCTTATCCCACTGAGCATTTTTTAGTCTAAAAGAGGTCTAATAGACGTCTAGATGGAGCCTAGATGACTGGTCTAAAACAGGGTACCACAGGTCTGAAAATGAGTTTTTTAGACGTCTAAATTTAGACCAAGTTTAGACCAAGTCTAAATCTGGGCTATATCTATACTACACTGTATATTGCGGCTATCATAATTATTTTAGTTCAGTACTTGGAGATCATTTATGCAACTCAAATATGCTTTTTTAATTCAATAGTTATCAAATAATGAGTTAAAGTGAAACGTCTAAATTCTGTCTAAAAATATACAGAATCTAGACGGTTGAAATTAGGTGTAATAAAAACTAGACGTCTAATAGCCGTCTGTTGCTCAGTGGGATAATTTGCTTTTTTTCTTGCCGAATCCGACTTCTCTCCTTGTCCTCATATACATGCAGCTGAGAAAATCAAATTATTGACATGAACATGTCCTCCACCCCAAAACTAGGGGGTAAAATGGGTCTTATCTGTGGTGCTGTTTCTGGTTAACCCCATACAACCGTCAACAACAACAGCAGGTCCGTATCAGACATCAGAAGTGTCTACAACTGCTGCTGGGCATTTTTGAGCAAGAGGATGGAGCGTCGTACAGCGTTGTTTTTGTCGTACATGATGGACGCGCTACTTTTTCTGCAGATGAGATGCACGCTACTCCTCCTCTCTGGTGTTTTTGTTCCGGGGTTATAGGAGCGTGGCGGACGCACACATCCATTGTCCGATCATACTCCGACTACGCTGGTTACATGGTAGAGAAAATCGAATTCCAATCGCATTATCTTGGTGTCCTTAACTGTGTTCTCAAACTCCAATTGTAGTCAGACTAAGGTGTTTACATGCACTTCAGTTGTCCGGTCTTAATCAGAGCAAGGTCATAGTTTGGTTATCTTCAGTGTCATGTAAAAGTACTCAGTGCATTACTGAGCATTTGAAGACAGTCCCTAGATCAATTAACCATGTAAATGAGCGATCAATCATCAAGTTGATTGTTTTTTTTTTCATGTTAATGGCAGAAAAAAACACAAAAACCATGCTTTTCCTCATTGAAATACACCCTCCAGATAGTGCGCTACATGCTTACTTGCACTTCCTACCTGCCTGGCTACCATAGTAACCGTTGTTTTTACTTATTCATGAAACGCTAAAATCGGGCACAACTTTAGCCAGGGACAGGTCATCCAAAACAGCCACTGTCCCTGTTCCACTGTTTTTCTCTGTTTACATGCAAACGGAGATTTCCAAAATCTCCACTCTGGACGACATTTTCAAAAGCATCGTTTTCAGGGGCAAATTCTCTGTTTGCGTCTAAACGAAGGGTGCAAATGATGGTTAATGTCTCTGTTTTTAAAAATAACTGGGTACATATGAAAGGGGCCTGAGAGCACTTGGAGAATCCATTAACCTTGGTTGGATTTATGTGTTTCAAGTGGTACATCACTTGGGTCGTTGTCGTCTTTTACTTGGACACGGCATTGTAGTGTTTGCAGCAAACCTCTTCATTTTTCTGCTCAAAATAGTCCAATTTTTTGCTTTCCTCATGTTTTTTTTCCACTTCTAGGGAAGCCCTCTGACGCTGTATCACTCCCCTTGTAAAATGTCAAAATCATTCTGCATGTTGATAGTCACTTCATTGCTTCAACACACACTCACACCGACTGGATAAAGAAGGTATCCCTCCTGATCAGCAGAGGTTGATCTTAGCTGGAAAACAGCTGGAGGATGGACGCACGCTATCAGACCTTTTCTTAATAATGTTCGATTGATCAAAATTTTTATGTAATTCGATAATTGATTAATCATGCCTATTCCTAATGCAAACTATGTTTACATCACCAGTCTGGTTCTCTGTAACAAAGCAGACCGGAGCAGGAGGTGTTTGGTTTGTGATTGCAGGTTTTCACAGAAGACGTCAATCACCCTCTAATATTCAAGAACAGACCTTTTCTTTCTCTTGTTGGAGAACGTTTCAACCTACACTGGTGGGATTTGAGAAGATAATCACCACTTATTACATTCAAATTCTGCCCTGATGATTGGTGCATTAACCCCGAGCCTGAGGGAGTCTTTTCAGGTTGAAGATAACGTCAGATCTGCAATAAAAACCCGTCCCTGCAGGGCACGGCTGCAGGTTTTGACAAGGCATGATGTCTCCTTGACCAGAGGCCTTTATACAGTATATTAATGTTCATCTGGTGGTTAGAGTGATAATACAGCTGATTCATATTATTAAATGTATGCTGTTTAATGATGAAGTAAAGCTAGCTTTTCCTTTAATTAAGGAGTTTAATTGGTTGCCTGTATTTCAGTGTTTGTGCAATACATGCAAACAGCAACTGCAGCGTGCAAGTGCATCAGTACCTCAATTTCAAGTCATCTTATACTCGGATTACAGGTAGACACAAGCTTAAAATGCTGAGAAATATGTGGCTTTGGCCTCAGTTATTTTGGTTTAAATAACAAGAATCCATTTTTAAAAGATATTTTTCTACAACATTAGGCAAAAAAAATAGTGAAGTATTAGAATCTGCATCACAAAATACGAGAGGAGATGACAGATGTGTTATTTCTCTGTTTTTAAAAGTAAATTATATTCCCTGAAAATAAAATAAAAAGTTGAGAGCTTGTCAAAGCCTCAGGACTGGTTCCAGATAAAGCAGAAAATTACCAGAGTAGGTGGAATTTAATTTCCTATCCTCAAATTTTGGCAAAATTGAAACATTAATGATAATCTTCAAACATCTTCCACTTCTGGTGTAAATAAATCTGTCCTTTTTGCCTCGCTACAATATTTTATTCATTATTAAGGTCTCGAATGAAAAAGAAAAAGTGCCTTCAGACGGCAGAGACAGGGCGGTGTTACCTTGATGGCAGTGGAGGCGATCTGGATGTGGTGCAGCTTGCGCAGGGTGCTCTCCCGGTCGATGAAGTAGGAGGCCGCCAGCTGGTGCAGAGCTTCCAGAGTCACGGTGGAGGAGTTCCCCGAGTAATCGCTCACCTCTGCTTTCTTACTCAGTTTCCTCTTATCCACAAATATCGTTAAGGCCTCTTCTCCTGCAATAAGAAGAAAAAAAATAGATTTAAACATTTAAGAGGAGCTGTCAATACTCTTTGAAATGACGGGGGAAAAAGTATGTGTCAGACAGCAGCAAAAGCGGACTCCGAGTGCTCTATTTTTTGTGTGACCTTGGATTTTAGAGGTTTTCTCTGACCAAAAACAATACAAAGGGACGACCGAACAACAGATGGAGGCAGCAGTCAACGAGTTCAGCTCCCGCTATTCTGAAATAAAACAACTTTTTTTATTTTACTTTTTTTTTTCTAATGGAGTCCAGGGGCTTTGGAGAGAGAGCAAAAAAAAGGCCACTGTTTCATGTTTAAAAAAAAAAATAAAAAAAAGGCTTTTACCCCGACAAAAAGTTCCATCTTTGCAGCAATCCCTGTTTTTGTTATCCCGTCAGGTGGTTTTATAACAATTTGTGCTTGTCATTGGAAAAAAAAAAATAAAAGAACACCTTTCTTGGACGTTTTTTGATCAGCCCTAGAAGAACAGCCTGTCACACAAGAGCCGGTCTGAGAAATCTCACGACTTTTTTCCCTCTTGGTTGACCAAAAAAAGTGCCTCACAGGCCTCAAGTTAAATGAATGTTACAGAATAAAGTAAAAGGCTTCAGCTTCTCCTAATATGAGTCACACCTCCATTAAACCCGTCAGATATTAACTCCTATGTAAACATCTTTATCACTGATAATGAGGGAGAAACTTTAATATTGTAAATTTGGAACAATATTATTATTATTATTTTTTTTTTTATTCAAATATGATTGTGTTATTGATGCAGGTGCAACGCCAAAAAATGTGATGTAATTGGCATCAATCTAGATGCTAAATTATCTAAATAACTTCCTCATTCCTTGGATTCTGGCACCATGGATACCAGAAATCCAAGCGTGGTAGAAACGAACTATGTCGAGAAGATTGCTGCTGTTTATATGTGGTGGAAAGCCCACAACCATCAGAAGAGAGGAAAGTGCAGCCGTGGCGAGTTCAATTTTTTATTCCGGTTCTGATAATTTAAAGAAAAGGTATCATATACTTCATGGCACCGACACGATCAGTTTTCCTCAATTTTAGATACCAGTTAACAACCATCTGTTGTCATACGTCACCCGGCAACCTTCGCGCTGATTGGTTATCGCAACGCTAATTTTTGCTCAAGTTGAGACATTTTCAGCTCCCGCCCAACTCACATCATTTGTGCCACCAGAGTAGGACAAGCGTCTAATCGCGTCTTTGCATTGACTTAACATGTAATTCATTCGCGCAAATGATTTTACTTGCACTTGGTGTGCAAGTAAAACAACAAAGGAATTTCTGTTTAAGTGGGATGTGCTAATTTCTAACTCCCGACTGAAAGTTGGTTGATTTATTCCGTATAATTCAAATTATTTATCAGGTATTGAGGACCTCATCTCTCTAGTCGCAGGCGCTGGGCAACACACCGACAATGAAACCAGTCATGTCTTTTAGTTTTAGTTCAGCTTTAACTGAATCTTCATTCGATTTAACTGGACTACTGTCCTTGTCCAAGTTTACAAGCCTGAGGCAAGAACTGAAGTATTGACAGAAGCACGTCCACCTCCACTACGGTCCGTGGTGGCATCTCTCAGAAGACCATATTTTTTTATTTTTTGCTTTGTTTTGTCCCCGGTCGAGGGAAAACCTATGTGACCCTACTCTTCACACTCATGTTAAAATCAATGAAAACAGCAGCTGAGCGATATGGCATAAAAACAAATAGATTATAAGCAAAGCAGTTTGTCAAACATCTATGAGAAGATTCAGGCCACAGTAGACCCAGACCTGAAGGTCAGAGCACACAATCGAGAGAGGGGAAGGAGCAGTTAAGATTTAAACCAGTGATGATCGTCTTTACCCAATCAAGAGGGAGCAATTCTTTTTGGATTAACCAATCAGAGGCAACACCTGCATTAACACCTAATCAGATACACCCAGAGTCACATCCAGGTGTCTGCAGGAGAGGAGACAGAGATGAAGAAACAAATGATAGATTTTTTTTTTGTTGTTTGTTTTTTATTGACGCAAGAAGCACAAAAGACGTCCAGTGTAAGCCACGCCCCCTCCTGGTTCTCTGTCCAAGTATAGATCCATATACAGGTAATGGTGTATCCCCACAACATCAGTATAAAGCTCTACATTCAACATTCATCAGTTTTTTTTCTGAACCTGATATTACTGCCAACAAAGTTTGAGCGTTTACATCATTTTCAGGGGTATCATAGCAACACACGACCCATGATACTTTATTTTTTTTGTTTTAAATTATTCCCTTTAAGCTCTGAGCCGTAATTTCAAAACCCAACAGCTGCTCTACCGCAAGAGAAACACACACACACACACACACACACACACACACACACACACACACACACACACACACACACACACACACACCTGATTCCAGGTGGTCAAGAGAACAACAGCAGCAGCAGCAGCCGTACAGGTGTCTCTGAGGCATGGAGACACTTGACCACAATTAAGAAAAGCCACATCACCCTGTCTTAGCAGCCAGTGATCACAGCAATCAGCACTTCATAAGTGCAGCGGCTGAGGAGTTTCACACTGTGCTCAAGAGTCCCCGAGACACTGCACATCATATTTCTCATCATAATGCAGCGTTAATGCTTCAGGGCCATTTCTCTGCCCACTGCCTTTTCTTCCTCTGCAGCTGAAGGGCACCCTCTTAATAACACAATCTATTTATTAATTTCATTAGGTCCATATGTTTCTGCACACAGAGGCAATCCATTCAGAACCACAGAGGCATATCTCTGGCAGCTGCCCAAGACAAACTCCTCATTCTCCTCTCTTCATACCACTAAGTGCTGGCTGAGGGCCAGAGCGAGCGGCTGCATCAGCTCAGGCAGCTGGTACGGTTGCATTACATGCAGCCACTCACAATAGCGACCTTTTCTAAACCAGGAGTCAGATCCAAAGTAATTGACAAGTGTTGCTCTGTAAAAGCAAATCTGCTTCGCAATACTTGCCTGAACCCTCTCTGGCATCTTAAACAAGTTTCTTTTTTCTTTCTTCTTTCCTTCGCTTGGGGAACCATTAATGCTCGTCCATTCATCACGCCGTTGAATCCCAAAAAAAGAGGTTTAAGTGTGACCGGGAGTGGCAGGTTGACAGTACACAAGCTTTTACATGCATTGATTCATCTCTGAAAGGCGATTTCTGTGCTGCCAGTGGTATTTTATTTAGCTGTGATGTTTTATTCAGTTACTTACTGCGCCTGAGTTATTGTGTCATGTCCATCTGTTTTCCATATGCAACAGCCTGGAGAGCAAATTCTGAAAGCTTCTATCAGCACAAATTGTGTACTTAACTAAACTCTATATCATGTAAGAGAGGAGTAATTCCTTACAGCAGACTTCTCCTTATGCTACCGCGCACCATAATGATAATAAGCAGGAGTGCAAAAAACAATAGTGTCTGTGCGCAACATCGTTTTTAACTTGCTGTGGGATCTCGTGTGTTGTAGCTTTAATTTCTTTTGCAATAACTTTGCATAGTGTTAGTTTAGGCAGTCCAAACCGTGAGGCATCAACTCCCAGAGACATTTGCTGCAATGTAGTTGTACTCCAAAGTAGGAATTTCCGAGCTTCAAGTCAAAAAATTATCTGGAACACCCTTGTGAAGTCAGATTTCCAACTCAGAAAGTCGGACGATCCTCAACAACCCTGACTTGATGACAATGTCATAATCCAAGATGGCAGCGCAGTGCATCAGCAGTAAAGAGTAACAGTTAAAGCTCTCCTGATGTATTATTTATTAGCACTTCTGTTTTGTTGTTGTGATATTAAATTAGTGGTATATGTTGTACTGCCCAACGTTTAACTGTGAACACGGTGCTACGGTGTTTGTAAGTTATGTGTTGTTTACAACTGGTATAGCTAACAACAACTAACGACAGCTGACAATGGCTAACGATGGCTAACAACCGCTAACAACGGCTAACAGTAGGCGTTAGCGTTTACTGGAACCCCGTCAACAAAGTCATTCCCAGCTCCGACATCCTACTTCTGAGGTAACTGGAATGCAGCAATAGTATACGTAGACTAGATACCTCATAGACTGACACCACCTATTGGAGCTGATATATCAGCATGGCCAACCATCTTGAATGGGTCCCCTATGCGAAAGACATGTATGTCCAACAATATTAATTATAACTTCATGAATTTTTACTCGATTTTCACACCATTTTTTTTGTTTTTACAAGCGGCAGGGATGTAGCTCTGATACGGGACACTGTCAAATATTGGAAAAAATCAAATTATTCTATTTTTTAACCTTAAATGTGAAGGAAAATCCCATGTGATCTGGTTTCAATACTGCACCAATTTTTTAAACCATAGGGTGCACGAAATACGGGCATAGTTCTCGTTCTCTGTTGGCTCCTAGCGTGCGGAGGCCCATTCAGTGTGGCAGCAACGTTGGATTACGCTCCTGCATGGAATGTCTATGCTTACACCAACCCATATGATTCCCTTCTATGCATGTAATTTGCAAACATCAGAACTGGGCCTCCTATTTAAATCACCTCCTCCTTTGCAACCTGTCACTATTCTCACTCTGCCTCTAAATGCAGTGTCTGATATTACCGGTGCAATATGCATTGATCCTGATGCTCGCTCTGTTTTGTACCTGCAGGTCTTTGCTGCTGCTCTCTTTTCACCTCAGGACTTTGCTTGGCATTGAGCTCCCAGAACAGAGCCATTGAACTCAGTAAAACTTGATGCCCGCAAGTTCAACGTTTATTTAAAATGACTCTAACTTAATTGTGGCGTAGATTTAGCATAGCATCATAGGAAATTGGGGGATTCAATTTCAACCAAGGCCGTCAAAACAAACAAAAAACTTCAGACGTTTTGAAAGATTTCTCTCTTATTATCTTAATTCATATAGTCAAAAAATCTGCAAACAATATCAACCATTTCATCCAGCAAACATTTAAAAATAAAAAGCCTGGGATCTGAAATCTGCTTTTTTTCACAGATGACTTTAATTGAAGGCTGTTCTTTTTTTTGTTGTTGAAAATTGGACACCTGCTGAGTCTGTCTGCCAGGTTATATATGAAAAATTTTGGGCCGTACAGCTTCACAAACAAACACCAGCTTTTGGAGTCCATTTGCCAATGTTTGGTTTGAATACTAACTTCGTGTTAGTAGTAAAAGGGGTTGCTTACCTCCCAGTGTAGCCGACAGCAGGAAGTGGGTCCCATACTTCCTGATCAGGTTGTCAGTGATCATCTGGGTGGTGGGCCGGCGGCCCAGGAGTCGAATGTTCCTGATGAACTCAGGGGTCAGAGGTAACGGAGACGCCAAGAAATCCCTCCTCTCTACTGCCAGATTGTTCACCTTCCATCTCCCAAACTCCCTGTAGAAACCAGAGGAGAAAACGTTAAACACATGTCGAAGATTCAGGACTCTTGATGAAGAGTTTGTGATTATTTCCTAATTTCACAGCTTCAGTAAGCACCAGTAAGTCCTTTAAGTCAAGACGGACGGAGGCAGTAGAGGTAATGCACAGAATGTAGAGAGAGGCTTAAAAGGAAGAAGTTAAATAAGTAAATACAAACATTATCACCCACAGCAATGACAATAAGTTCAGCTATCACCCAGAGTCTCTCTAGCCTCGCCATCATCATCACCTAAACACGGTCTGAAACTTCTTCAAGTGTGGAAAAGGACTCTGCAAATCAGATGTAACTAGGTAACCCATCCCACCTCTGGGAAATACAGAGGAGAAGAGTCTCGCTCGAGTGCGTAGGTGTTCCTCCCAAAAAACTAATTCTTTGTTTTTTTACCGAAGGATAGAGAGAGAGACTCTGCAGACTGAGTGGAGTTGGTTAATTTGTTCCAATACCTGAGGAAAAAGACAGGAGAAGAGTCTGGCCTGTGGCCTAGGGCCCTGTTCTGATGAGTGTAACAGGTGTCTTTTTATTGACAGAGCATGAGAGAGTGCAGACGAGAGGGATGTAGACCTCGCTCTTTTCTAAGTGACTGACAGGGTTTCAAATCTGATGCAAACTGCAAATGAAAGCCAGAATGAGCTGTTTTGGTTGGTAAACACCAATCAAACTGTTGCATTCCAGATCATCTGTTGAGGATTTGACTTGTTTGCCAGTAAGGAGTTGCAGAAATCGATGTGTGATATTACAAGAGCCTGTCCAAGGAGCTTTGTTTCTGATGTTAAAGAAGACAAATCTGCAGGACTCAGTATTACTGCCACATGAACCATTATGGTCATCAATCATGACACCCAGATTCTGCAGAGACCTAATGGGCGTGAGTTTGCATTTTGATCTGTGGTTGTAAGGAGGGCCTGACTGGGATCTCAAGAAGCTCAGTTTTGGACTGTTTGAACTGTAGGTGGTGCTAAAATGACTGAGCTGTGATGAAATCTGGGTTTACACAGCTGTGTCATCTGGTGGGAATGACAGGAAGAGCTGGGTATCATCGGCATAGCAGCGATACGAGAGCGGGTAATGATTTCTGCTGCAGTGTCCTTTGTTCTATTTATCTATTCATTTATTGGTGCTATTGTGGAAACAGTTAAGAATGTCCAAGACAAATTTCCACATAGAATATTGTATCATATTGTATTATGATTGCCTCAAGTGAGATGGTATATAGAGAAAAGGACCAAGAACTGACCCTTGAGGTACCCCCATTAACAAGTAATGTCAATCGGACTTCTTCGCCCCTCCATGGTACTCTAAATGATCTCCCTGTGAGGTGGGACACAAACTAAGTTCAGTGAGTGTGTCAGAGGTATCCCACAAAAATGAAACCCAGGACTGATCAGCTCTATCCAATCACAGCAACTCCATTACCGACAGTAGAGCGGTTTCGGTAGAGTGGCCTCGACTAAAGCCAGACTACAGATCAAATAGGTCATTTCTGTGCATGATCTCAGAAACCTGGATGAAGATGAGTCAAAGGAAAAGGAAGAAGATGTGAAATTCAATTTTTTCACTGCAGTGTTGAAGCACTTTCTGATCTGAATCCATAACCTTTGATTTAGTTTACTGTCCCACTGAAATGTTGAAATTTTATTCACCCACCACATGCCTACACTCTCTACGGGTGACAACACGCGCTAACATCGTAAAACGCAGAAGTCAGGTAAAGTAAAATGAGACGAAAAGAAAAAGAATTATAACTTGAACAAAGTTTATGGAGCCCCGAGATAGTAGGAGGAGGAGAAGGTTGGCCTGCAAATCACCTGCTCTGGCTCTCGTACAGCAATATCAGTTTGCCTAACCTTGGCTTTCTAAGAGGAATAAATGGCTCAAAGGGAGAGACACAGCGAAAGAGAAATGGAGAGAAGAGAATTTAATTTGTCAGGGATCCTGCCATGCCATGCCCACACAGACGGCACGTATTTGTATGTGAACTGATCGAAAATCCATCTTTCGAAGCCGCGATCGTCACGTGGGATAGATACGTGCCTATATGAGGGAGCTGACAGATGTTTTCCCTAATAGCCCCATCATGAGTGAGATATACATCACAATGAATGAAGCGCATGGTGGAACAAGCTGAAGCCTCATTGCTCCGACAGAAAATGGTGAAAGCAGCACGAATAAAAGACTCTCTCTCTTCTCTTTCTACCTCGCTCACTTTTACCACTAATATGTCTGACCTCGACTATCACTCTCCGTGTTTATAGGAATCCCTAATGCATCAGGATCATAACACATTTGGACATGTTCATATTTGATTGCATCTGACAGCTTTACAATGATTACACTGTGCCGGTTCGGGCAGCGGGAGGAGGAGAGCAGAATTTTAATAAAGCTTTGAATACTGTAAAGGAAGGACTTTCTTCCCGCTATCTCCCCCTTACAGCTTCAAATCCACCGTGGCTCTCCACTTTCATGCGGAAATGAAAATATTTATTGTAAGAGGGAAAAATAGAAATGTCAAAGCCAGCTCAGGGAAGCTGGACTAGAGCGAAACTTAAGGAACCAGAGGATACGGGTGTTCAATCAACAAAGACCAACCTCACACCCCGGGAGCTTTTCTTTCTAGTCACTCTTTGAGCAAATTTGCCCAAAGCACGGCTCTTTAAACTGATATTGCATTCAGCAGAGCTTTGACTCGTGTGGAAAGTTCTACCGCAAGTAAAAGTTCAAGGTGTTTAGCGGAAGATTGCCATGAGCGGAGTGTCCTTCACAAATGCTTTAGCGTTCTGTGTGACCCGCAGCTTCACACTCAGCTTCACAGAGACGGCGCGGCGTGAATTAAAAGTAGACTTTCATAGGCTGTTTGTCTGACATTTCGGGAAGAGGTGCACATTTTTTGGGGAATACTTTGCTTTGTGAAGAGACGTGAGCGCGGCATCCGTCTTCTGAATCGCGCCACAAAGTCAAAAAAGTCATCTTGGAGGGCTGCGCTGAATAACTCTTTTAAAATCCACACGAACGGCGCACTGTCACTCCTGATGCATCCTCGAAGCAAGATTCACACCAAAACCTGAAACCTGCCACCACATTTCTTTTCGGCTCCTTGTGGAGCATTTTCAGGAGCAGAAACTTGAATCAAACATGAGAAACGGATCAGTCGAGTCAGTTGAGAGCAAAAAGTGATGGATTTTACGATTTTTATTCACCTGAAGCACACAGGCTGTAAATTTGTGGAAAACTCAAACAAACAAAACAATAGTGCGCAATTTATACTCTCATAAAACAATCACAAACATTACATCTGGTGAAAAAATCATATATAATAATTAAGGAACAGAATCAGTTGGAGTGTCATGTCTCAAACTAGAGTATGTTCTGTTTAGTCTCAGTTTTGATCACCATAAGATAAAGATATAAAAAAAGATGAATCGTCTTTTTGGCACAAATATCCAAGTACAGTTGAATAAAGCCTAGTAATATTGCTTCTTTAATAAACTGTACGTAAATCTCCAATTGCTTTTTGTAGTAGAGATGAGTCCAAATAATCTCACACTAATTGGTTACACATGAAAAATAATGTTTAATCTTATGCTGATCAAAGTACCGAACAGTAGGTGGGAGAAAACAAACAAACAAACAAACAAAAAAAACCTTGAACTAACCTTAAACTTCTTGGGATCTCACTTTTAGACAAGTAATCTTTGAATTTTCTGTCTTTCAAATCCCAAACAGGTAAATTTTTTGAAAGTACATGTGTAAAATCCCATTATTTTGCATTTCAAAGCCCATTTTATCATTGCAAGATGATTTTTTGGAGTTATAAATCAAATAAATGCATTAAAATGTTTTTTATGACCTTGACTTTTTAGCTTAACTGTTCAAATACACGCTGGAGTACATCACTGGTGTGTTATTGCAGTACGAAACGATACGCTTTATTGTCCCCTTGAGGAAATTTGTCTTGGACTCTAAAAGCCGCACGAATACACTTGCCAACTGATGACACAAACTACTAGACCTAACAAAGACACAGTCACACAAACCCACACACATTGCACATACACACATTGCACAAGAATCCCACCAAAATGGTTTAAAGAAACACACCGACAATAGACAACAAACAAAGACACAGCAATGTGAGACGAGGCAAACAAGACCAAAACGAAAATCATCACTGAGTAAAAAGAGAGCTTCACAGTACTTATTGTACTATTTTTGGGATAGGATAATATTTAACACATCAAGAAATATGCAACAGTATGTGCACAAAATGTCCAGTTGGTGTCACTATATTAAAATGCAGTTAGAGATAATTTTAATATATGAATGGTATTCAAACTTTTCAGGAGTTCTTGTTTCATCACTCTGAGGTACAAGATGGGAGCAACAACTAGACGCTGCAGTTCCCCCGAACAGACATAAAACTCTAGAATCACTCTTATTATAGCACCTGTATGCATGTTACTAATAACATGGTAACAGAAGATCCCAACAGCAACATTAAAAACTTGTGAAGCTGTCATGACTGCCCTTTTGTGTCTCTCTTTCCTGCCAACAGGAAACTCCACATGTCCATAAATGCAAGCTTGCAAGCACACACACACATAAAATGATCAGGACGTGCTCGCTTACAGGCCCACATTCTGCGAGCTGCAAGATTTTCACTTTAGCACCTCCTTAAGAAAAAAAAAAATCAGCTAATTTGGATTACAGGGTTTTCATTCGCCCTGAGCGGGTCGGGCTTCTGACCGCTGCTAACCTGCTGTCGTAATAAATTGGATGAAAGAACCAACGGCCAAACTCTGTATGACTGAGGAAGCACAAGATCAAAAATGCAGGGTCAGAACAGCCTGCTGTAGAGTAGAGAAAGTCTGCTGTGGAGAAATGTGGGAATTTAGATCTGAAGTTCCACATCTGTGATTCTGCTCTGAGTTTAGAGTCTTTAAATATGTGAACAACATGATGGTATTTTGCAATGTGCAAACCAGACAGACCAAAACAACAGAAAGACCAGAATTTTTGCAACATCCAAAGTCTTTAAAAGGTTTAGAAAAATGCATGAAAAGGACAGGATCAAGACTCAGGACTCTATGGTGATGATATTGGGTTCCCAGGTGGTACTGCATTGTAAACAGAGACAGCTCTGTAGTGAAAATCACCGCATGAATGCAAATTAAAGAAGCTCCGTGCAAAGAGGAAACCAGATACATACATGATCCAGATATGCTGGAAACTTCTGTGAGCCTGGTCCCACATACAGAAAAGCAAGCCCAAAAAAGCTGCGACTCACGAGTTTTACAAGTGACTTATGAGAAAAACAAGCCTAAAGTTTTTTATAATAAGTGAATTTGGCGACTATAAGACGTCTACGAATATTTTGATGATGTTTAAACTCGTCTCTGTTCAGGAATGCAGATCGATGATGTGCGCATGTGCATCCAAACGGAAATAAAACAACAGCTAGGTTTTCAAAATAAAAGCAACACACTTGTATAGCATGTTGATGATTTGATTGACGGACCTCTCGAAGGGCCGGGCAGGGACATCTAAAGGACCGGATGTGGCCCTTGGGACATAAAATGCACATGTCTGGTCTAAGGGGTCAAAGCAGTCTGGGTCCTTTATATACGGAGTCCTTTGCAGAATGATACCCCTGAGAAGTGACACAGTTTAGGACACAACCTCAGAAACAGAACAAACTGAGAGTGTCCACTGCACAAGAATAATAATTTTAATGTTTTTCCTGGCTTTTATTCTTTTATTCATTTATTTATTGCCTTTTTTGATTTTAGTTCAATTTAAATTAGTCTGACTTTGTTTATTTTATTTTGATTATCTATTTTTGGTTAATTTTTAATAAAATATGTGATACCAGCTGGGCCACCCCAGTCAGGAAGTCTAGATACGCCCCTGTTTGTTATAACACACCTTATCAGTATGTCATGATTTTCTTCAGATGGACTTAAATAGTTATAATAAAAATGTTCTGAATAGTTTGAGTTATTCTCTAAGTTTTTGAGGACAATAACAGATTATTTGTGATTTAACGAGTGTCCTAAATATCCTTTTTTTTTCTGCTGTTTCCATGGAGAAACTTTTCCATCAAATCTGGCACACCCACACAAATACTGGCGAGTGAATCACTTTACAATTAGTGACAAGTACAATGAGCTTTTGTTACAATGCAGTGTAAATATTCAATGTTGGAAAGAAATAAGTAAAAAGTTTGGGGCGTTCAAGGACGTGAATCATGTTCGTTTTTCTCCTCCCAACATGTAGATGTCCGTAGCATTCGATGCAAAGCAGAGGCGTGAAAATAAAAAATTAATACGAAGCTGCAAAATTCATGTGTGGCTGCAAAATACCGTCAGCTCTCTATAATGCATTCAGAGGCACTTTGATTCACTTCTTCTTTTCAGAATTCAGTGAAGCCGACAGACAAAGAAGGGGAAGGACGCGACCTCTAAGAAATTGAGAAGAGGCGCCGTTAAAAGAGACTCGATAATAATGCTAGCTGCACATCCTTTTCCTCCACCTCAGTCAGGAGGATGCAACTTCACCTTCGCATGAAGTGTGCAGCTTTTGTCTGATCCAAAACAAGTGTACACTCACTGTGTTTATCTTGTTTAAAGGCGGTGATATTTCCATCTCTAAATAAAGCTTATTAAAAGATCAGCGGGGCAGTTCTACCTTTTCAGCTGGAGCCAGAGAAAACTAGTCACAAGTATAAAAAAGCAGCGTATGTTCGATATGTGTGGGCTGGTAATAGTTTATGATCATTATGTAGAGAGATGTATGAAGCACAGATAAAACCCACCTACAGAGATCTAACCTATTTCAGCGTCTTTAACTGGGACTAATTAAAGCCACTTGAAAAGCGAAGACGGCGTTTGAAGAGCGCGTCGATCTTTGATGTTTTAAAGCAGTCTGATAGAAACGGCCAGCTGAGGGAGTGTGTTTATTTCTGAGAGCGCTTTTCCTTTCCATCACAATCTGCATGGTAATGAATGTATAAAGAGACAGTTATGAAGTCACACACAGATATCGCAGCTGTAATTATAATAGATCGGTTGTGATTACTTTGAAATTTCTCAGGGAAGGCTACAGGAGTTGGTTGCCAATTCTCTCTTTTTTTTTTTTTTTTGCAGTCCGCCTGGCACTGCCCCCAATTTACTCACATAATCATGCTTATATAAGAGGAAAAGCAGGGGAAATATTTCCTCAGAGAGCCTTCTGCTTCTCTGCACAGCGCTGTGTGTTTTAAAGGTTATTTGGAAAGCCGCATCCTGATGCTTTTTGGAAAGAAATGGAACAAAACATTTTTCTTTGTGAGCGTTAAAACCACTTTAGCGAGTGCTGCTGAAAAGCATGACTGTCATTTTCCTCTCATAAATACATTTTCAGGTAGTATATACATATTTCACATTTCAAAACTATCTGCACAGACACCTAAGAAATTACTTTTTCATTTTCAGTCTGTTACGCAACATTTTTAAGTTTGTATTCCACTTTATCAAGGGCGCAGTGATGGCGAACCCTCCAAAGTAAAGGTAGTTTTTGTAAAATAATGATGATTTTGTTGACACTGTGTATCTTCTCACACAAGACACAACCAATCAAGCTTTGGCTTCCCTCAGATTCATAATTCATCTTTATTTGAGAGTGTGAATGTTCGCCTGATGAGTAACCTGAAAAGAAACAAGCTTTAATGTCGTTTTTGTGTTTAACTGTTCCTCAAAATGCTGCAGTGAGCTTGTTAGCAATTAACCACTTTACCTTCATCTATCCTTTGTTTAAAGACGCAAGGCAAGGACACTACTACGAACTCATGGTGTTGCTGTATGCCTATTTTCAGCACAATTCTGATCATTTCATTTCTTGAAAAAACTTTTTTTTGTTGTTGTTTTGTAACCTTTATTTATTCTCGACAGACATTAAGGTTACCCTCAAAGTCAATATCATCAAGTTCACAAGCCATTAAAATATTGACAGTGGTTGCAATCATTTGTAAGTGATTACATGACAGAAACATGATTTTGCAAGATGGCAGCCTGTGTAAAGAGGACCTGCTCCTCTGTTAATATAAAAGGCTAATTTTGTCACAGTAGGTTCTTGTAAGTTTAGTTTGTTTGTAGTTTGTAAGTAACTCTTTCTTTAGTAGTGTTTTTTTCCCTTGTGTTCATTATTTTCATGTTCCTGTTGTTCTTGTTTTTCATTGCTTGGTCTCTTTGTTCAGTTTTCAGTGTTTACTGTGTTATTTTGTAGTAGTCTAGTTTAATTTCCTCATTTCCCCGTCTTTGTTTATGACTCTTGAGTCTCTTGCTCTTGTCTTCCTCTCCTTCTAAGTTGGTTAATTCTGCCACAGAGTCGAGTTTCAACAAACAAAACATAAACTTACAAAGTTTAACCAAAATCCAAATCTAAGGAAACTGCAAAACCAAAAACACCAGAAACATGAAAAAAAAACAAGGACAATAAACCAACCAAGAAGGAGGAGAAGATAGGGACTTTATACGAACAGGTGAGACAAACAAGACACAGGTGAGACTCGTGGTGTGAGTAATCAACAAAGGAGGGACAACGGAGGAGGTCAAACAAAAACAGGAAACAAGAACTAAGACGGAAAACACGGAAAACTGAACCAAGAAACCAAACTGTGCAAAACAAGAACAACAGGAACATAAAAATAATGAACACAGGGAAGCAGAAAAACACAGAAAATCAAACGAAATTACAAAACCAAGAAACAAACTAAACTAACCAGAACCTATCATGACAAAAACATTCAGATGTGTTCCTCATTACTACTTTAGATTGTGTTACTTCCACAAAAAATGTGACACTGAGAGTCGACTCTCTTGTATTATAGTGGGAATAAAGAAGAGAAGACCAAACTCATTTCCCTGCACTGTTGTTAAATGGAATTTACGATTAACTTCATCATAACTGTGTTTTTCTTTTTATAGATTTATTGCTCTTAACTTAATAAGAACCAAAGTTAGACGCCTTCAAGCACTTTTATGTACAACTGGGGAAACAAATTAACCTGTCTTAGTTTAATTTCTTGAAAATTTCTTGAATTAAAAAAGATAATTATATTGTTCTCACACTTTTTTATTATCAAAAAAGTATTTCTAAACGAGGAGAATTCAATTGAAAAACATTCAACTATTCAACTGTACGGTAGAAGATAAGAGCCACTGGGAGAAAAAGAAAAAAAGTTCCCATATAATTTTTCTTTTTCTGAGGAAAATGGTCAGAATTGTGACCTTAATCTCAGAATTCTGACTTTGATCTCAGAATTCTGACTCTTTCTCAGAATTCCAACCTAAATCTCAGAATTCTGACCTAAATCTCAGAATTCCCACCTTAATCTCAGAATTCTGATCTTAATCTCAGGATTCTGACCTAAATCTCAGACTTTTTCTCAGAATTCTGTTTTTTTTTATCTCAGAAATTCGACTTTTTCTCAAAATTTTGACCTCAATCTCAGAATTATGACTTTTTCTTAGAATTTTGACTCTTTCTCAGAACTTCAAATGTAATCTCAGATTTCAGACCCTAATCCCAGAATTCTGGTTTTAATCTCAGAATTCTGACTCTTTCTCAGAATTTCACCTTTAACATCAGAATTCTGACCTCAATCTCAGAATTTCAACTTTTTCCTAAATTTTGTACCTAAATCTCAGAATCCAGATTTTTCTTAGAATTCTGACTTTAATCTCAGATTTCCATCTCTTTCTAAGAATTCTAACCTTGAACACAGAATTGTGACCCTAATCTCAGAATAATTATTCAAAAACTTATATTGGACCTTTTATTTTTTTGTTTTCCAGTTGCCCTCATCCTCTTCCGTACAACTGTCTTTCACTCTTATAGTGGAAAATGAAGTGAAGGGATCTTACAAAGAAAACAGAAAGTAAAGGAAATGTTTATTTCAGACTCACTTAACATGATTTTGTGCACAAACATTGAGAAAAATTGGGCACAAACGGGTTTTAACCCCAATGTTCCCCTGTAAAAACCAGTATGACATGAATACGAGTATTTTCATTCTAGGAGAAGGAATAAACAGTCAGTAAAGCGTGTCAGCTGCGTGTCTGATCCGTCAAACGTTGCACTTTCCCCCCCTCCATAATAAAAGTTTGACTGCTGTAATCAGAACGGGGTTGGGCAACCTTGGCGGCTGATGATAGATGGAGGGAGTGTGGCCTTTTGAAAGGGTATATATCACATTAAAGCAGGAGTAATGAGGAAAGCTCCAACACCCAGATGTTTGAATGATACGGAGCGTGAATCCGTCTCCAATTCAAACCGATGCACACAAAGTTAAGAGCGAAACATTCGGAGCGCGTATCGATTTCAATTTCAGTCACAAAACAAGAAAACAGGCATTTTTTTTCACACAGCGTTAAGCAGAAACTGGAGGCAGAGTGTGTAAAATAAACATAATGATGTTAAATGGATATGTTGTATCCCGATGACCTTTTTGCTGACACTGTAGTATTCAGACAAAGGCTTTGACTAATCTCTGGCTCAGATACATCTAGTGTAGCTATTAATCTTCAGCTCATTTCATGCCATACAAATAAATGACCTCTTCAAATGGGACACCATGTCTCTTGAGTTCCACTTTGCAGCGTGAAAGCACTAGTTCAAAGCTGCAGCACGTTCAGTGGAAGAAAAAAAAAAGAGAGGAATACACAGCCAGAGAGGGAGGGAGGGAGGGAGAGGAGGAGCAGGTACAGAAAGAGTATTCGCAAATCCCCGCTGTCGTTCGTTTCCTCAGTTATCGTTGACTGTGATAAGCTAGCCCGGCCTTATCTTAAACCCCTACAGGCCAAATGGTTCATCCTGCGGGGAGAGGAGGAAATGAAATGGGTTTCACCATAGAGTTGATTTTAGGGAGCCGCAATCCTCCCAACAAGCAGCTAAGTTATTATTATTATCAATTTCATTGCTCCTGTTTGCAAAAGCCACATCGGTTCAGCACATCAGCTCGACTCTTCGGATGCTATCGCGGCAAAGTTTTCAAAGTTGTTTGTGTTTTCTCTGAATTTAAAGAGGGCCGCTTCAGACAACATAGACAGTCATAGAGTGGATCAAATAATCCTCTGTAACTTTGAAGTGTTTTTATGTATGCTGCTCTGAAAGGTGTACATCAACAGAGAGAGGCAAACACGTCACTTCTAACCTGGTTTATTTAAATACGGTTTAAAAATAGGAACCAGTTTGACTCTGGATTGAAATAAGTCTGTTCATTGACTCTTATGCCTCAGCCAGTTTCACTTCAATTGAGTCATGACAGAGAAAACATGTGTATCAGTCCAACTTTGAGGGTTTTGGCACATGGCGAAAAAAACAGTTTGTCTAAATCAGATTATGAACTTCCACCCCAATGCAAATCAGAATAATGCATATTAGTTGTACATGAGTAAACCTGCAATGTATGACAGTTGTGGTGTTTTTGTGACATTGTCCACATTTGGTTCAGTCTGTTTAGGTTTCACACTGTCATTATTGCAAACGGACTAAAAGAATTTACATTACAAACCTACGTGTTATCGTCATCAACTACGTGCTTTGGGTGTCTCTGTAGTTAACATTGATTGGTCATTTGGCCGGTGGGCGTCTGACGTCAACACGTTAAATAACGCAGGTCTCAAACATGGATGAAATCGTCATTGTACTATTTTTGATTTTCTACGTCCAACAGCGACAATTTGAAGAGCTGTACGTGAGGCTGGTCCAAGGAAGTCTGTTGAATTTGATCAACTTAATCAACATCTACAGGAAAGTAAAAGAAAGTATGTAATCCTGCGAGTCAAGGTAAACTACCTTGGCAGCTGTCATGGGGCAGACTGACGGAAATGTGGCGGCCAGTATGTGCCTACAGACTCTCCGACCACCACCACACAACACTCACAATCATACACCAGTGGAGGACTCACACAGGGAGCGAGGTGGGTTAAGTGTCTTGCCCAAGGACACAACGGACAGACTCGGGATAGGGGGGAATTGAACATTACAACATCACAGTTATTGGACATGATAACGGATACTTCTACTCCTTGTGTCATATCCTTTTTTTGGGTGCAAAGAACCTTTCAAAATAAGGCTTTCACACTGGGCATGAACCAGACTGTGGTTCAGTTTAGTCTGGACCGAGACCACCTCTTTTGGTGGGACCAAGGTCCGGCTGTTTGGTCTGGACCAAAGTCCTGGGGAGGTTTTAGTTTGGTTTGGACTAAACAGAAAAGTCTGGATCAAACGGTGTAGATGTGAAAGCCCCATTACTTACTAACAAAAATAGAAAAATAGGATCCAACTCAGAGCAATATTAAAGACTCAATCAGTTGTTACCAACCCATTAGGCTTCTGACTCTTAAAGAGTCTATTAAGTTGAGCTCATTTGTCATAAATCTGATTTCTGTCTTGTTAGAATGACCCCTCCTCTTCTGAGACGATAGAGTATGAATATTTTGGGGGGGATGCAGAGGTCAAACTTTCCAATTTCTCTGAAAAAGTTAGGTAAAGCACATGAATACAAACTTTGGGTGCAGAACTCCTCTTCTTCCCTTCGTCATTAATCATCTCACAACCTCCAGATTTATCCTGTGACCCTTTGGAGGAGGTCCAACCTTAAAATTGGTCCCAACAATCCCCAGAGTGGATCTTATCTCACACATATAAAGTACTTACAATGAGCAGCTACTGTTTTTGTGTACCAATCGTTTGTTTCTATAAATGATGCAGCAGATACACGAACATTTCATCCGATTTGGTGAAATGTCTGATTGTCTGTATTTTGTCGTTTGTTGGCGTCTAACCCTGCGGATGAATCACCGCGATCATTTTTAATTGGTATGATAAAGTTTTGAGATCAATGTATTTTGCAATGCAGTATTACCCCATAAAGATAATCACATGCATTATCCAAATGCATGTTTAGAATACAGCCAAATCCATGTCAACAGTCCTGCCTTCACCCTGGTGATTGTGGCAGCTCTCCCTTGGCAGTGCTTCTCGTGGACAGGTGGCTGCGGCGGAAGGCCCACATTGTGTTTGCATTGGAAGCGATGGGTTCGCTCTCCAGTGATCCGCCAAAATACACTCACACTGACATCCACGAAAAAACAAACCCTCCATGATTCTTTTCAAATTCAATCAGCGAGAGGAGACAAACAGAGAGGAGGGACAGCTTGATGTGGAATTATTACTCCACGGTTGCTGAGGAAACTTAGAGCACCGCTCCTGGTGATCCATCTTCTTCTGTAATGGAGCTTTTATTAAGATTTAAGAGAGATTCAGACTACCAATGAGGAGGGCCAGACCAGGCAGTAACACAGTCACTTTCAACCACCTCTGTCCTTTTTTTTCTTCTCTACAATAGACAAACAACCTCTCCGCTAAAGAAGAGGACTGTAAACAGATCAACACAGACTCGATTGTGGGATCTGAGTGACAGCCGCCCTCATAAAAAGAGAGCACAGCCAAGAATATAAGCTATTTCATGACTCTAAATTTACCAAAACAACCATCTGTGCTCCAACACTTGTATCAAAAATATGACATTACTTCTCTGATCCTGAGCTCCCTCTTTGTGTTGGTTTTGGTGCCCTATGGTGACTCTGTTCAGAGAAAACCTAAAAACAGTTGATAGGAATCATTTCACAGTAGAGGTTGGCAAATCCAAATCTTAGAGTATTTGATGCAACGTAATGGGAAACGTGGCGATGGATTACGATTTAAAAATGTTCAAAAATCGATTATTTCTCATGATAGTGGAATTACAGAAACAACAGGGAGTTGGCTGGAGTTGAAAAAGAAGCACGGGACGGACAGTGTTTGCAAACATAGCGCAGCGAACTCGCTGAGAGTGAGGTTCAAGCTTGACTTTAAAATCCAGTGTTTGAAGGATTTAATTCATTGTATTCTCATTCTATTCATCTTTAACTCTTTGAGATTTAAAGCTGCTTTTGGTTGTGGATAGCATAATGTTTGATTGTTGTGGGATGCTATTCTGCTCATTGAATACTTTATTATTACTGAGGTTAAGTTATTATGACTACTTCATAATGGTTCAGATTAAAGCTGAGCAAGCTAATAGATACAGTACTTAATGTAATAAGAGGTGGTTTTTGTTGTAAACAAAGTGTTGGATCATTTTGTCTTATAAAAATAAAACAATAGAGAGACTATAATCATAATAATCGTTAAATAATTAAATTGTTGCATCCTAAATCATAATCAAATTAAATCGTGAGGTGCCTAAGATGGCACGTCCCTATTTCACAGCATTAGTAGCATCTCCAGAGCATCATTTTTTCTCCAAAAGTCACAACTTTAGTTACAAAAGTTAGACTTTTTATTTATTATTATCATTTATTCTTGATTTAAGAGGATAGAAATAGGTCATAAAGATAGCATCCCTTTCTCCAGGTATGATTAACAGTCTAGAGTTAGATATGATGGTCGTGATTGTCGACTCCAGTTAATTTGGTCAAAACTTTTTGCAGCAGTAAACTGTCTGTCTTTGGCACTCAGGCTCCAGGAGTAAAATCATTTGCGTGAATGATTAGACGCTCGTACTACTCTGGCGGCGAATGACGCGAACTGGGCGGAAGCTGAAAATCTCTCAACTTGAGCGGATATTCACGTCATGATAACTAATCAGCATAAAGGTTACCAGGTAAGGTATGAAAAGGGACGGTTGTTCACTGGTCTCTAAAATGGAGGACAAACTGATAATGTCAGTGTGTGGGTGCCCCGAATTATGTGATACCTTTTCCTTCAATTAAAAAGGAGCTCGCCTGGAGGCAAGTGAGTGAGGAGGTCGGATTACCTGGTAAACTGTAGAAAAACCTTTGTCTATTACTTGATCCCGCGGGTTGAATTGGCAGGGATTACCCTTAAAATTACCATTGATGCGCAAATAAAGTGAGTAAATACTGTTCACTCATGCGTCTAGATTCACTCGAATTACGTGTGTAGATGATTTTGCTCATGCTTGGTGTAAGCGCCCATCACAGACCGACTTTCTGTACAGAAACTGAGGAGCGATGAGACAATACTCGAAACTTTAGAGAATTCGAGGAGGTGGTGCAGCTGAAAGTTTGAGTGCTGGCTTAGCAGAGTCTGCTCACATGTTGTAGCTTAAATAGACCAACTAATCAGGAGGATACGTTCTCTGATTGAGTTGCCTGCCTGAACTAGCTCCCAATTGTCACAAATCAACTAATTTAAACCAGTATATGATCAAAAATGACTGATGTGTGCGCCTTATTGGCATCTGCACTGATTATATCTATTAATTTGCGAGTTTGAAATTATATAAATGTGCTGAAAATGTATCTGAAAGACATCTTATTAAAAAGTATGGCCAAATGTGTGATAAAGGAGGGAATAAAACAAGTACAAGACAATTTTAAGTATTTTTCTCTTAATGGCGAGCTTTATGGCGAGTAAAGGGATTTCAGCTGATCTTTGAGGAGTATAAATGTCTGTAAGTTTGCATTTCCTCTGAATATTTTCAAAGAAATTGACTGAAAAGAAAAACAAAGTTCTGGTTGAAAAGTCAGCATATCACTGAAGCCTGTTTCCTCTGGGCACGATGAATATTTCGACAAACTTTTACGACTATCTGCTCCGTAATTGTTGAGATATTTCAGTCTGGACCGTCGACGCTGACAGACCAATGAACGGGCTAAGACTGCTCACCATCCTTCGCAGCTGTTATAATGCTGTTGAATATCTCAAATGGGGATAGAAAGGGAAACTATAATAAGGCTTTCTTTCATTTATAGTGAAATTACACCTATTTTTACACATTTATCATCTTTATCGAATCCAACTTAAGTGAGAGAGCTCCACTAAAGAGAGCGAAATTGCCCTCCACAGTTGCCTGGGGCGTTAACAAATTGAATAAAAGTGAGAATGAAAGTAAAACTGAGCCATTAATAGGGGCTGATGGGGGGAATACTGTCTGAAGGCGTGTCTCTTATGACTTCAAAAATAAAGACGAGCGAGGCCAGCTCTGTTTCTTTTTTGATATTTTTAGTAGTGGCTGAGAAAATGTGTCATTAGGGGGGAAAAAAATGCTATTTATTAGAGCTTCTTCAACAGCCTACTTTCCGCAAGAACTTGAAGTTGCCAAAATCTCTGAGGGACTTTGAGGAGTGGAGATAAGATAAAGAAGATCAGTTGGAGTGTAGCAGCGGGACGTTGAGAAGCAGAGCCGAGGGAGTCTGATCTAAAACACTCACCTCAACCCTCCTCAGAGCACCTGCAGGCTCCCCTGGGGTTCAGGAAATCTGCTGTTGTTCAGGCTGCTTGAAGTGGCTCTTAAATCCAACATGATTGAACATGAGCTGCCAGCTTCTGATCAAGTTAACTCGAAGGGTGGTTGGGTCCTGGGTGCTTCCAGAATAAACTGATTACAGTTTTTATTAGAGTCCCGTTGTTTGAAGTCATTACGGATGTGATGCTTCCTCACAAACCGGCACCTTTTTCTGATATTTCCTCTGTTCAGTGACTCGTCGTTGAGTTTTTAACAGGAATCGATGTCTGAATCTAGTAAACTTTGTGCCTGGGTACAAAACATCTATAAATGTGACTTTATTTCTTTCCATCTTGAGCTAATTTCCTCGAACCTGAAGGCTTAAAGATCAATGAAATATCTTGTAGGTTTAAAATATGGCCACTAAAAGTCTAATTACTGACTATAGAATGAAAGCTATGTAGTCCACGAGTGTCTCACAACTGAAAAGGCAATAATTCATATAAAAAAGGGACATATTGAGCCATACAACACACTTAAACAAACTATTTGATCGACCTTATACTCCTTTATTAAAATTTGACATTAATTCGGCGCAAATGTCCGACATATTCATGATTTCACGATTCATGAAGCTCATTTGAGTGTTGTTTGACATTTGAGAAATTGACCTAAATTCATGTTAATGCTTTTTTATGATAAACAAAACTAAACCAGAAAATCTGAAGCTGCTGAAAAAACAACCTTGTTTACATGTTTTCCAAATACTATATTCAAGTTAAAGGATAGTTTTAACTCTCAGATTGATCTTTTTATAGGACAAGAAAGGCAAAAACTGCTTTGTCCACAGGGGGCGCCATAATTCACACAACCCAAAAGTTACTCACAGGAGCTTTAAATAACATTTTTGTGATTTAATCATAAATAAAAAGAAATTAAGAAGATTGATTTTTTTCTTATATTATGCAAAATTGGCCACATGGGGTTTTGTTTACAGTATTCAACACTACTACTCTATAGTTTAAGTCACAAGCAAATAATGTATGTAGTATAATTCTGGAAAACATTACTATATAAAAGGAATAAAAAAAACATATCTACAGTATAATATCAGACATGTGATGATATGTTCATTCAGGGCTCGACAGTGTGACCATTTCACTCACATTTGCGACTATAAATAGATGTGTGCGAATTATAAAACCTATTTAGGGGCACATGTGCATATAAAGAAAATCCGCTGAGGCAACAAATGTTTTTTCATGTAAATACAGCGGTGAAGTTAGTTTTAGGTTGGATATTCGACATTCACTGTGGATCTACCAGTGTCTTCTCACTCTCCACGATAGGGAATAGCAACAGCAGTGCGGTTAAATCTACTCGGCACCCTCGCTGTCACCATCAAGGGACCATCAATAAGTTACAGGTTGACGTTCTCAAAAAAGGCGGTTTTCCTTTAATAGCTTCCATGTTACGTCGGACAATAAGACACACCTCTTTATTTCTCTAACTTGTCCTCTAAAATTTTTTTGTGTTAAATTTAAAAGCACATTTGGAACATTTTCTTCAATAGCTTGCATGTCATGTGACCAAAAGACCTAAAATTGATTTCAAATAATAGTACTTAAATTGACCAATATGTGCTCCTTGTGAACAAAGTTAGTGTCAAGCCCTGTAATTAAATGTAATACATTTAATATATGTACATTTACAACAAAGAGATACAGGCATATACTGTACATGTAGCGCCTTAGAAGGTCCATCTGTTATGCCGACTCTCAGCATCTATATGTTTGTATCCAGTTATGCTAACAAGAAACCGGTTTGTATTTGCACTTTTATGAACATCTTTCATTACTGAGACGAATACAAAGTCTGAGTTGAAGATAAAATGGCAGATTTTTTTCACTGTGGTGAATTCTGACCCTTTATGCTTTGAATGAACCGAGTTTCTGATCATCTAAGCAGAGACAAACTCGCCATTTGTGCCGACATTAATTTTTTAACCAGCAGATTTTCAGAGTCTGGCAGCAGTTTTGATTATCGAAGATTATCGTCATTGTCAGAAAGCTGTTAAACTCTCTGATTCCACCCCAACAAAACACAACTAACAAGCTGTGCATAAGTTTATTTCCAGGACAATAATGCTTCTTGTGTTATTGTATGATTGCTGGTTATTGAACTGCAAACTGCCTGGCAGGAAACATACACGCTGGTAACTGATTTACATAAGTAATCTGGACACGCCTGAGAAGATACAGCGAGTGTTTTCTTAGATTGGCCGCTAATACCTTTTTTTAATCCAAGAATATATCCTTCAGAAAATTAAAGTTGAACATTTTTTAACTTTTCCCCAAACTGGGCTGGTTATCAAACCTGACTGCCCTGTAAAAAACGGTACTGGATGTCCCTGCAGCATCAAAAATCAAGAAGAAACTTTTGGACTGACTTTTTTTAATCGAATATTTCTCATTTAAATCAAAAACTTCAGCAAACTGTAAACTTTTGATTTCATCCAGCCAGAGCTTGCCCTGAGAGTTGGTCATTTACAGAAGCATTTAAGAGGTCTAGCATACTCATTATACTTGAAATGAAACTATAAATATAATATCAGTTTGGGAATTGGGTATTTTAGCCGAATAAGAATTTTCAAATTTAAATCAACTGGATGAAATAGTCTGCAGGAGGGAAACACAAGCCCCGATTCCAGCCTGGAGTAATGAGCAGAGAAGTGTGTTTCCATTTCTTTTCCCGGAGTGTGTTGGGAATATCACTTCCCTTTCTTGTCGGTGCCTGAGAGCGAGAGCTTGATTTGAAAATTCAAGCGCCTGTGATTGCCAGCAGGGGTAGCTGTGAAGTTGAAATACACTTTATGCAAGAAATTTTGAATTTTGTGGGACTTGGCGTGACTTTGTCCTCATGAGAGAGCGTGGCAGCGAGCCCATTTCCTTTGAAAAAAAAAATGAAAAACTACAGCTCTGCTGAATTGTGCATGAGCCAACTGCAGGTGTGTGCACCCAAAAACATCACCACATTTCATCCCTACCAACACAAGCACTGAAGGGGGCAATTATTTGCCAAAACAGTGAAAGAAAAGCTTACTCACACAGCTGTATCCCTCCTGTCTTTGTCAGTCTCCTTTCTGGACTCGACTGGGACCGAATCCAAGAGAATTTCAATTTGGGAAGATTTACAGGCTATTTACTTTTTAGGTTAGTTTCTCCTTTTAATATCATCACTATTAATCAACGCCGCATTGTGGTAATCTAAAGAGCCTCAAACACAACCTTGCAGCTGACAGAACCCTCTCAGGGGATTTTGTGATAATGCAGAGTAATAAGTACTAAGAGCTCACTAATCACTTGGCCACATGATAAGACTATTAATCTTGTAGCTCGTGCAGCTCGGCTCAAACGGATCGCTGCCTTTTGCCAGAGAAGGAAATATTAAAAAGCCCGTACGCCGAAGCCATAAAGCATCCTCGCACCGATCCATAGACGTCAGGAGCCCTGTCCATCTATTTCCAGGAGCCCGGACAACATCCTCCTAAATGACGAAGGATATGATTCATGACACAGTCGGTGTTAATTCGGCTGCATGCCGATACCTCAGACTGTGTTTCTGTCACGACAAATCATCATTTTTTCCGGCGTTCATCACCATATTTCAGTTGACCACCTGATCGGTTGACTCCCTGAGGGGGTTTGGAAGGCGGCACAATGTGATGTAGAGCCTGCTGATAGCAACATGTCTGCATGAAATACATCATGATTCTGTCGAGGAAAGTGCCAGAAATCTTGTGCACATTGGCAGCGAGAAACCTTTTCAGCATGACAGCACAGGGCCAATAATCCAGTCTGCCTACAAAATAACCATGAGAAGGATTTTCAGAAAACATATTGGCCAGTGTGTGTGTCTGTGTGTGTGTGTGTGTTTGTGTGATGTTTCATTTTCTCCTTTACATCATTTTGATGTTACAATAAAAATGCAAGCGGGGAGAAAACAAATGTACCTCTTCTAAAAAATCCTTTGTGGATGGAGTTGCGACACCGCCGTGATCAAACATAATCGCACACATGTTGAAATGCCTTTGAAATCCCCTTGCCCTCAAAATTGCATCAGATTTACGCCTGCGAGACAATTCGACCTGAGCGCATGTGAGATCATTCCCCCCTCGTCACGCCGTGTATTTATCATTTCTACAACTTCACCTGATTAGCAGGCTGCGATGCACTATGTAATCCCACAACAGTGATGTAATGAGGGTGAAATGGGGGCTTGTGGGAAAATTCCAGATATGTTATATGACATCAAACGTCTAAATGAGCAACAGCTGAGTGTTAATGGGAATGGATGATATAAAATCATGTATAGCTTCACCATACTTATGTCCATAAACTCTTCTAACATAGCATCGATACTGCATCATAATCAATGTAGTGACCTCTAAATCAAGATAACACAACTTTGACAGACTGCAACACCTCTACGCCGATGATACCATGCTATAATTTTGTGCCTACAAACCTACGTGATATCAACATCAACTACGTGCTTTGTGTGTCTATGTAGTTTATAATGATTAGTCATTTGGCTGGTGGGTGTCTGACGTCAACATGTTGAATAACGTGGGTCTTCAATGTTGTAAACACAAATGAAATCGTCATTCCCACCATCGTATAACTGTCGATTTTATACTATCAAACAGCGACAACTTTATGAGCTGTACATGAGGCTAGTTGAGTTTGTCTTATGCATTTTATCATTAGACGACAACTTTATCCTCGTCGACAGGAAAGGAGAAGAAAGGAGGCAATCCTGTATGCAGACACGGACTCTGGAGAGAAGATGTATGTAGTAAAAGACTTGAAAAGATAAGATGACAATAGTGAGGTATAACTTAATCTACAATATTATCAAATTCCCTGATCTTGGATAATCTTCAGTCAACAAAATAACGGACACTTCTACTCCTCGCATCATTTCAACCTTTCAAAATAATGTCTTCACACGAGGCCCACACTATCCCCTCTTTTGGCCACACCAAGGTCTGGCTGTGTGATCCGGACCATGGTCCAGGGAAGGACTCACACCTATTATTTTGGATCAGACCAAACAGAAGAGTCTAGAAGTCCAGACTAAACAATGTTGGTGTGAAAGCAAAGCCTCTTTAAAGTAGCACCAAATTAGTTCGAAGGCAGCCGGGATTTTCTTTAAATAAATAGGAAAAGCTGATCACAATGGGAAGTGCGCATGATGGAGAGCTTGTCAATGGTCTCATACTGAGGTATTTGGTGCCTGCAGGATTGAGGTTCATTATGAATAAGGTTTTTGCAGCTCTAAGGTGTTCTCAATTTCAAAACCAACAGCTGCTAACGTGGGTTCAAGTTCATTCATTATTTTAACAATGTGGGCACCGGGAGTAAAACTGAAGGGTGGATGAGGCGGAAAATGACAACAACATGAGCAATATGCAGGTGTATGATGGTGTCTTTGTCTGCAGCCTGTGGCAGAACAGAATACCAAGACTTTGTAGAGTGTACTAATCTGAATACAGCATGTAGACGTATAAATCCTGAACCTGATCTTTGTTTACCCACAACCAGACCTGTGGTGACAGTGTTATGTTTCCTTTGGGAAGTTTTTATACAATCATTACAGCCGCACACAGTGACTGACTCACCTGTATATCTTGTATCTGGTGGAGAAGCCTTGCCGGTTCTTCTCCACAAAGTCGATGTACTCCGGGGAGTGATGGAAGGGCCCTTTATCCGACAGGAGCCAATCCAGGGGGCCCCCGGGCTTGTCATTGGGGAGGCTGGTTGTTGCCGCTGCAGCTGCTGTTACCGCCGACCGTAAACACACCCAGCAGTGAAGGCTGAGGCTGATGACGCCCCATAGAGCCATCAGAGATGGAGGGAGCGAGTGAGGGGGTGAGGGGTGGTGGTGATGGTGGAGGATGGAGGAGGGAGTGTTCAGCAGCCAAAGCCGCTCTTTATTAGCTGGCTCCTCCACTGGGATGACCGGGGGACCTGCATCACCTCAACGCCCCCCGAACACCTGAAGAAAAGCACAAACACACCGATAAGGACACAAACAAACAGACGGGGAGAGACGACCATAAACCTGACAATTCTTCAGAGTTTAACAGCTCCATGTGGCAGCCAGACACAGATGCTTGTATTCTCAAGTGTTTGAAGAGATTTCATCACACAGATGGATCATTCAACACAATCCCTTTGTGTTGAAATGATTTGTACATTAATCACTTGTGGATTGAGGAGAAATGGATTGATCATTTAAATAATTTATCAAAGGAAGGTGGCAAACATTCACCAGCTGCGGCTTTTAAAATGTGAGGATTTACAGCTTATCCATCTCCGCTTTTTTCTTCTTTTTCAACAGTTTCCTTTTGTTTCTCACTTTCAAACGAGCACATTCAGGCCTCCGATTTCTATAGCAACTTAAAAATATCACCTCCCTCACACGCACAGCAACATATTTCATTCAACCTTGAATTAGTTAGGTAACATTCACAGTCATCTCTTTTGTCTCTGGTTGTAGTCACGCTAACCTCGCCGTATTTTCTTATTACCAAGCCCTGAGAGCACTGCTCTGCTCATTGAGAGTAAATTAGGGTTTAGTGTCTCGATCAAAGACACTTCATTACGCGAGCAGGAAGAGCCAGAGGGCTCAAGCCACCAAGACCCAGATTCATAGACAGCCAGGGACTGAATCATGGATCCGCATCAGTTGAAGAGCTGAAATTGGGAAGAAACTTTACAGATTGTGCACTGGCACAAATTTAAAGTGTTGAAAGCAAAGGTTTTAGAGGCAGATGGACTTTTGTAGAACTTTGTGTAAAACAGTTTTTAATGACACAAGACATGAGCATCTTTGGGTAGATTTCATTCTGTCATTTGCTTTTCCTTTTTGAGTGTTTGCAGAGTCATATGAAAAAGATTCACTAAAAAACACTATCAAAGATATTTACTGTGTGCTGGCAGTTATATTGTTGCCCTTTACTGTCTGTCAAAGCAATGCATGATGGTAAATGAAGTCCTGAAAGAGTGATTATCTGTAGATGCTACATTTACCCCCTGCTAGGTTTTCATTGGAAATTTGTCAATAAGCAGGATTCTCATGTTTCGCAGCTATGAGGCATTAGCGTTTTCCAAGACAGTCTAGCTGCAGATCTCCACTGTGAGGACCCGCCTCCACTGAGTGGGTCAAAAGTTGATTTGAAGCCTTTCAAAATAAAAGTAAATATACCGGGAGTTAATTTTTGTTTTTAAACATCCAAAGTAGATTCGAAGCCTTTCAAATTAAAAGTCATTAGACTGAGAGTACGTTTAGTTATTTATTTTTTTTGTATACAGTATATTTTTAATGTCAGAAATTGATTTGAAGCCTTGCAAATTAAAAGCAATTATACCGGGAAGTACGTATTTTTTGTCTCATGTTCTGATGATGATTTGCAAAGCATTCTGGGAGATCTCTCACAGCTCTGCATTTAAATCTCAGTGTAGCACCTGTATCGACTAGTGCGACAGCAAAGCTACTGGACCAGTTTCAGGTTAGTAACCCGAGTTACCAGCTAAGTTGGAGGAAAGCAAAATCGGAGGCGGAAACAAGATGGCTACATCTATGAAAGTTATTTTAGCGCTTGCCTTGTTCGAATATAAGCAAGGACGAGGCAAGCGCTAAAATAACTTTCGTAAATGTAGCCATCTTGTTTCCCCCTCCGATTTTGCTTTTATCCGACTTGGCAACTGAAACACTGGTAACTTGGGTGTGATGTCACTCCCAGCTCGGACTTCTGACTTCCAAAGTAACTCAAACGCAGCATAAGAGTCGACTTAAAAGTGGGAAATAACGAAGGATGTTTCCATGCGACCGATTTTCGAGCTCTTTAAAGAAACAAGGTCAAACAGGATTGCCAAGCGGGGCTTATGCTAGTAGAGCTTGCACCACCATGCACTAGTTACACACTGCTTCAGACAGTTATCCGCCTGTTTTTTTGGACACAGCCTGAACATAACTTTATGTCTATTTTCTAGATCAGAAAACCGCCAAAACCACGCAGCAGTACAAGACGCTGTTTGTAATCCGAGCAGCAGAGCATCACTAAGCAACAGCTTTTGCGAATAAGAAGTGGAAGTACAACAACTAAGAACCAACATACAGGCAGAGTTTCAGGCCAGTAGTGACAGAACTTTTCATTAAATTGCCTCCAACAGAAATGTCTCAATTAACTCCAAACTAAAACTAGAAAAGTAAATGAAAAAAAGGTCACTTCGTTATTAGCGTTACAAAATTCATGTTGAATAAGCCCCGGAAGCTTCTGATAAAATGTTCCACTCATTACGGACGTTTCATAATTTAGGATTTATTGATTATGAATAAAAAAAATAAAAAAAAAATCAATGGCATATTTAATCGAGACAAAACAAAAATCATTAGCTGCAGCTTGAGACTGTTAAAAAATCCCGAGGGCTGGTGGGGAAATAAATAGCCTGTTCAAATAAAAGAAAATCAGCTCTTGTAAGTGAAATGCACTCTGATGTGCCGTGAATCATTCCTCCTTCAGAATAGGAACAATTTAGCTCTTTTTCTCTCGCTGCTGCTTAATATTTCACATCGGTTATGAGTCATTGCTCCGCCGTAGTTTGAGTTTTCCATTCAAGCTGAGAACTTTGTTTGATTTAAACAAGAAAAGTTGAACAGACCTGATAACCAGGTTCAGTTTGTGGAGGTATTTTTATGCAAAAGTCAAGACTAACATGGCTGCTTCTCGAGCAAAGAGCTGACAGAGAGACGCTCTTGAATTAAAAGTTGGTTTCTGAGTTTTTATCAGACGCCGTGCTGTTCAGATTGGTGTCCAGGACTCGCATTAGCCTCCACCACCTTCTCCAGGCCTGTCAATCATCTCCCCCACAGTGACGCACTCTTATTCTGTGTGTGTGTTTGTGTTGTGGTGAGAGAGGAGGGGATTTTGAGTCCCATCACAGTATTCTGATGACAATCTGTCAAGTTAACTCAGCCATATGACTGTGTGTGTGTTTGTGTGTGTGTATATGTGTGTGTGGGCTTCAACAATCATCGCTTCCAGACGAACCAGCAGGCAGCATGGGAACAGGACTGCCTGCTGGTCTGCCTCAAAATAATAGAAAAAAAAAAACAATCCCATCCTATTTTTTATTGGCAGGAATAGATAGAGATTAGTGTTGATTGCTGATAACTTAACACCTCTGGGAGGGAACTTTATGACTCAACAATTTGATGAAATGAGTCGGCAATTTTTCAATTTCTTCAAGCCTGATATCACAGTTTTCTCTCCTGACCCTACTGTGTAACAAAGAGTGACGCTGCATCCTAATTTACCGTGGACGAATTTCTTGAGTTAAGAAGCAAAGAGAAAATCGGTGCAAAAAAGAGAATCATTGTTCATCTGCAGTGAGCACCTGTCTTCAGATGGTTTAGTAAGAGAATATCAAGTAATCTCTAATCGTACATGCCCTTTTCTTAATGCAAACCTGTCACAGCACCATAACACATCTGCTATCATGGCAGTAATACACAAACACAAACACACACAGTTCTGTTCTGCCCTGCTTACTCTGCTGTCTCTCAGTGATTCTATCCCCCCGTATCCCTTCTATTCCTGCTCCTAATGCATACACAGCAGTGGGGTGACTCGGCATCATCATCACACTTCTGCAAAGTCACAATAAAGTCCCACTCAGATTGTTTTTTCACTACCTAGAGTGGTCTCAGTGGTCTTTAAGTTGTGATTATGAAGTTTTTAGCCAAAATCTCGTTACTTTTGTCATTCTCAAGGACCTTTCTTCTGCAGAGCTCCTGTAGCTCATTAGCAATTCGCCTCTGAGTCGTGGGCCGAGACAGCACTGCTCTTCACGCTAGCTTGTAGCCAAACATTGCCGGTGCGACAGAAGTGGCAGGTAACATAGGAACTATTCAGCTCTTGGACACTAGTGTCTTTAGGGACATGATGAAAGTTAATATCATAATTAGCTTTCTTATGAGCGTTGCAATCCGCTAATGCACATGCTTGTTCCACGATTGTCCTCTCTATTTCTCTGAGTATGGTCTGCATAGTGTGGCTCCAGAGGCGGAGCTTGGATTTGCTACCTAGGAAATCTCACTGTATCTGAACCTGCCATATGGGTCTGACAGAGGTAAATGCAGAAATACTCAGAAATGCAATTTCGCACTTAGTTTTCTCATGATATGTCCTGTAGCATCAGAAAAATGCCATATAAACATGTAGACAACAAGACAAACGTGATTTTCAAGGTGAAACAATACAGGGGTGTTAATGCTACATATTGAACTAGCAATATCAAAAAAGCTTATATAGCCTCAAACATTGAGCTCAAAGTGAAGATACAACACTGAAGGCTGAAGTCTGAATGTAAGGAATCCTGCAGACATATGCACAAATCCCACCATGTATCATGTTGGTGGTGTTCATTCCTTCATTATCCTCAGTTATTATTATTATTATGTGCGAGAAGGTTGCTAGCACAAAAAATATGAGTGCAAGTCCTTCAATTTCTAAGAGGATCAAGAATAAAACCATCCAACTTATCAACACAAGGGTAAAGAAATCAGAGCATGTGGTGGATACAGGACGGTAGTTTGATGCTTTTATGCTAATATGTCAATGAAAATTCAAATTTGGAGTATTTTATGATAGCCACATACTACAGGAGAATCTGGTCACCAGTGATCAAGCAAAAGGAAACAGGAATTATATGATATCTTCAAATCTAACATCGATTTTAACGTTGATTCCAGCACCATCAGCTATGTTTTTGTCTTTGGCAATGTGGACATTTCAATCTCCTGAGCTGCAAAGAGACAGTTTGTGTTCTGCTTCAACATAACTCTGCACACTCGGCCTGTAACATCTCCACACACACTAAAGACAAAGTTCTTTCCATGAAGCAAAACATCACCAAAGTGTGTCTGTTTCAGAGCACTCTGCTAAGTGTAAAGAAAAGGGACAGCGCTAATGTTCTTACCAAGGTCGACTTCCTGGTTTGAAGGAGATGCTCTCATGAACACGCGCTCATGAACGCCCCTTAGTTCAAACATTTGGACTGTACCAAATGGGACTTTTGATGGGGGAGCTGATTGGGTTTCTTTTTGTTAAAACTTCATTTTCCATACATATGCAAACTTAAACTCCAGCTCAAGGACGTCTTTACAAAGTTATTCCACACTGAACGCCTCAATAGAAAGACTGCTGTTAATGAGATCCTGCAGCTTTGATAGTCTGTTGAATTTCACCCTAGTCTGCAGCAATGGGCTTTCTCCAGGAAGTATTTTAAACTCATGAGTGTGGCCTTGCTGTTTGCAGGCAGCACACCTCATTAAAGTGAATTTCCTTATTGTTTAAATCTCATTTTTTGGGCTTTAATACTGAGTAACAGAAAAAGCAGATCTCCAAACTGAATCCATGGACGGCTGGGATTCTCCGAACCTCCCAGGATTTCTGGTTCAAAGGAAGAGACGAGCAACGGAAACTGGACAGATGGCAGGTAAGCAGTGATTTAAGTTATGGCGCTATAAACCTGGAAAACCTGCTTATTTATGTGCTGGAATAGAAATGGACATGCTGCTTTTCTCTGTGTGTGTGCATTGAAAAATGGAGGGGGAAAAGTTTCATGAGGATGAAGAGGCGAGAAACTACTTAAACTCTGCAGAGGAAGCTTGAGAAGTTGGAGTTACTTGAGAATTTGAAGGACTGGATTTTAAATTACTTGTCACTCATGGTGCTTTGCTGCTTTACCTTTCCCTCCGCTTGCTTTTTTCCCCACTGCTGACATGCTCAAGTTGGATTGGATTAACCCTGTAGTTGGAAATCATTTGGTATGATTGAAATGAAGGGTCAAAAAAATTGGACGTTTGATGGCTTATAATGGTCCTTTGACGGAATGATTTCAAGAATCACCTGCTGTGATGTTTGTGCAAAGTTTGGAGACTTGAAGGTTGCTTGCAATCAAGTTTTGGTCCAGTCTGTGTTCACACTGTTATTGTCAAAATGTCCCTCTCGACATGCGGTCTACAGGTTGTTCAGCTATTGGTCTGAAAATTTGCGAGGGAAAAATCACCCTCTGACACTTTTTTTCCATCAACAATGGAGCATTGGCTATTGTTGTATAGCATATTGATACAGTACTGCAACCAGGACAGATGGAGATGTTAACCATGACATGATTCTGAGGACACGCTACTGAAGGAGAGGGCGGCCCTTATGGGTGTCTATGATATGTTTTCTGTATATTTAATACACAGAAGATGAGTGAAGTATGTTTCCAATGTTACGTGAATTCGAGAAGACCTAGGGATGAGATGTGAATCATTAATGACTGTTGTATTGATTCCTGACGTAACCGATCCTTTTGCCGGTGGTTTCTGATGTTTTGGTGTGATAAATTATAACACGTCAGCTAGCGCTCGCTGACCCTCCGCCTTCTACTCTCTTAGCTGGTAACACACATCCATCTTCAACCCATGATGCACTGCTGTTTTATTTTGCTTCCTGTATTTGGTCCTATTAAAACCCACTGAGCAGTTTTGGTTTCAGGTCTGAAAGATGTCCAAAAGTAGGCCAGACGTCTGGTCTAAAATCAGGCTACCACAGCTCTAAAAATTAAAGTGTTTTAGATGTCTAAATTTAGACCAAGTTTAGATTAGCCAGCTATACTATACTACACTGTATATTGCTCAACGGCTATCATAATTATTTTGGTTAAGTACTTGGAGATCAGTTATGCAACTCACAGTTGGTTTTTGAAATAAATAGTTATTTTATAATGGGTTAAACTGCAACGACTAAATTCAGTCTAAAAATACACAGAATCTAGACGGTTGAAATTAGGTCTAAAAAACTAGACGTCTATTGCTCAGTGGGAAGTCCAGTTACTTTCTCACCTGAAGCAAACTAGACCATGGTTCACTTCGAACCAGACCAATCCTTAAGTCCAGTCCAAACGAGGCGAGTGTGAAAGTTACCTAAGTCAACTCCTCAGGTCTGCTTCAGATTAAAGTTTACAGTTTAAAACGTAGAGATGAAATGTATTTCACTTTAATCATATTTAACATCAAGTGCTCTAATTTAGAGCAGCATCTGCATCCGAGTAAAAAGAGGGCATGAAAAGATTCACTCTGAAATGGTGCAAAATCTCCCTATTTCTTCCCTGACTTTTATTGTTGACGCAGACAGACTGCCAACAAGTCCTTCAGCAATCTCTGCTCTGGTTCCAGCAGCGTTGAATACTTTATTGGCACAGAAACTGAAGACTTCAGTCTCCCCATCTTCCCTGTTATCTTCTGCCATGCTTGAACATTGCACTTTCCTCTCTAAGCCTTTAGCAGCGGAGGCGCGGCCGCACACAGCGAGCCGAGTAACTCTTTGGTGTCTGTCAGGACACACTCGATGCCGGGGCTTACTGTCATGTCGTATCAAGAGCTGAAGTGAGCTGATGGATTAAAATGCATCACTTTTTCTTTCACTAACAGCTTGCCGAGCTCGGTCTGTGGCCCTCTGCTTCATAATATGATCATGTAGATACCAATCTATTATCAGTTTTGCATGTGCTAAACTGTCAGATTTGTCTGATGAGGCGTGTTACACAATACAAGATAATCTGGCAGATTTTGGCAAGATTCCCTTTCTTGATAAGAGTCTGCAAAGGCACAATTGTCTGATGGTTTTTAAGATTATCTCGCCAGATTTTCCAGCAGTGTAGCGTATGTTCAGAGTGATTTTACTCCACTAATCTTTTCCGAAGATGAATGAAAGGGCTGCACTGATTTTAAAATGATGAATATTGAGCTTGTTTTTAATAATCAGATATCCTTTTGTACGGGGGGAATACTGAGGATTAAACACACCACCGTCAGGACAAACAGTGACCGACATCGGTTCATAAAATAATAAATCTGATAAGTCTGAGTCTGGATGTTATACAGACGGAGGCTTGTAGAGACTGAATATGTCAGCCTGTGATGAAATGTAAGTAATGAAAGAGCTCAGATCCTTTAGATTTGACTGAAAATGTGACATCTCTCCGGTATTTAATTTAATATCACCAGAGTTCAGTCAAAGCCTCGACCCGACTTGACATTTTATCCATCATCTCTATTGCTGCCAAACAACGATGAGTTATTATCAAGAAACTGTTTTATTAATTCACATGCTGCGCTCCTCAAAGATAATTTGAAATATGGTGTTACCATTAGACTTATTAGAAATGTTATCCACTACCATGAATAAAGTTTTTCACCCTATATCGGTAACAAGTGAAGGATTACAAACAGCTTCAAACACACTCCATAACCACGACTGCTGCGTACCTTCAGGACGCAGATACTGTTAGCTTTGTGCCAACTTCTATCAGACTCATTAACCCCGCTTTAAAGCAGATATTGATTGATTTGATACTTATTGATACAATTATTCATGAATATTCTCAGTCTAACTCATTCTTACCGCTAATTTTTTTTTTTGCAAGCTGCATACCTACGTTTTTGTCACATCTGTTTATTTTTGTGTTGCGTTTGCACCAATTCTTTAAAGTCCCACTCTGATTGTTTTTTTATTACTTGAAAGTGTTCTCAGTGGTCTTTAAATTGTGACTATGAAGTTTTTAGCCAAGTTTGGACACTAATGTCTTTGGGGACATGATGAAAGTTAATATTATAATGAGCTTTCTTACGAGCATTGCAAACTTCTAACGCACACGCTTGTTTTGCGATCGTCCTCTCTACTTCTCAGAGTCTGTCCTGCAGGGCTCCTGGGGCGGAGCTTGGATTTGTGACGTGGAAAATCTCACTGTCTGAACCTGCCATTTGGTTCGCAGTGATTTAAATGCAGAAATACTTGAAAAATATAATTTAGCACTAAGTTTTCTCTTGATACATCCTGTAGCATCTGAAAAATACTATATGAACATGTAGACAACAAGAAAGTTCCTACCATATAAATAAAGTTTTTTTTTTATTGATTCAATATGAACTAAAACTGAAAGCTGAGCCACTAGTATGTTAAACTGGACACCCGTAAATATTGTTGCTTCCTGTATAATATAAATGAAAGTTTTTTATCTGTAATTGCTCGTTGTCATGTTTAAGGTCTCTCACATTTAAAAAAATTTTTTTAAGTGTGCGGCTAAGTCCAAAGGAAAGTAAACTGCATGAAAACATTTCTGCACAAAATACAAACCCCAAGGAGTTATCTTCTAAACTAAAGACCATCCATCTCAGCATGAGATTCAGGACCACATTCATGGCACTACGGCTCTAAGACTTTGAGCATTGTTTATCGGATAGCATTGTTGGGTGTTCACATATCCACTTTTAATGTCTTAATTGTAAACCTCACCAAGTTGCAACATCAAAAGTCTCGAGTCCAAAAAACTGCAGCCCATAGCTCTGCAGACGTGAAATATTGGAGCAGTATGAAACCCAAGTACTGTCAAAGTGAGGCACCTGAACTCAACACCACGTCTAAACAACCAGTTACTAGACAACATCCAGGTATTCGGTCATTGTGCTCATTATAATGGGATTTTGCATCACTGGGCCACTGATCAAGCTGGGATATTTAAGGATCTGGGATCATGCTGGATAATGCAGGATAAGGTGCTGCTAGGAATTCAAGATTAAGTGATTCTAGGAATGCAGGATAAGGTGATGCTGCAAAATGCATGATTTAGGATAATGCAGGGTCGGCTGATGCTGTGTAATGCTCAACGTCATGAACGTGCTGCAGCACACTTGGCTTAAAAACTGCTACAAGTGCATATTTTGTCAACCAAACCCTAAAGCACCTTTTGCCTCCACTTTGACTCCTTTTATAGGCGAACACTGACGTGCTTTACATGGCGGACATTGTGTTTGGAGTGACCTTTCTCCAAGGGGAGGGAGGCTGCGTGTTAATACGAAAAAAAGAGCTCAGAGGTCACATTAAAAGACTCTTTAATCCTATCATCCAACAGGCAGCTTTCCAAGAAGCTGAGGCGGGGAAAAACACCGCTCTCGCTCTCTTCCCTGTTGCTCGCTCTCATTTTTCCCGCCGCCCTCCCTCTCTTTTTGTCGTTTTTCTTTTGTATCTCCTTCCTGAAACCACCCACGCTCTTCTCCCTCTTCTTTTTCAAACACTTCCAGAGCCCACTGACTCGCATACTCCATGTTTCTTTTTTTTTTCCACACATTTGCTGTGACAGTCCTGTCAGTAAACATTCATTGTTTCGCGTCAGGTCTGCGCCAGCCTTATAATCACATTATCTCCCGAACAAAGCCATCCACTAAGTCTTTGTCGTCGTCTGCCTGGGTGATATCAGATACATGCCATTTTCACTCTACAAGGCCGTTATGTCACATTTTCAACCTTATGCAAACACTGCTTTTCATCAAAGTGAAAAATGCTCCTCCTTCGGGCAGTAAGGAGCCACATAATCTAGAAACAACAAATCAAATGTTTGGTGATACAGCAAGGAGGAATTTTCAATTTGAGCGGTAGACAAACGCCGGGGCTCCGGTGGATCCACTCAAATATGATTTCGCACAACATGGGCCAGCAATAACCCCGGGCTGTTTGGAACCTCTGTATAAAATGAAAGCTGTTTGTTCCTGTGAGGTCCTCTCGATGGGATTGTGCGGAGAGTGCGAATGATGAGGGAATAGACTTTCCTGTACATGAATGTAATGAGGACTCTCATTCCCTGAGTAGGTTGAAAGCGAAGAGTAATATGAGGCGTCATATAGCAAATACGGCCCCTTTCACCAATTATCCATGTAGATTAAAGCTATCAAGTGGCTGTTTTGTTTTTATGAATGTTTTCATAATCTCCCACCGAATGATCACAGACGTACTCTCAAAGCACCGAGGTAATCATGACTTTAAGTTAAATTAAAAAACAGTTTCAGCCTTCAGAGGATGTTTTTTTCAAGTTCTGGAAACATCTGTTAAACGGCTCTCAAGGTTTACAAAACGTGTTGACAGTCGGCTCGTGCGTCCTTAGCGCTTCAGCCTTGTCATGTGACGCCCAATCCTTCTCTCTGACGTTTAAAAATGAGCGAGCTCAGGGACGAAGTAACGTTTGTTTAAGACGAAGGAAAAGCACTTCTTTGCAATTTTTCTTGTTAACGACACCATCGACAAGGTCATGTTTATTTCTCTTTTCTTTCTCTCTGCCAGTTCCTCAGAGAGATGAGGATGCTGAACAAATGGTCGTTTAAATGAAGTACAGCCAACAGTGGATCAAACCGTACAACATTTTTACACCCACAGCCCGTCATAATGGCAGGCTATATTCAGTAAGCACCGCCGAATATCAAATAGTTCAGCTGCAGAAAGGCTGAACAAGTCGCCCGTGATGACTCCCATCATTTGCAAGGTTTAATGTCTCGTCGTTACTTGACCAAAAGGCTCAGTGGATCAATGGTGGAGAAAGGAGTGCTGAGTGTCTCATCTCTTTCTGGAAAATGCCACAAGTAGAGTCTTGTATTTCTATCTTTGCAGGATTTGTTTTGCATCATGTCCTAAAGTGAAGCAAGAAGTTGTCTTGAGTGTAGGACTGGGTGATTAGGCAAAAAAAAATGATCACAATAAATTTTGTCATATTATCCAATCTCGATTATTATCACAATTTTAATTTTTTTTAAACTGCCAGTTTTAAAGCATCTGTACTAAAAGCTACAGAAACTACAGATTAGTTCAAAATTGAATTAACATGCAAAGTAAATAACAAAGCAAACCGAATAAGATAAACTAAAAAAAATATATAAAAAACCATTTTAACTCAACAGAACAACGTATACAGACAAATACTAAATAATACAGTGAACTAGTTTACAGTCCTGAGTGTTTCTGCTGGTATGCAAGACCCAAAATAAACAAATCGCCCACTCAGAGATAATGAAGACGTCTCAAAATGTAAACATTAGATGATGTAAACATAGATGATATGATTGATTGCTGCTTTGGTCTGGTGGCTGCACCGCTAGTTGTGGCTAAATTGCTAATGCTACTTGTGTCGTCAGCAGTGAGAGGCTGTGCAGACTCCGCTCGCAATTTAATGCTTTCCACATAATCACTCAGGAAGAACTTCTTCAAATGATTAAACAGCCCCACATTCGGTCATCTTGATTACTTCCTGTTTACTTCTCCGTCAATTTACAGAAGTGAGCAGGAAAAACTCAACTCTGATTGGCTGTTATGATGCACATTTCTGCTATGTTTGATAGAATAAATATGCTCACAGCTGATCACCGTGATCCAACTGAAATTTATAACGATCATATAATCGTCCAGTCTGACTTGGATGTTATAATTTCAGTGCAATCCTTCTCCACTTTGCTCATTTGTCTCGAATCGTTATCACAGTCTTCCCCTGCATCACTCTCCTAAATCTCTGAGTACTGACTGATTGCGGATCCAAATCAGCCTAAGATACTGTAAATTCTTGATATTTGATATGCAAAAGTCTGTTGCTTGTAGCATTTCATTTTGCTGTACGCAACTTGTGTCCAATCAGTGTGCGGTTAAACATGACAGCGAGTAAACATCCGAGCTCCAGACATCTGTGGTGTCTCTGCTCATCAGTGTTTGCACTTGCTTTTGTATCGTGCAGACAGAGCCGTGTAGTCACTTGTTTGCAACAACTTGCAAGGGTTGCTTGTCCAAATCAATGAAACTGAGAACCTTTTTTCTGCTGCCAGCAAATCAACTCTGAAAAGTTTCTCGTATACCTGCTGCTGATAAAGTTAGCCGTGTCATTCGGTCTGCTTTTGTGTTTGGTTGAATTCACTCCTGTAGATTGATTCTGCAGATTGACCCGCTGCTGCCAATACCAAATCTAGCTGTCTGTGCAAGGATCCAGTTTGTACTTTTGTAACTAGCTCTTTAAACTCTCAAATCAGGATGAAAATGAAGACCAACTTGTGTGCAACCTGCTTTCTTTTAGCAACAAATGGATTATATCTTATATTAATAAAAATTCAAAGGTATGCATGCCTCTTCTATCTATGCATCTTTGACTTTTGGAGTTTATTTAAGACTCTAAATAGTGTCCTATTTCAATTATCTAGAATGCACAGTATTAAGTACACAATGCAAAGTGATTTAGGAGTTAGAGACGGTGTTTTGCTAGTTAAGCGGCACACAATCTGGGCATTAAATGAGATTTAGTCTGCAGCAAGTCTGGAAAACGTTCTCTGATTATTCCAAAGTGTGTTTTGGTTGTATGGCATGTTGCTACTCACGTGGCAGATTTCAACCTCTCTAAAAATACAGCTGACTCCTGCTTGCACATGTAACTTCTCCCCAACTGTGCCCTTGAAAACTCAGAAAACACAGACACACCGCTGCAGGAGTCCATGCCAACTCATGGATTGATGCTGAAATTCATTGAAACAGTCACACCAAAACAACTGGATGAAACAAAACAACTTTAAAGTCTTAACAGTCTTTCCATCTATCTGTTTTGACATCATTTTTAAGTCACAGTTATGTTTGGGGATTGAAAAGGAAAGAAGCGATGAGTAAGCATGTATGAGTCTGTGTACTCGAGGGAGCATGCACCATATTTACCCCATACTGAGTCCAATATCTCTAGAGACAAGAGAGGACAGGACTTAGGTTTATAGTTTCTACTGTATCTGTACAAACACTGTTAGATCCAAGAGGTGGCATGCTGTGTGCATCTGCATATGAAACAAGCGCATCATGAACTCTCGCCCTTCATACTGTCTCACCAATACGCTCTCTAAATCTAAATCTACACCACAGGTTTGAGACTCCAGACTTGGGATGGGAATCGAGAACCGTTTTTTGTTGAAAACTGGTTTCAAATGGTTCAGTCCATCGACATTGTTTACATTATACCTGAACGATTCCCTTAACGATTCCTTTCTTGCAGGTGCCTTGAAAAATGGTCTAGTGAGAGCTAGTCTACGCAAACGAGAACAGAGACTTTGAGGAAGAAAACATGGCCGATGGTACGAAAAGTAGGCAACGTTTGTCGAGCAATGTTAACATGCAAAGGTGGAAACACCAACAACATGCTTAAACATTTGTTAACGAGGCACGGCATCAAATTTAAGGAGTCACATGTATGAGATGCTCTCCGTATAAACAAGTGGCTGCTGGAAGAGAGATGGTGAATTGTGTTTAGTGTCTTTGCCAAAGAAATCATGCAAAGCTATAAAGGTGTTTGGTGTCTAGTGCTCTGGCTGGGACCCTATATGTACTGTTGATGAAGTTACGTGCTGTTCTGAGCATTATTTGTGGCTGTAGAGTGGCGTTTTGGTTGAACATGTGGCTCTCTGTATTGCTATCACGTGGTTGTTACTAAAGTTGGTATAATTAGAGAAGCAAGCACTCAGCAATATTCATCTCTCGATGGGGTGTCTAACTCGGTGTTACGATGCATTTGACTCTAACTTAATTTTACACTGGAATTTCCCTTTGACAACAACTGCTGTATGTGACTTAATACCGACCAAAGTAAATGCTGCACAAATAGTTAGCTCTGCAAATAGCTCTGCTGCTTCTACTAGCAGTGTTAGCTCTCTGGCTAATATTGCTAGCCCCACTGTTGACCTGCAGCAAACCCCATTCACACCTATAGTCTACTCTTCTTAAATCAAAGAAAGGCATTGATAAGGGAATCGTTAAAGAATTGAATCGATATGCAGAATCGATAATGGCATTGATATCGATAGAATCTTATCAATTCCCATCCCTACTCCAGACCAGGGTTCTGTTGGTCCAAGGTGCTTTAGAGACCCATGCATGCTGACATGGGTGCATAGTCATTTGCTTTCCACACAGTGATGGCGCTGGGTGTCAAAATGGTCAGTGTGCTCTGATGGAAAACAACACTGACACTTTCCATGCACACCAACAATGCTTTGCACTGGGTTGTGTTGTTGTATTGGGCTCTCACTCTCCTATGTGCAAGTCCCGAGTGTGCATGACTTATCCATAACCCCGGGCTTCCTGAGTCTCTTTGCACCACAGGCTCTTTCGGTGCAGGTAAGAACTAAAGTAATGGTTTCATACAGAAGAGCAACATTCATACTGACTGACAAGAAAAAACCCTGAGCTCGCTCAGCGTCCGTGAGACAAAGCACAAACACAGCGGTCCGGTACGACCCCGTCATGTCCGTAAAAGAGGTTATGACAAACATTCCCACAACATGTTCCTCCAGAGATTAAAGCTGTAATTCAAACAACCCTTGACTGAAAAGCGGGAGCGAGCGTTAAAAGACGAGCAGTCAGAGAAATAGAACAACATGCTCAAAGCTTATTCATATCTCACTGTGCTCTTCCCTCAGGCGTGATGTTAAAAATCTAAATGAAACAGTCAGTCAAAGACATTTTTCATTACCAGGCCTACTGCTGGTGGTGGTTATGTTAAGGTATGACACACACACACATAAACAAACACAAACACGCACAGTGTGGGCCTCGCATTTCCTCTGGCTATTTGGAACCTCTGTGTGAAATGACAACTCTCTTTGTTTTGCTGCTTTTCATCTGGATGATCAAAAAGGAAAACATTGAGTCTATAGAAAGCAGCCCGTCCTCAGCTGAGAGGCCCATTGAAGTCTGCTAAATTAACAGCCTGGGGTAAAATAAAATGTTTGCTAATGTGTCAGTCAGGAAAAAAAGATCGTTTCCGAGAAGGCACGGGTGTTGATATTCTTGACATTATCCTGCTCTTGTTTTGAAAGGATGTGATTGATTCAGAGTTCTTGAGCTGAATTAACTAAATTGGCGGTTGATGCCACTCGGAGTTAATATCTCAATTGATTTTGTTAAAGAGAACATCCGAAACACGCTTTCATTTATTGGCTTCTCCCGCTAATCTGCTGCGTTTGTGATGAATAGATTTATCTGTCTCCACAAAATCTTTCGGGGGCTTTTCTGCAACTCTGTAAAACTGCCAGAATTATATGTTTCCTCCAGAGATACAGGCCCTGACTGCCGACTGCAGTGTTGGATCTCGACTCTCACCCTGTCTTTTGGAGGATACTGTAAGCTTGATGAGATGTGGGAACTCCCAAGCCTAATCTTTTTTCGAGGATTTCAGCGGCCTGAAAAAAAAATCTCCATTGGAGACCGGGACAAAACAGAGCATTCAGCCCCCCCCAAACATCTGCTCGCTTATTGTAAGGTGCCAGCTGTACCGGTCACCTACCTGAGTGCATGGATGTGTGTGTCTGCAGGTGTGTGCAAGTGTGCGTTCACATTTGGAGCCCTCGCCACAGCAGATTCTCTCTGTCTTGGCTCTTGGGAGTATGCAGATTAAAACGAGTCTCTCTTTCTTTTTAAGCTATCTCACACATTTGAGGAAAATGAAGTAGAGGAAGAGAATAAAACAAGAGGGAGGGTGCGATTAAAACATTCCAGGAGAATTCCTCCAACAGGATCCATTTTGTAACTTGTCCCCAAGCCAACCCCAAAACCATCCTCAAAGTAGGGAAACAGGAACTGATAAACTTTACATCTTCCCCTCTATGCTGACTAATGAGGTTTTTGGCCCTAATTAACCCAGATATCTTCCCTCCTACAACTGTCAACAACGCCTCTCGTGGCGGCGCCGGCGGTAAAAACACCTCCTTTGTGAAATTATAATATGTGACTGCCAGTTGCACTCATCCGGCTGTCTTGCAAACACATACAAAGGATGAGCTCCTGTGGTGTCCTGGGAAGCAGACATCAAAAGACTGAAAATGTCACCGAGCTCTCACGAACGCACGCACACACACACACACACACACTGTTACAGATCTACAAAACATGCATATGTAAGCGTCAGACATGAAGACTCAAAGTAATAATGCATGACCTAGCAGCGCCGCGCTGCTGCAGGGAAGGTCAAATGAAAGAGTGTGTGTTTCTCTGATCAGGTGTTGCTGTATAGACTTCCTACTCAAGATGATGTAACTCCAAAATGGTGTTTTTAAGCTGTTGTCCCTTCATCACCAAAGACATATTTATAAAAATGTAACTCTGTGGTCTTTTAAGTTGAACTTCAGATGTACTAAGTGGACACTCTGGAGCTAATTTCACGCACGTTAACTCTGTTTTTTTCTTAATAATTTCTGCTTTATCGCTACAAAGTTAGGCTTAAACTACGATTTGCATTTTGGCTGCAATACTCTTTATCACTTATAATCCTCTTTGTATGTAAATGAGTTTGAGTGAAGTCAGTCAGCAAAGAAAGGTATTTATATTGGTTATTTACATGGGCTGCAACTATAATGATGTACACTACTGTAAAGGGAGGTACTGTAGTTTAGACTGGACTCTGATTTTGCTTTGTCAGACCTCTGTGTTTGACAACAGGAGGCATCGAGCAAGGACAAAACCTTTAAAAGATCACAAATCTATATTTTGAGAGCTTATGTACAGGGTGAGAATATAATAATAATAATAATAATGATAATAATAATAATAATGATAATAATAATAATTATTCTGATAATGGCAATGATGATGATAATAATAATACAAAATTTTATTTATAACACGCTTTTACAGGTGCTCAAAGAAATTATCTTGTGACAAATATCTTGATACAACATGTAAATATGTGTGCAAAAGTTATCTTATCCAAAAATTTACTTGTAAATAACAATCTTGTGTTTGTTTAAGAATCTTGCGTGCATGGGGAATTTATCTTGTGCACACAAGTTACCATCATGTGTGCACAAGATGTGTTTTTGTTTGCACACATTAGGAAATTAACTTGTAGGATTCATCATGTTATCTTGTGCTAACAAGATTTTAACTGGTGTGCTAAAGATAATATCTTGTGTGCATAGCTTATCTTGTTGGCAATAGTCATTATCTTATCAGAGCAAATAAATTATCTTTTGCAAAAACGTCTTGTAAGAATACATATTTGTAAGTATCTTGTTCGGAAAAATATCTTGTTGCTTTCGGGCAAATATCTTGTGTACACAATTATCTTGCAAGCCATAGTTATCATTGTGTGGGGACGTACAGTCATCTTGTGAGCACATGTGGCAACATTTAAAATATCTTGTGCGCAAAAATGATCTTGTAGGAAAAGGTTTGTATCTTTTGTGCACAAAATAATCATCTTGATTGTACATAAAAATAATCTTGTTAGAACAAGGTATAATCCTTTACTTTCTGAGAAAAATCTTGTGCGCATGAGTTGTTATCTTGCGTTTTCACTCAATTTCATTCGGCTTGGATGGACAATTATCTTGTGAGCACATTAAATTATTTTGAAGGAAGGAAAGAAATATCTTGTGCGCACATATGATCTTGTGAGGACAAATTGGTATCTTGTGCTTTCTGGTAAACACCTTGAGTGCGGAAACTATCATCTTGCGAGCTCTAGGAACAGACAGTTATCTCGGGTGCACATTGGTATAATCTTGTAGGAACAAATAAGTTATCCTGTGCGAAAGATTTTATTTTATTTTGTGCACATGTAACCAACCTACGATCTTACGAGAGCAATTAATTTTCTGGCATATTTTAAATTATCTTGTGGGCAATCTGCGTCCAGTCATCTTGTAAACATATTTAAATCATCTTGTAGAAACAAAACAAAATATCTTGTGTGCAAAAGTTATCCTGCGTACTAAACAGAACTGTCTCCTTGAAGCACAGTTTTGATCTGCAAACATGTTTATTATCTTGTGTCTATCTTGTGTGCATGAATCATTTAAGTAGTAAATTAGTATGTGTGCACATGATGGATCTAAGCTGCACAAAACAACTATCTTGTGCAAACAAGATGAAATGTCTTGGAACTAGAAGTTTTCGGTGGATGTAATCTGGTTATGATGAAAATCTAGCACATTTTCTTTAGATTTAGACAAGAACAGTAACGTTTGAGGGGATGAAGACTACATTTCCCATGAGCACATCACTCTCTCTTGTAAAGACGTAACTCTTGTTGAAGTTCGTTTTCATTGTAGAAGCAAATTAATGGAATATGACTCTTCTTTTGAATGCTACTTGCCATCGTTGAGGACTGTATAAACTCTGATTTGTTATCCAAAGCTGACAGAAGCTGACAAGATCTGACTACTTCAATATTACCCTGGACTCATGATGTGTGCTTATCTGTCTTAATAGATGTCAAAATCACATAGATATGCAAACGCTTTGACTCTTAAGTCCTCAAAGAGCAGGGGAGCATAAAATGAAATCTTTTTCAAAACCATTTTTGCAGAGCATAGCCTTGGTCACAGAGTTTCTCTGACTTCTTTTGCTAATCTGACTCCATTATTTGCCACGAGTACTCAAAATATGCAAAGAGAAAATTCTTTAACGAAAGAGAAAAAACTCCTTTTGCTTGCTACCTGACTTTAAATTCAGTTAAAATATTCAATCTCAGCGAAACACTCCTCACGGTGACTTTAACGTCCCTGATTTCTTTGATATGCCATCATGCAATAGTCAAACACCATCGTCAAAAAGCTAGCTGATATAAAATAATAATGATAATATGTTTTCTAGCTGTGAGATATATCCTAGACCCCCCAGGGCTCGGGTGTAAACATCTTAGATAAATAAAAGGCCTCTCTGTTGTGTGTTAAAGCTCTGTTTTCACACAGTTTGTTGGTCAAAAAGAAACCCAAACAGCCTCGGATTTGTGTTTCTTCCACATGATATAAAAGCCGCCGATCAACAGGGGAGCCAGAAAGCAGATAAGCCAATAAACCGGCCTGTGTCAGTGCCTCAAACGGACTCTGGGACTCGACAGTGGTACAGTTTGTTACAGTGGACGTGTCTTTTTTTAAGAAGCATAAGTTGCAGCAGAAACTGAGTCTTTGTGAAATCCTGTTTAATGCATCTACCACTGTCTACAAAATACAGTAGTTCATTATGGGAGAAGAATTCTCCAGCAAACATTGTCTCGGCCAGCCTGGAAACAGATCAGGCAAACAAATCCTTCCTCTCTGAGAAGCAGGAGGAACATTTGGCTGAAGGAGGAGGCTATAAACTGATAAACACTGGAAACACTCCTTTTTTAATACAGTTACAATCCATTATGGAAGATGGAAGGAAAGAAACGAGCCTTGTCGTCTTATACCATGGACTGGGTGTGAACAGTCTATTGTTTTAAGTGAAGCTAATGACAGAGCACCAGCAATCTGTGTTATCTTTAATAGCTAATGACTCGAAATTATCTGATTTCTGAGTTTGTTTTTTTGGCAACTTCTGGCGTTGAAAAATGAAGCTGATGCTAAACTGCAAAAATCGGCAATTCCCAGGGAATTTCAAGACTCTTTATTTGTAGGACTGCAACATCTAGTGCTTGCAAATGATAACATGTAAGAGTCGAACCCCATTTTTCATGCCAAATGTATCCAATTTTAGTGGGTTACTCTGACCCTGACCCGAGAGATGTAGTCTTGGCACTGTGGTCCTGAAACTGTCGTCTCTGGGTTTGCAAAAAAAAAGCCCATCAACATCCAAATGCTCAATTATGGTCTTATTAATTCATTGCTTCATTCAAACAAACTAAAAAGGGGAAGGTGAAACATTTATAACTTGTGTTTTGGATAAATTGTGGCAAAGAGTTGTGCAGAATTGGATCATTTAGGGACTGGAATGATAAGCAAGTGCATTTTCCCAGTGTGTAAGATAGGACTGCTGGATTAAAGGTAAACGCACATCTTGATTTTAATCACTGAGACCAGAATTACTGACCATGATTATGATTTGTGCAGCTGTTGATACAACTGATCGCTGTTTTAACTGAATGTCTCAAAAATTTTGCGGGTTTTAGCTAGTTTTATAACCTTTTAAGAGCAAACCTTTGCAGCCACTTTTTAGATTTTAACTCATCTTCCTCTTCCAACATTACATGTGATGAACTGCAGGGTTCACTTTTAAATCAGATGTTGTTTTCTCTTTAATTGCTGCTCTTCTCTTTGGACGAATAACTCAGCACCACAAAGTCTCGTTTTATTGCTTTGCAGATGACACAAAGATATATTTTTCTACAAGCCTAGCTTATTAGCAACTGGATGGCTCAAAACTTCCTCCGTTACATAAAAGGGATATTTTTGGTTGGTGTAAGTAGAGAAGCAATCGGTCGGCAACATTCATCTCTCAACGGGGTGTCTAATTCAGTGTTACGGTGTGTTTAACCCTAACTTCATTTTACGCCGTAATATCCCTTTAATACTTTGATATAATGCTAAGGACTCTGTAGTTGCTGGCTTGTTAACCCGTGTCATCCTATAGCCTCTATATCCCTCTGCTTTACTAACACACACTTGCTCATCCTGTATCCTCTAGCTCAACATATTGAATCTGCTTGAAGTATCTTATGCAAAACCCACATCTCTCTGCAACTCCCAACTTAATGCACCAATCTAAAGTGCTGATAATGACAAATTATTGACCTACAGGCTCCCTCTGGGAAAACGTCCAGTTTGCCAATCAAGCCCAGACTCTGTCGACTTCTTCTTCTTCTTCTTCTTCTGAGTCTGAATCGAAGTTTAAGTGAGAGCTGTCAGAGTACGCTCTTTACTGTCTGTTTCTGCTTCTTTTAATGCAGGGTCCAAAAGGACAGTCAGATCTATTAATTTTAACTCTGTACTTTATAAAGCTTTATTTTCTACAGCTGAGGATCAATAGTGGCATGTCAGTGCAGGCAGGAACTGTTTATGTGTGTGTGTCAGACTGTTTGCGTACGCGTGTTTTTCTTCTCCTCGATGGCTGTGGCAGCGATGGGTGATTAATTATTTAGACAGATCCAATCCTTTACTCGGCTCGGGGTCTCTATCAGTGTCTATATGTGTGTACATGTGTTGACTTAAGCAAGTAAAGTGTGCCATTTTTAATCTGAGAGGGTGCTGAAATAAATCATTCTACTCTATTGTACATTAAAATCTCGAGTGGAAAGCAAACAAAGAGGGACAGTCAGCTAAATGATTGCTTTACAGACTGTAAACTTCTTAGTCTGTCTCTTTTTTGTACGGCTGCATATCAGCCGGCGGGCGAGAAACATACAGAATGAAGCTTCAATAAATCAGAGTGAAATACAAACAGAGGCTTTTCTGCTGGTGGCCTTGTGCAAACACGGACAAAGGTGGCTCTTAAATTAGAGGGCTCGCTCTTCTCCCTGGCTCCTTTATTTTGTTTGTGTCGTCTGCTTTTATACTCTGCTTCCTGAAAAGCCACAAATGGAGCACTTTAGATTTTATTCCTGACTTTCTCCACATCCAAAGAGGAGAGGCTTGCAGACGCATGTTTTTCAAATTGTAGATTTGTATGCTTTTTTTTCCAGAAAACTCAACCTTTGCACTCGTCGTAGGCTGGAACAGATTGGCATACACTTGCGAGAACATCCTAGTATACTCTCTTCAAGGGAAGAGGCCACTTGTACCTGATCCACTGATCCAGTATTCACTTCTCCATAATTGGTGATTATCTGGAAGTTCACAGTTCAGGAGCTCGGACAGACTGTGTTTAAGTTTGTACAAGCCTCTTATTTATTTCCTTTTTATTCCCTGCAGTCAGGCAGAAAACTCACTCCAAACCAACACCAACACTATCAGGGAAATAAAAAAGCCTCTGTCTCTCAAAGGACTTAACCCTGAGTGGGATCCTGCGAGGAGTTTTTGATGCAAATAAGAAAGACAGCCAGCAACAGGACTGATGATTTTGATGTCTCTTAGGGGATAGGGTTCAGTTCAGCAGCTGAAGAAACAACTTTAATATCAAAATTTATACATGAAATATTCACATTTCACTATCAAAATAGGGCTTGGTGATAAACCGAAAATTTACTGATTCCGAAATTTACGACAATAACCGACGTCATTCTGTCCATGTTGATATATTCGGTGTCAAAAGAATAAAATTTGGTCTGGATGTGTGTAGGTAGACTACGGAGAGGAAAAGACAGGTGAGGAGATGGAGGACGGTTCAAAAGTTGTAGTGGCTGGAGCGGCGGCTGAAGTAGACTAAGTTAATGTGGGAGGGGGTGAGCAGCTTGTGGAGAAGTTATCGTCCATTTGTCGTTATCAAGGAGAACTACTCAGTATATGGTGATATTGAATTAAGGCCATATCGCCCAGCCCTACTATCAAATATCAGAAAAATTAGATTTCTGGTCAATTGTTAATACTTGAGCATGTACAGGATAAGATAAGCAAAGAGTAATTTGTCCACAGGAGGCGCCAAAATCGACACAAACCACAAGTTACTCACAGGAGCTTTAATATTGTCCCGACTGTTGCCAAACGGGAATTATAACTCAGCTCATATCACTCTTCTTGCAAGTGTGTTTTCATTACATGATTTTCATCCTGTCTATCCAATATAATTTGCATTTAAGAATCATTTATGCAATTGCTCGGTAGGTGACAAACTACTAAAGCTCCACAACTGTTTGCAGTAACTTCTATGTAATAGCTTTTGTCATGTTGCGCCGGGTTAAACAAATGCAAAACAAAAAAAATATTTAATTTAAAGAACCAAATGAAAAGAAACCAAAACTTACTTTAAATGTCCAACTTATAACAAGAAGCAACACAATACATATCAACAGACAGACAGACAGACAGACAGACAAACAAACGAACATACAATGAACCAACAAGAAAACAGGGGAAGACAGGGACTATATATACACACACAGGTAAACGAGCAACGAGAGGCAGGTGAGACACTGAGACACAGGTGCAGACAATTACTGAGGAGGGAAAACAAGACTGGACTCCTACAAAATAAAACAGGAAGTACTGAAAACTGATCTAAAGAATAAAACACTGAGAACATGAGGAAAATAAGATCAGACACAAACTGAAAACTCACAAGATAAGACTGCACATAAAATAAGCAGAAAAAGCACCAAAAAAAAACATGAACACAAAGAGAAAACTAAATAAACAGAACACGTCATGACAAACAAAGTCATAACCTTGCATTAAAAATGACCAAATGCTTCACAAGATTCATCCCCCGGCTCAGGAGGTGAGGTAGCAAAAGCATCCTGCGTGGGTGCAGATATCCCTCGCAGTAAACTCTCACAATGGCTGATGGTCATTCAGGTGGTAGCTTCCTGTCCAGTAAATACCAGCTTTATTTTTCCCTCTTCTCAAGGTAAAGGATAACAATACAGAGGTGAGTTGTAGTCTTTGTGCAGGAAGGAAAACTTTGTCGACTGCCAAGAGTAGTAATTCTGGTTTGGTGAAACCTCTAACCAAGCAACACGCTTCAGGTAGCAGCGAGAGAGCTTAACGCTGCCAACATCAGTGACCCAGGTGCAGCTCACATTAGCTCTGCTGACTAAAGAGGAGCGACTCCATTTAAAAAGCCGAGGCTTGATTTCAAATCATTGCCTGATCCAAACTCTGTTAGCCAGGTGTGCTGGTGAAGACATGCTTCCAGTATCATTAGCGAAATACTGTTGAGATGAGAAGCTGGTCCACCAATGACACTAACTAACAGTCTTTGGTAACTAATGACTATTTTTCTGTAACATGTACATCACTGGAGGAATGAGCTGCACAAGCACCAAAAAAACGCCTTGAGTATACACGGGTGCTGACATGCAGTGCACAGAGCGTATGCAGCCATACTAGGGCTGGGCGATATGGCCTCAAATCAATATCACGATATATTGAACAGTTCACCTCGATAAGGATAAGTGGACTATAACTACTCCACAAGCTGTTCACCCCCTCCCACATTAACTTCGTCAACTTCAGCCGCTGTCTTACAGGGAGATGAGACCATAGCCTACCTACACACATCCAAAACCAACTTTTATTCGTTTATTTTTTTGACATTGAATATATCGACATGGGCAAAATGACATTGTCGTTGTGGTAAATTTCGGTATTGGTACACTTTCGGTTTATCGCCCCAGCCCTAACATGCAGCCACATCACATAATTCATCATCATTACCTACAAACTCATGATCAAAAGCATTTTGACAACTTTAAAATTATCTTTATTGTAACTTGCAGATGTTTGGAGGGCTCTTTAGGAGCAGAATCTTAAAGGTACAGGGTGTAAAAATCAGAATATTTTGCAAAATTTGGATTGAAACGCTCCCTTGCTCACCGCTCCCATTTTATCAATATTGTCCAACAATACAAATTCTTATATGCAAAACAACCACTTTTGATTGTATTTCCACTCAATGCAAAACTACATATGACTATAAATGGATTCTGTGCTGCTGCAGAAAAACGGCTGTGCAAGAGTTCAGCTTCTGTGGAAATATATTTTTATGTTGAGGTAATTAGCCACTTATTTTGACATACTTGTGAATATAATGATGCATACTGCTAACCTTTGGTTTTAAGGTGAAGAAAATGGTGTTTGGTAACTTCTCTGTGAAAGTGAAGAAGTTTAGTCATCATTGTTATCTGGAGGGAACAAAAGTTTATTTTTTGGGGGGGATTACATCCGTTTTCTGAACAGAAGTGGGTAATAAAACTGCGGAGACAAACATTTTACATCTGTGCATGCCTCTTCTGAAATTACTGACAGCATGCCCACCCCCCTCTCCTACCTACCCACCCTATCTTTATAGTGTAATACTTTAAGCTATTTACTGCCTGCATGTTTGACATGGCTCCTATTATAATCGAAGACACGCCTGAGGTGGATTAAGGTGTTTTTAACGGGGGCCGTGACCCCGGAATAATGAACACTTCAAAAGCACTAATCGCAAAGGAAACAAAAACACTGATAGAGAAAAAGCTGATTAAGTAACGGCAAATTAGACTGATTGAGTAAAGTATCTTAGAGATAGGATACAAAGTGCATCTCTGTGGTGCGGATTAGGATTAGGGTTAAACCACTTAATCCATAACATCCCATGTTGAAGGTACAACCTCACAAGTGTGTTACGAATCGACTTTACCCCGTGATTTCCACGACAACTTCTGAAACTCAATAACATTTACACGTCACTCTGTTATGATGGTGCTCTGAGCGTGTTTTTACCCGCTGAATTTCTGCACTTCATCTGTAAAGTAAAAGTGAGCATGCTACTCTCAAGTCCATCCATTAGTGTGTGTGTGAGAGAGAGCTTTTACACAGTATCTTCAGACTCAACATTCAATTACCAGTTGCCTCAGAGAGATTCTGCTTTAATGCCCCAGTCGCACTTAATCTGAGAGATTCTATTTTAATGCCCCAGTCGGTCCCAAATCCCTCAATGAGACATTTTTTCCCCCCTTTTCATGATCTTCTCCTCGGTTGCTTTTTTCTTCATCTTCTCATCTTTTCCCAGCTCTCTCTCTAAAACTCGTTCCTCTCCATCACTGCAGATTGAAGTCAAACTCGCCGCTTCACTCATTATCATAAAATAATGGGCAGACCCCGGCGAAACTTGACCTCCAAAATACCACCAAAAACTGCACACTCAGTCAATCTTTCTCCCTCTTTTCATCCTCGTTCATTTTTTTTTATCCTCCCTCTCTTTCTGCTTATTTCAGATTTCATTTTTTTAACCTCTCCTCTTCCAACACCCACCACCAGGCAGAAAGCGGGTATGATCAAATGCACTGCAGCGAGGGTCCTCGTTCATTAAGTCAAACACTTGTTCGCTTTTTTAGCTCCTTCATCATCCCACCCAACCCCCACCCCAGAACCGAGCACTGTGGAGATCCAGTTTGCACTAAACTGAATCTACGTTTTCACTCCACGGAGTCTCTGCATTCCCTCGCGGTGTGTTTACAGCGACTGTGGGAAGAGGGGATGGCACAATTCCTCCTCCTCCGTCTCCTATCCCCTCCTCACCCGTCACACCTACTAACGATGTCTGATCCAGTTCTATCAGGCAGCCGACACTAAAGAGTAGAACAAGACGCCCTCTCAGGCATGTAATTCCTCCACTGAGTGTTAGTTAAGGCGCCTATAGATGGATCCCAGTCTTTGCTTACATTTGTTGTTGGATTTCTTTAAAAGGAACAATGCAACTGAATAAAGGTGTCTCTTAGTAACTCCGACTGGAGCTTCAGGAGGATCAAAATAAACATCATTACAGCGTCTAAAAACCTCATTACATCTCAGATACATTCAAGAAAGCAAACACAGCGAAACATACTAAAACAAACTAAACCTCAGTAACTTTAAGTACAATTGGCTTAAAATGAACATATTCTGATTTTCTTCCTCTCAGAAAACCCTTTACTTAACATATATTCCCTTATTAAACCTCTACTGTTGTAGTCCAAATGTCTGATTTAGATACGTGTATAGACTTTGTGTTAATTGGAATATATGCCATAGTTGCATCTTCATATTTGCAGCTATATAACCTTTAAAATATCGTATCTTGCACATTTTAATTTAACTGTATATGTAAAAAGTATAAAGTCTACTATAAACTCATTACAATGCATTAGTTGCATGCTCTGAATTGAGAGTAAGTCAAACCGCATCACCCCTATCGTTTAATAATCAAGTCCATAAACCTAATTGGAATACTTAATGTCAGCTACTGTCTCTTTAAGACTCTGGGAGCCTCATCCACTGTTGCCATGCAAAAAAAAGTTGTGTTTCTCTTTTTAAAATGCCAAATTCTAAAATGTGAGGCTAAAGTCTGATATTCAGATGTTGTTAGAAAGCAAATTAATTAAACAATATCACCGTTTGTGGTGTTTTGGACTGGAGGGTTAGACCAGAAATGTTGATTGAAATCCAATTTAGAGCAACCTTGTCTGCTCTTCTTCTTGTACTCTATGCTGTTCTGGTATATTTTTCTTCAGGATCGGGGTTGTGCAATCGTTTTATTATTGCTATTGTGCTTTTCGCTGCTGCTGTACATCATCGTACGAGTGGTGCTCTGTCGTTGTCGTGTGCTCGTTCTGTGACATGGCCTTGTCTTGTATGGCAATAGTATATCTGCACTTCTTCTCACAATAACTTCCCCTCTGGGACAATAAAGTATATCATAGCTCATCTTACCATCTTGTGTGCAGACTTTAAGTACCCTTCGTACATTTGTGTTTCAGTCCTGCACCGAGTTCTTTGAAGATTTGGTTGTACATCCTCTACGACTGTTTGACAAATGATGAATTATAGCCTTATATGTTCTAGACCCTGAATCTGAGCTGAGAAGCCTTTAAAGGGTCAAACAATCCCCAGCATTAAAGATAGGAGCGAAGCATTTCTGTTGGCTTGGTGATAGGTTTGTTATGCCCTTATATGGAGAGTCGCCATTCGATGACGTCATGATTCGGGTGAATCAGCTGTATTCTCGCTTAATTCTTGCGTAACTGAGCGGCCCAAAGTCTCATTTTGTGATCGCAACAATGAAACTATGAAAAAGCATAATCTCAATCCTTACTAGGGATTCACCGATCTGATATTTGGATCGCATATCGGCTCCGATATTGACAAATTAACTAGATCGGACATCAGATGAATGACGCCGATGCAGCATTCCGATCCAATCTTTTTTTTTTTCTTTTAATTAATTTTACTTTTAATATATGGAAGTCTTACTTCTTTTTGCTGTGTGCCAATGTGCAATTTGTTATTAAAAATATTATAATAAAATAACAAAAAATATTAGATAAATTAATATATGTGTTACCGTATTTTTCGCACTATAAGGCGCACTTAAAACCCTTTTCGCTTGTCGGAGCACTGCAGCTACCGTAGCCTCGCGGAGTTATTGAATGAGTTCAATAAACTTTGACTTATCTGACTCTTTTGTTTGGTTTAATGCACTTTATAATTCGGTGCACCTTAATGTATTATGGTAATTTGTTACCTTTTTTTAACAAGGCTAATGTCAAGCCTGATGCCGTCACTCACAGGGCAAGGTAAACAGTTCATTTATTCAACAGTAGTATTGGATTGGTATCGGATATCGGCTAATACGTTCAGCTCAGGTATCAGATTGGATTGGATTGGAAAAACATGGATCGGTGCATCTCTAATCCTTACAGACGTTTAAACCCAATTTGCTCAAAATAATCCATTCCTGGTTTTCTCTTCGTCAGAATTTGACCTTTATTTTGAAAGATTTTAGATGTTAAAGGGATTTGTAAGTGTTTGCTAACTAGAGCTGACAGCCCTAAATGGAGAAAGCTCATTACCCGGATGAGGACGTGATACCACACTGCACTAATTCGCCACATCAGCACGCAGCTTTCTCACTGTCCAGGATCTCGACCTTTCATACATGTTGAAACAAACGTGAGAGATCGGAAATGAATAAATCTTGAGGTCTGAGACAGTGATGCCTCTTCTCCACAGGCTTTTCTTTCCAAGTATCATCACCTGACTGTACAAAGATCCTCACCAGTGGTGCCTGAGCCAGTTCTCTTACACAGAAAAATGGAGAGAACCATTTTTTTCCCAAGGGCTCGCTGACATTGAGGTTATTTGCAATACTTCCACTTTCAAGTTCAGCTTGTCTCTCTGTTAAAGTTAGCATCCATGAAAGACAGCTGGTCTCCTTGTAGACACCTTCACAACTGAATAAATCAGGTACAAAAGAAAGCAGCCGCACAAACGTCCATCCCTGGCTGGACATGCTAACAGGCTGAGAAGTAGAAATGTGTTGAGCAGTTAACTTCCCCTTTTTGTGGCGCAGGTGAGCGACACGGCGAGAGAAATCGCTCTTTTCATGGGAGGAGACAGTGTGCCTTTCAGGCCCAGACACGCTCGGGTTCACCAGTCTCCCAGGATAGATGAGGACGGGAGGCTGAACAGTGGCCCTGTTGTGGCCCTATAAACCGTCTGAGGCTCCCATCACTGGCAAATGGCAGTGAGGATTTCAGGCTCAGCTTCAACACCACCTTCCTGCTACTGCCATGTATTCTCAGATACTGCATTAATATTAAGGTAAATCTTAAATATTACAAATAAGACCTATGCCAGAGCACCCTTGGGCCTGTGTGATTGCATTTTAAATGTTATTTGTTTGCTTCGAGGGCATTAGGCTCATTATCAGAGCCGCTGCTGATGCTCCCATAAGGCTGCCCTGACTCATGTGCCGTCTTTGAGGGTGATGCTAGAGGGTGAAATGTATAATTATGAAATCAGTAGGACTGTTTTTCCTTCTCTTTCTTTTTTTTTCTTTTTTTTTCCCAGGCTGAAAATGAGCTGGCTTTTTTTCTGCCTGGCTGCTGCTTGGCGAAGCGTGCACTGTGCACACATCAGTGTTAGAGATCTGATCCTCTACAGGCAAGAATGCCAATACACCCTAAGGAATATAGATTAGAGATGTTTGTTGGAGGAGGCAGATAAAGGGTGGCAGTGTGAGTACAGGGAGGGGAAAGGGGGAGAGAGGGAGAGGGAGGGAGAGAGAGAGAGAGGGAGGCGGTAAAAAAGCAGAGATGAGTCTGATTGTGCTCATATATGTACTGACAAGGCATGAAAAGCAATATTGTGTTTTCTGTCCTGGAGGCAGCAGCAGTACATTGAGTTTGCCTGTTTGTATGCATGTGCAGGTGTGACAGTATGCTTGTGCAGATATGTGTGTGTGTCTCTGTGTGTGTGTGAGTTTCGGGGGAGCATTTCACACATGTCACAGCACAGCAGATTTTTACTTCAGGATGCTATCCAGGTCAAGTACACTGCAGACATGATTATTTCTAGAAAGAAGACATCCACATGTATATGAATAAGTCCTAATAGTCGTAGAAAATGAACATTGCAAAGACTCACCTCGGTTTGGAACAGCAGGTAAAGTTTAACTCGGTATTTCCCATTCTCGGTGCAGCGTAATTGCTGAAATTGCAGAGAAACTCATTTCACAGTTTATCAGGATTCAATAGCAACTCCGCGAAGAGGGGGGTGGTGAAAAAGCACTCCAAAAAACACACTCAGTGCACACTCAGGGATCCGAAAAGAGGTAAAAGTGGAGGGCGATGAAGGCTGCTCCGGATCAATCCGTCGCACCAGCGAGAAAACTTTCACTTTGGCTGCGGGTGAAAAAGTCGCCTTATCCCAGCTGTAAATCAACGCTCCTAGAAGCTTTGACCTTTGAGAGGATAATGAGTTAACAAAATGAAATCATCCAGCAGGAGATGTAGTCAAGAGGAGAGAGAGGAGGAGGAGGAGAGAGAGAGAGAGAGCCTCAAGGAGCGCAAAGGGGCTGTCGATTAGAGGATTAAAAAAGACGCGTTTGCGCATTTGTTGCAGCCGGAAAAAGCGGCGCGGTCCAGATGCGACGGAATGCGGCTCACCGGGACGCGGACAACCGCCCCACCGAGATGGTTAAAGATCCTGTTATGAATTCCAACCCAACAAGACGACCCGCCTACTCCGCATCAGTGTGCATGTGTATGTGTGCGTGCGTCTGGATGAGCGCAGGAGCCCGATCCTGGAGAAAGTGTGGGCGCCCGGTAGCAGATAACAGGCATGAGCGCCTCAGCTCTCCCCTCTGCCCCTCTTTTTTTCCCCCCTCCCTCCCTCTTTTTTCTCTCTCCCTCTCTTTTAGTCACATGTTTAAGACACAAGAAGCCCTCTGTAATAGCTGCCAAAGCGGGGTAGAATAAGGTAGGAGACGTGGACGGAATGATAACAAGCGCGGTTTTCTTCCTTCTCACTTTAAATGAGGGTGTGCACTAAGCGAAGTGGCACTCTTCTCATTAACTTTACGCCCTAATATACTTCTTTTAATGCCGCAGTTATTTATAAAGACACTGGGAATGAAAGTATTAGATATCTCCAGTAACTGCTTGGCTGGTCCTCTCAGAGAAAGAAAGTGTACTAAGAGGACGTCAACACTGAAGTCCTTTTTCTGTCTAATCTGTCACATTAGTCAGAGGAGAGAAGGTGTTGAGCATAAAGCTTAATCCTCTTTTGGTTTTGTCTCGTGGAGCATGACTATGCATGAACCGTGAGTCATTAAGTGGCTCTGCAAAGGAAGCTCTGCTCAAATCAGCCAGCAGCAGCAGAGACCGTGAAGCCACTGAGTGAATGAATGGATGCTGGCGTTCTCATAATGACTATGACAGCACACATTACACTTACAGGGATCAGCGCTGTGAAACTGTACACCCCGTGCACCTGATTTCATTTCAGGTGGCACTGATCAAAAAGCAGAGGCTGAGCCATGTAGGGTTTGAACCGGTCAGGAGGGATCTGACATGCTCTGCAGGAATAATTAATATGCAAAGGGAAGAAGAGGGTCTTTTTGTCTGGATGACATCTGAAATACATTTTGAATACCACCAGAGATGAGAATACTTCTCCGGGTTTGGAGGTTTGGTACCCCAGCGGTGAGAGTGGATTTTGAATAGTTAATAAGAAGATTAAAACTTGGTTTAGAAGAGTCGAAGCGCGTATGATATCAAAGTCGAGAGTTTCCTCGGGCATCCGCACAAATCTGAATGAAAATAAATCTTAAAAAATTGTAAAAGCTAGGTTCAGACACAGAACAATTTTGCTGTTTAACAATTCTGAAGACTATGAAACAAAGTCGATCACATTGACTGATAATCTGCTTCATATCGGTCTGGGATGAGAGGAGGGAGCAGAGGGTCTCTACCTGAAATGTGATCTGTATTGTAGTTGAAATGCTCATACAGCATTAGTGTGACACTCCGATTTGTTCTTTAAGCTACATGCAATAATAAACAATTACCTTGTAAAGTGCAGAATTAAGCGGGGTAAACAGATAAAGATAATCAGGCTGTTTTTGTCCCGATTTTCCCCGTCCTAACCAAGGATGACAATCGATAGATAATCTTATGTCTTCTAAGATTATCCTATATGGTCTGAGGCGTATTAAGAGTGAATTTGTCCCGATAATTGGGACATTTTGTGGCGAATTTCAGAAAGCGGGAATCGCAAGAACTCAAGAAGAACTCAAGAACTCGCAAATTCACACGCAATTGTGCGATGTCGAGTTGTCTCTTTAAAGTCTCTTTCTAAAAACTTTTGACTCGTTCATTCCCGCCCACATTTGCATGGTGTGAAATACGATCCGCCATAAACATGTTGAGTTTGATTTTGAAAAGAAGCCGGAAAAGAAGCTAGAACCGCAGCCGGTGGAATTCGACACGTTAACTTGAATGGAAACAATCAGCGGCGATTAGCACCAACGGCCTTTTCGCCACTGTTCTGCATTCGCTGGAATTTAGGGGTTAAAGTGGCCTGGGGTCAAAGAAATCTCTGTCATCTATGGATCATGTTTAGACATGGTTGACAAACAACACTTTTTGAAGAGATTCTGAGCCCATGCAGTGACTTCCACTACAGAGTCATATCTGCATTAGAACCGTTCATTCACCTCTGAGAGACCTTGCCTCACTTAGCTTGCTCAGGTATTTAATATAAGTAAATTTAAACCTCTCATGTGCTGTCTTTGCACTATTATTTCTGATAAAAGTTACAGTTTGCAACTCATTAAAATTAACATTTTTACACAATGTCCTATCTTGTACACATTGTACCTTGGACAGCATATTGGATTGGAAAAACCTAGAGTCCAACTTTATATATATATATACATAAATCTCTAAATCATATAGAGTTATTTTAGATTTGTCTTTTTTAGTGGCTCTGAGAATAAAAATGAATCGAAGGGAATAGGCAGGACTGGCTGAATCCAGCTTGTAAATGTAGCAGGAGTTGTTATCAACCCCATTAAACACTGAAACATTTGAATAATGTAAAGGAGATAGGGTGCTGCTTCATCAAAAGTACAATGTGGGTGGTGTCAGTGGGTCATTTGCTACCCTGACTCCCCTGGGACCGAAGAAAAGAAACTAAATCCACTCGGAAACAGCAGGAATTAATCTGAGAAAGCAATCAGCTCTTGGAATTCTACAGGCACAGCAGCCTCAGTGTGGTGCTAATTAACCCAGTTCCCCCTCGTGTTTCCAGTGTCCATTTAGTATGCTGCGCTGAGCTGTGTCCGTCCCTACTTTTCAACTTGATTTATGTCTCATCCCGGCAGAGATATCTGCTGTATTCTGCGTGACACAAACCCGCTTTTTATATTCCTGACTGTCAATTCTGATCAGGACGATCGTGCATAAAGTGACAACTTGTTTGAAAAATGTCATTAATTTAACCATTTCCTTAAAGTCTATCCATCCATCTGTGGACTGAATTAGAATAAGCACAGTGTTGTTCCTTTCAAAATCCATCTATCATTCATACTAAAGCCTTCCGGCTCTGTGGGGCTTGTTGCTGTTGATAAGCTTGTTGGGGCGGAGCTGTCCGTGGTGCTGAATAACTAGCCTCACGCTGTTCCGGAGCCCCTGGGATCACCAAAGTTTAACTTTCAGATTAAAACTACTTATATGCTTGATTGGATGATTGTTTTTTCTGTTGTTTGTATTAGCAGGAGAGCTCCCTTTACATAACAGTGAACATTATAATTACAAACCACTTTAAATCATGGTGTTTTTGTTCAACACAAACACTTCAAACTTTGGTAGGAGTCTCTCTCTTTCTCTCTCTCTCTCTTGAAAGGCCTCTTTGTTGGAAACTGTATCCCGCTCTTCCTGGCCATGACCCGCTAAGTACTGTAATTCCATTAATTCTGCTATCAACCATTAATGACCTCCATTAGCATATTAATGAGTGATGTTCATGAAATGGATCTCCATCATGTCTGCTGGAAGTGGAGCAGCCCTGTGGATTTGCTGCTCCAGTGTCTGTGATGAGCCGGGCTCTGTAACTAATTTACACCTTAAGCACAGTCTCATTAGAAGACTTAGGAGTGTCAGGAGAGGATCACATCCATTTCAGCTCTACCACTGTCTGGACAGAGTCTGAAAATGTTCCTCCGATAGGGAGGAGGAGAACAGAGTGTGATATTTGGCCTTTTTCGATGTCATCCTTTATTCTGTAATGCCAAAGTGCTGCTCACAAAGGAGATAACATCACGTCAGTGTCTGTCCTGTGTCAGAGATATAACCTTTTTGGGGTGTGTGTGTTTGACTTGTATGCCGGGTTCGACTCAGACAAAAGAATCCCCTGGCATTTTGGCCGAGACCAGCCCACTGCGATCGATCACACAAAAGCTATCTCGATGCTCTATGTGTCAGCGCCAGATTAATGAAGTCAAGCTTGAAATAATGTTAATATTTGTCACAGTATCGATGGCAGCCGTTGGTTTGCAGAAGTGGAGTTATGTACATGTCTTAAAGGTGGGGTAGGCAGGAATCCATTAAAGAAGCATCTTTTTTTGTTGTGTATATACAAAAAAGCTTTTAATATCAGTCATTACCTATTAGTTATTGATGACATTTGGTAAAATTAGGATATCGCTGTGTTTTGTTATGTCTGTGTAGTCAACATTTGAGATTTTTCGAGCTGTTCACTCATTCTGACTGTAAACAAAGTCATTCTCCACCTTCCCCAACCTGATTGGTTGTGAGGCAGATGCTGCTCCCCCGTGTCGTTCACAAACCCAAACAAAGTTAGCGTGCTACAATATCGGACAGTAGAAACCAAACAGAAAGTACGGAAAATTGTCTGAATCCTCCTTTGAACACGACTGCCAACACAAGCAAGAAAACAAAGTAAATACCGGAGACTCTGGAGGAATAACGGGCGCTTAAAAAGCCGGGCAGGAGCTAAAAAGACGGGTCAACATAAACGATGGGGGATGCTTCGGGATCTTACGGACACTGTAACCTTTCTGCTGGACAGGTAAACCGCTTTAACAAAGTAAGACAAGTGTCTGTAACAGAAGTGTTTCTTGTCAAACGGACCTGCTGTAGCGTGTTGTAGCGCCATCGCTAAACTGTTGACCTCGGGTCCTGGACTATGTCACTTTATCCTAGTTGTAGAAGTCCTGCAAACATTGTGTTTGCTGGTAGTCTGTTGGCATCTACAGTAGCACCAATGTTGTTTCACGTTGACTGGGCCCCATTTGTAATTATCTGAAGTATTTATCTGAATTATATCTGAATTTAATTGGAACGATACGAGCGAGCAGGAGCGTCTGTTTGTGGGCGGGGCTTGAGGGAGCAGAGAGGGAGGGGAGAGGAGGAGCTGAGGGGAGAACTGGTTGGGAGGGGTCGAGTTTACATTCAAGATTTCTCCCAAAAACTGGCACTGACTCAGATCCTGACTACCCCACCTTTAACTTTCAGGGTGTATCTTTGTGAATTAGAGTCTTGGGAATGAACTGATCATGTTTAAAGAAGCAAAAAGGAGGTGTAAGATTTTCCTGCAGAAAATCAAAAGAAAAACCCAAAACTGTAGATACTTTGAAATTCATACTCTTCATCAAATATTGGGGATGGCACATCTTAGAGGAAGATGCAGCTGTCAAAGAGTTCATGTATTTTTATGAACCTGATTAAATTGCCTCTAGAAACGAAACCAAGTCCACTTCTTGTTGTAACAGATTTTATCAAAACTGACTCTCAGTCTTTTGTCTACAAGCACATCGACCCTGTTTATACAGAGCAGATGCACCTGTGCCTCAATGTGCAGACACTGAGGAGTGATGAGACGATATCGTAAACTCCTGGTGGGAGCTCGGAGTTGTGGTGGGGCTGCAAATTTGAGCTCAGCACTGGTGCAGTGCAGTGGTGCTCAAACTGGGAGGATATGTTTGTGAGAATGATGCACGTCAAGTGTGAAATCAACGCAGCTTGAGTTGGCTGCCAGAACTAGTTTGTTGGCTTTGCTTCATTTAGTGCTTTGTTAGCTGTCAAATATCATAGTGGTAAAATATCAATATCACTTTAACCCATACATGAGAGTAATACAGAGTTGTAGTGATAATGTATACCTTTTATTTAGACTATGATGCTCCTGTAGTCTCATGTAGCGTGATACTGACAATGTGATGAGATGTTAAAGTGGGTCTGTTATTGTTTCTAAATGAAGCTTGCAAAGTTGTGAAGTTGTGTTGTCAAGATGTGAACTGGCGCCTGTTCATGACGTCACGCTATATGATGGGCTGGAAGTTGGGCCGGATGATGAGGAAGATTGTGGTTGGTCCGGACAAATTGCAGAAGCGGTTTTTGTCGGATTACGTTTGATATGATTGTGAGAAAACATGGATGAATTTTACAAAGAAATCTATCGCTACTCATCTGACAACAGTTGGAATACCGCCTCCTTTAGGTTGCCAAAGGAAATGTGGTGTTCCAGAGACAAATGAATGTGGTTGCCATTGCCATGGCAACATACCTATCAAATGCGCAGTCATTCCCCTCCTGGCTTGTGACAATGACATCATAGATAGTAGTTGTAGTCTGTGGTCTCAGACCTCATTTTCAGGACTCGAGACTTAGCTCTCAGGTGTGATGACTGAGGTTTCGTACTCAAGTGTTAACTGCATCGGTACTTAGACAGCTACTATGACAGCTTGTCAGTATTCTGATCTATTTCAGCCCTGAATCCACTTAAACACCTGTGCTAAAGGCCACTCGGTTACATGAACAGATAACCTTATTAATTTAAGCGAACGTTGGAAAAAGATGAAACCACTGTGGCAATGTAACTCGAACTTCACTTCTGAATGGTCAAAGACGGGCTGTTGTTGTTTATCAGTAATTCCAAAATTACTGATGAAAATGAAGAAAAACTGGATTCAGTGGGCTACACCACATCTGAAAATGTGTCACAACTGGTGAACTTGGAGCTCGCAGAAATTCAAACCTCGAAAATTCAGTTTACGATGTTGTGAAAACCGTGATGGGAGATGTTGATGAGGCCACTGTCCGTGAACACTACTACCCCGTTCGAAGGCCCTGTGTACTTCCTCTTTGCAGCAAACTAATGAAATACTTCCAGCACACCTGAGCTCGGTGTGCTGGAGTTAGATAAACTCCTGCAGTCTTACCAACACTCATGCTTTCCTCCTCGCAGGTGCACTGCACATTAGATTTGTTTGGTTATGCTACTCTGAGTTTAGCATTCCCTATGTTCACACCTCACCCTGTTTTGCCATTCCTTATTTGAACGTTACACATGGGGTTGTCTCCTTTTTTGACCTCTTTAGCCCTGTCATGACAAGATGAATATTAGTCCCAAACTTCTAGTCTGCAGTCTCCATATGTAAAATAAACTTCCCCTGAGTCCTGAGTCCTTTTATCCTGTTCTGCGGACACCTGAAGGACACACTTTCCATGGGTTGTTAAGTTACAGTGGTCAGCAGAAAGTCTCTAGACAAGCTCTGGTTTAAGAGTAGGAGTTGAAAACCAAACTGTGTGAAGAGTTCAGGGCACTGACTGAATAAAGAGGCTGATTTATAGTAGTGGGAGAAAGAATCGATACAGAAAGTATCACGATAATTTGTCTGGTGATATATCGTTGACCAAGTATTGATTTTTTTCAAATTAATTGTTGATGTAAAGTCAAATCTATGATGATAGAAAAATAAAATCAACCGTTTGTCCAGTGAGGTTGGCAGAGGAGACATCATAGAGCAGGAGAAATTTAGTGCAACAAATATAACAGCACCTGGGAAAAAAAATTCAGAATGCAATGCTTTTATCCAAGATCCAAATTGAATCACCCTCTAAAAATTAATTCAACAAAATTTACAAGTCAGTGAAAAATTGCTTGGAGAAATGTCAGTCAGTGCACAATCCTTAGTCCGGGGCACCCCTCAGCCGGGCTGAGGGACGAGTCGCCCTCTGGAAAAGCCAAGCTCTACCAGCGTCCAGTCCAACCCTCCTTGTACACTTGTTTGATATTACATTTTTGGCACTGGTGACTCTGATACAAAACAGGATTTGTGTTTCCACCCTATTCTCTGCTCCATCTGAGAGGATCTGACTGTATATAGCGGCGTGTCGGGGTCCTGCAATCCCTCCACAGTCTCACATAAGCTTGAACCCCCTCCCTGTAATTTGACCTTAGCTGTCTTCAATATCCCTCAGGCAGCCATGGAGGACAGTAGATTCAGATAACTCCATTTCCACTGTGTGTGTGAAATGAATTTAGATCTGTTCAAGCAAGGGCCCATTCATTTTGGCTCCATTTCACCTTCGATCATTCCCCCAGAACGCCATCAGACCAGCAGTTATCTATTCCACATTTAAAACAGCAGGGATTACTTGGTGCAGGGGATGAATATACCTCATACTTCATACAGATTTCCTCAAGCTATCCTGTGTTACCTTCCATCTATTGCTGCACTAAAGATTTCCTGTATTAGAATATAAGCCAGTGCCAGCAGTGTGATACTCTGTTTATATGCTTATCGCGGGGACAAAAGGTCCATGAAGACAATAACTTTTAAACAGCTCTGAGGGGAGATTTCCAACTTTTTTTGGTCTCATCAGAAAGCAAATCTGCTGCCTCCCCTCCAAACTTCGTAAAAAAAAAAAAAAAAGTCGAGCTGGAGTCATGATTATTTACCCTTATTGAACACGGCGAAGTCTCAAGAACAACCTCATTGACACATCTCCTCGCTGGGCGCTGCAAACGCTTTAATGAGAGTCTTCAGGGTTAATGTTTTCATCTAGTGGAACTCTTCATAATATCATTACCATCTCCCAAATGCATCCCACTCTAGCACTTATAATACCATAAACAACACTTTGTGTAATGGCCAATACGAGGCTTAATGATGACCCTGATGAGAAGAGGAATTAAGCAGATTCCAGAGGCAGAGTTATAAAGGTGAGATAACCTTGTTTTCAGCTCCAAGCAACAACAGTAATACTCTGATAGTGATCAGTGTTTTCATTTCAGATATGTATCACGGTTTGGCAGCCTCAGTGCTTAACAGTGTGGCCACTAATTCAAAGGGATTGTTGGCTTGATAAAATATCTGTGGAGGGAGATGAGGAAGGTAAGCTGCTTTGTCTACCCTTCAGTAAACATAGATCACATTTCCTATCTCACACCACGATAAAGTGCTTTTCTTCTGAATAAACATTCCCCAGTTCCTGTACACTTTTCATCTCTATAAATCTACACCCTTCCTCACTGAAATATTGAGATTTTACAAGATCGAACACCATATTTGATGTCGTTGTGCAAATAACTTAAAGAAGCTGAGTTCAACCAAGGTACCAAGGAAACCAGTTTCTGGAGTTTTTCTTTTTTGTTGTTGTTGTGCTTTTCCTGCCTGACACAGGATTTCAGTTTGGAGGCTCTTTTGTTGTGTTTTTTTTCTTTCATGAAGCACCAAATGTTTTCAGTGGGTGACAAGTTAGGAGTGCAGGGAGGTCAGTTCAGCAGCCAGACTCTCTCATGTTGTTGTTGCACATGCAGAATGGGGTTTGGTATCATCCCTCTGAAATATGCATTGACTGGAGGGCTGCATATGTTAGTCGAAATCCCACATATGCCTACTCATATGTGTAGCAATTCATGCCATGAGCATGTATGCATCTCCATACCATCACGGATGCTGGTTTCCAACATGTGCACTGATAATAAGCCAGGTGGCTCCTCTCCTCGTTGTTGTCGTAGACATGAAATCCACGATTTCAGAAAAAAATGGCAGAATTTGACCGCAGGCAGTTCACCACTCCATCTTAATCTTTATTTATACACTTTCCCTCCATGCATGGTGCAGTTTTAACTTGTATTTTTGGATATAGGGACAAGCTGTGCTTCTGGAGGTGATTTTGAGCCCATACAGTGACTTCCACTACAGAGATGTCTACTTTTAATGCTCCTGAGAGCTACTCAGCCATCCTGTATTTGCTAATGATGATTATTGCCACTGTTATCTACCACAGATGACAAAATCCAAAAGTTCTCTGCAACTCAATGCAGAAGAACCCCACCAAACACCCGACATCATTTAGACGTCTTTGGCTCAATCATGGTGGTCGTAATTTAGCCAAAAAGAGACGTTGAAAACTGGGCTTCATCTAGACGTTGTTTATACGTGTGGTGAAGATGTCTTGTCAACATCTTTTCAGCCACTTTTTGCCGGTTAGGACTTTACTGTGGACTGGAATATTTGCTGTTGCAGTCTCAGAGCCATGAACTACTTTCCATCTTTACATCTGAGGGACTCAGCTTTACTGGAGTGCTGTTTTTTTATTGTCCTTATTTGGGTGTTGCAAATTCACATTATCAGTTTGAAATTATTTAGTGTGAGGTTGTTCCTATTCCGACAAGTTGACATAAATAAAGGATACATTTTCCAAATAATTAAAGCACTTAGTATGCAACATTTTTAATCAAACATAGGCTTTAAATCATTTTCAGACCACCATAAACCATTTGTATCAACACTTAAAACCAAAAGGGATCAGAATCTAAGTCGCAGGCAGGTATTTTTAAAAAACACCTTTAAAGTGCCCCAATCTGATTTATATCTGGGATTTTTCAGATACTTACTCTCACCTTTTGTTCATCCTCCTGTTGAGAAAATTGGACAATGTTCTACCTTAAAATATCTCCGCTATTGGAAGGGCAAAATAACCAGCGCTAACTTTACTAGAGTGGTGATAATGCACCTGAAAGCTGGTCGCCACCCACGATCAAACATTCAAAACTCACTATAATTTTTCCCAAATGAATGATTTTGTATGATTGCCCCCCTGTATTATATTGTGTATTTCACAAATATGTGGCACTGAGTAAAAAAAGGATGATTACATTTTTTAAAGTTCCCGCAATTGATCCTTTTACATTGACTGTTTCTGTGGATATGATGAAAAATTCATAAATATTTCCTGTTTGTTTTTTTTGTTTTTTCTGAGCAGCAACCTGCACAAGTCAAACAAAGAATAATAATAACTTTTTATTTATTTAGGCCAATTTCACTTGTCATAAGAATCCGTGACAATAAGAAACAAGAATAGGCGTCATATTTGATTGTTTTTGTAAATAATATTATACTGTTATCATCAGAATTGCACATTCAGAGTATTTTAGTTAAGATTTGACTCACAACTCAGAGTGCCACTGTTTCCTTTTCACAGATGTGGAGAAATAAACTCATAACAAAGAAGTTGATGCTACGAATCCCTGAAAAAAAAAAAAAAAAGAACTTCTTGAATGACAACAATGAAAGCGCCCTCAGGTTTGACACTGAACTTAAAACTGCTCCCTTCCAGCTGTGTTTTGGCAAAAAGAACAGAGCTGTAATAAACATTTGACAGAAAATTCCCCGTGCAGCTGCTCCTTCGCTGCTGTAATGCTTTCTTTTTTTAAACATTCCTGGTATAAATGTTGAAAACATTAAAATGCAACTTTTACAATGCTTGTGCATTTGCAATATGACAAACTCCAGAGGTGCGGACATTGTCAGTCAGTTCTCTCCCAGACAGAAATTGGGAAATTGTGAGGCCGGGCATGGTTAGAGCCGTGCACCTTTATACCTGGAGTATGCTGCCATGGAGGAAGCCTATCATTGAAAGCCTATGAACAGATAGCTCTGAGATTTATCAGAAATGATATAGTGCTGTGAATGAGAAGGCTATGGCTTCTCCGTTACCCATCCATCACCGGTGATGTATTGCAGATAAACAACTAGGCAGCAACAAGCTCTTGCTGAGAGGCTGACCTCGTTGATGAAAGTGAAAACTCCCCCATGGCCATCCCCGCATGCACGGCCCCCTCTTCTCAATACAACAGTCAGTGCTTGTCTCTGGACAAGGGAACTCATATCAACACACTATTACATCTTGGGGGTGGTGTGTGTGCACTGACAAAAAAGAACAAACACACAATTTGTCTCCAGACATGAGATGAAGGGTCCCCCCCCTGTCTCAACACTAGTGCCTTAAGGTAAGGTTCAGGGGTTATTCTACACGTCTTCACTGGCACTGTATATCACTTCTTTAAATAGAACGTTGTTTTATTTCACACCAATGGAGATTCATAGAGTGAAAATAGACTTGTTTGTTGTGCTTTTGTGTCTGAACTCTGACTTCCACTACAGAGCATGTCTGGTTTTAATGATGGGAGCCTTTTATGTCCACATATCTCTGGTCTCTCTTTCTCTGCTATTAACTGGTCAGCCGTAAAGGACCAGTATGAAGTTTTATACTCTCCAAATGAATTGAGGATGATATTAAAAGATTATTTTATGTCTAATGGTACGATTGGAATCAGATGGCTGTAGGTCTGGATCTGTAGAAAAAAGGTTCATACTGTCCTCCTGGGTTTGTGTACTTGGCGGCCAACGGATTGTTGTTTCAAATGAAAAATGGAAGATGAGCCGTCGACCACTAAGGAATCGGAAAATGGAGAACAAACCGTTTTTCATTTTAATCATAAAAATCAGAGACAGAAAAAACAACTGAGTATTTGACTTTCTGTGATGTGGCTTTAAACAAAAATCGAAGATCAAAATACCTGCGTAGAAATCTCGTGTTTCAAGTTCCATTTACTTTTTTGTTGTGACCCGGAAGTTGCGACTTGGAGCGAGAGGCTTTTTTAGGTTTAGGTTCTTTAGGTTCTTTATTTTTAGGATTTCAGATTTCAGATTTCAGATTTGATTGTTCTTTACAAATATACAAATACATTCTTCTTCTCCAAGGTGTAGGCTGAAGCCCATGGCTTATTTTGCCTACCCTTATCACTCGTTTTTGCTTCTTTAAGCTATAGAAGATGTCAAACAAAACCCTCACACAAAAAAAAAAAAACTACAAAGATCTTAACATTCCAGAAAAATAAATAAACAAACTTAGTGCAAGGATACTCTGGAAAGAAAAGCAAACAAGAAAACAGCAAGAGAAACAAAAACAAACAGCAACAAAGATCTGCTTTTTTCCCCCCCTTTTTTTTCTATTTTCCCTTTCTTCTTCTTTCTTTCTTTTTTTTCCCTTTTTCTCCTTTCTTTTTTTTGTAAGCACAGTAGCACCCTAAGGAATAAGGAGTAAGAAGGAATCAGAAATACACCTACATTAGAAAATCTCTGATTTTTATGATCAAAATGGAAAACTTTGATTAAGCATTAATACAGGCGAATGTGACTTTTGTCCAATTTGAACACCAGATTTCTTCCTTTTTCATTTTCTTTGTCTTTGGATTTTCACTTGACTGGACATCGAGTTCATAATGTTGACTATTACTGCTAATGCGAGGCCTTTCATCATTGGACCAGAGGCTAAATGACCCCTCTGTTCACCCGTTCGGTAAAAGACAAAGACTGGATAAATAATTTAATCAGAGGTCCTCGTCATTTTAACCTTAGCCCTCGGCTGTGCGTGTCACTGCATGAGCCTCACACCATCAAGTGATGTTGGAGTCGCTCTGAGCAGATGCTGAGAGAAAACAAGTAATAGCGCAGTCAGTGATCATTAAGCAGATTTGTTTGCTGGATATTCAGCTCACTATTCAACGCTATTCGATTTAGAAATCCAGGCTAAATTATATTTCCTCAAAAAAACATGCTGGCAATTGCAAATCAATAGTGTTTCCAAGACTCGTGGTTATTTCACCAACCCAATAGTTACCAGAAGTAATAATGAGAGCCAAAACAGCAATTTCCATTACATCTGCCTGAGAGCCGATCTTTCTGCGGTTAAGTGTTGCCTGCTGAAAATATTACTTTAACTTCACACTAATTTCCCAGGATGGCGTCCCTCTCCCTGTCTCGC